CTTTCCCCCTTTCCTACACCCCTATATCCACCGGCCCCCCCTATGCCGAGCTCTAAAAAAGCCACACCCTGAACCCTTCACCCTTTCATCTTGCAGGTCAAGCCCGACCTCATCTCGATTGCCCCTGGTTTCATCTTCATCCCCTAGAACCGAGGCGTGACCATCACAGCTCGGACTAGGCTACACCCCGAGGTTACTCTAGTTTTCTAGTCATAGCTACAGCCTAGAACCTCCAAGGTCCACGTCTAGATTGGGCCCCAGGTCTTGGCACGGGCCGAGCCTGAGATCCGCCACAACTGAGGTTTGCTGGCGCTTGGTGTGCATACGATATGCAGGTACATGCATGGCTACCTGTCTGATGCCTTGAGAGAGCTTATCCAAGGCACCTGGGCACGGGTGGGGTGTCTGGAGGTGGTCGAGGATTCAAGGGTAAGGGGTTTGTTGGCACGGTCATGTCGTGTAGGTTTGTGTTTGGGTAGAGATGCAGCGGATAGGACCGGGTTTGATTTGCATGGTTGCTAGCTATTGTGGAGTGGTGTTCGTGCGATGAGATGGTACTTTGGACAACGGTCGATCTTGCTCAGGTGGGACCGGGCATGGATATATCAGAGGTCCACGGGTGAAAACTTGCACATGTGAGAGAATGAGCTCAAATGTCACTCTATCGATGTACGATTTGCCATGTAAGTAGGCATTTTGATGAAAAAAGTAAAATACCTCGAATCGAGATATAGCTCCGAAGACAGGGATTGGTTTCGTGCGGGACTACCGGCGGACACCGGCTTTATCAATGATATGCGTGGATTAACGTCAGCGTTAGGATATCACCGCCACACAAGCTTGCCTTGGAGAGTAGAGTAGGTAGGTCAATAACAAGCCGCCTTTTTGAATACAACTGATACTCCACGGTCAGGGCCCGACCATCGCAGGTCTTAATCGAGAGCCGATTCATTACCGCACTGCAATTCGCCGGATCAAAACACCCATGTATCATTATTAGACTTTATCGTGGAGAACTCCCCAACTGTCCATGAAAAATCAGTTGACCCTAGGGCAATGAAAATACTAAGTCTCGTCTATAATAAACCGAATATCATTACCCGTCTAAAAAGCTACAATCTTAAATTGCACAATTGACCAGAGGATGGGACCTACACCGCTGGGATTATAATTAACGCCAAATGCAAAGATTGAAAGAGCGCCCGTCAGATATGATAAGATCGAACAAATTCAGTATTTCAAAATTCGAAATCAAGATCGAAAGCAAGAGTCAGGAAACAGGAATATATGGGGAATCTAAATCCCCAGAACGCCGGCTTGCTGGGTTATGATGTGAAATGCAGCGCATGTATATAAAAGTCAAATCGGATCGGATCGTACAGTCGTTATGTTCGTGTTCATATGGCACAGCAGGACTGGGAAGGAAATTCCTAGGTGCGTTTGTGATGGGTGTTAGAGTTGTGCTCTGATTCCAGAGGGGGGGGGGTTGGCTCTTCAGACGAGTCGTCGTGGCTTTCTGGGCTCATCTGTTTTTCCAACGTTAGGTCTTAAATTTGGCGAGGGAGAGAGGGGAAATGCGAACCTTGTCGAGTTTATAGTCCACCATTGCGAGACTGAGCGGGATGAGAGGTAAAGTCGCAAGGATGGCTAAGATGAGTAGCCTGTCCATAGTCTCCTGGTAGGCGCGATTGATAGCAATACGAGTCGCGGAGCCAATTTCATACGACAGGGCCTTGGTGAGCTTGCCGAAAATTTCACCAGCTTCAGACTTCGTTTCGTCAGGCAGATACTGCATCAGTTTCTTTGGGATCTGGTGGGTCCAAACAGCGCCGGAGATGGCTGCACCGACGGCTCCGCCCATTTCCATGGATGTCAGGAACATAGCGGTGGCAGCCGCGACTTCTTGGTGGGATGCTGATGCCTGGACGCCTAGCTGGACAGGGACATTCAGGAGGCCGCCACCGCAGCCGACCATGATCTGGGTGCCAAGGACTTGTAGGTGAGAGGCGCCTTCGCCGCGGCAGAGGAGCATCAGGGCGAGACCAGTCATGTAGATGACGCAGCCGATTGTCACGAAGATTCGGTAGCGGCGGGTATATTTGATCAGGAGGGAGACGCTGAATGCGGCGATGGTGGAGGTGAAGGCGAAGGTTTGGGTGACGCGGCCGGCAGTGGCTACATCGTAGCCTTGGACGACTTGAAGGTAAGAGTATAGATAGGGTTGAACGGAGAAGTAGAAGGCCACTGGGGTTGGTTAGTACTGGTAAATAAAGGTCGGATTTTATACATACTGAAATACCAGAATGCCAAAGCACAGCCTGCGAGAGCAGTTCGTTGTTTGAGGAGGTGCAGTGACAGCAGGGGTTTCGGTGCCAATTTCTTTGAGGATTCGTAGAACGGCAAGGCGCAAAAGCAGAGAACGCCAACAACGATCATTGCAATGATACTGTTGTTCTTCCACCCATTCTTGGCGTTGGCCGCTAGGGTCAACGGCACCAGAACCAAGGTGACAGCAGCAGAGAGCAATGTTAAACCTCCGACATCAAGATCGAACCAGGTCCGCTTGGCAATGCCAAGGAAGCCAGTCTTTCTCCGACGATGCCTAGACTCCTTGATCAAATTCAGTCTTCGGGCCTTGCGCTGGTTGAACAGCAATGTCAGAGCCAATGGCAGGAAAGCCGCAGGCAAGATAATCGCCCACATGCCATAACCCCATCGCCATGATGATGTTTTGAGCACAGCACCTGCAATAGTGGGTCCGATCCAGACTGTGACCAAGAACGGGAACTCGGGCAGCAATGCCAAGAACGCACGGTTTAAAAGGTCACTACTGTCGGCGATGAACACTTGCTGGAGAATCTGCAAACCCGTAGAACCGGCTGAATAGAAAATCTGGGCTGATGCGTAGGTTTGCACGTTGGTAGATGCGGCCATCTGAATATAGCCGAGAACGTAGATCAAAATGCTCAGACAAAAGGCTTCGAAACGGCCAAAGACGTCGGCAACCTTGGCCATGGGTGGTTTGATAACAGCTGCTGTGTATTAGCGGGGCACATTTTATTGGATCTAACGGTGTAGCCCGACAGACGGCTCTTACCATTGACTACATTCTGGACCACGAGGACGGTCGATATCAACGAGTGCTTACTGAAAGCACTAGTGGCATATGCCGACAAGGACATGACCGTTTGTCCCTCCAGGGACGTGCAGAATGCCATGAGAAATATACTTCGCGCCAAGTTAGCGGGGTGTGATTATTAAGGACAGGGACGCTGCAAGCCACACGAACCTGACGTAGGCAACAAGTAAAGATTTCGAAGTCCAAGTCATATTGATCGCCTCGATTTTCCGCACACCTTCTTGTGTCTCATCGGGGGTCGAGAGATCGCTCTCCTCGCCTTGGGTGTCATACCCGTCGGCCAATAATTGATCCCTTTCAGCGTCCATGTTATTGTCCTGTTCAATCGTACCGTAGGATGGGCCAGTGCGAGGGTCGATAAGAGGCATATCCGCGACAGCAGGGATCAAGAAGCAGGATCGATAGAGTGTCCATACGAGGGTCGGGCGAAGCACAGATTGGTAGAGAAAGCACACAAGATTCGACGATCCAGATAGAAAGGGAAAATCACTGACAAATGGATCATCAACAGAGAAAAAGTTCATGCAACATCAGCGTGACCAGAGGCGGACGCACATAAAAGGGGATGAAATCCTGCTTGACTAAACACCGCTTGGGCACCACTCCGAGAGGGGAGAGGGTCCCTATGGCGCGCTGAGCCAGTCAGGTTGACGGCGCGACAATCAAAAAAGGAAAGAAAAAGCAATTAAATACGATAGCAAATCAGCGGGATGATCCGGCGGGAATAAGAAAAAAAAAAAAAAAGGAAGACCGAAATGATGGGGTGGAGCGAGGCGTGGGATGAAGGCGAGGCAAGCGCGGTAATCGAGAATCGTGAAAAATGGCTATGCTTTAAGTAGGATGGGATCGCGGACCAGCGAAGGGTAGATCCGCCGAGGGGCCACCTCGGACCACTATGATCAGTCGTGGGTAATATGGAGGGGAGTCTCTAGCTCCCAGGCTCGATCGTCGGTCGCACTTATGCACGGCGACGGGGTTATCGCAGGCAAAGACGAGTTGCAAGACACGATTCGAGCGTAGCGGGGCCCAGCATTCCGGCTGGCTGCACCAAGACTAGTTCAGCTTGGGTCGAGGGAGTGCAGGTGCGAGAATCAGGTTCCTCAGCTGAGGGGGAGGTCGAAGTCGGAGTCAAGAGTCGCAATCGGAAATAGACAAAGTGGAGCAGATGTCAGGCACGGACGCGGATTCGACTAAGGCAACTCCCGGCTATCGGAGGCCTCGCGTAGGATGGTCTGACACGTTGCCCGAGTTCCGGTACATTCATCAGATATGATTGATCGATAAGATGGCAAAAGGGGCGTTGTTTGGTCGGTTGGCACCGCTACACACTCATCCCTGGTCCTTTGCTGGTGGGGCATCCATTGACAGTGGCGTTATGACGGGGGGATGAACCTTCAGCCCGAGTAGGATTTCTAAGTACCTTACATACAGCCCAAGCAAGTGCTTCGATCTGATCAGATCTCAAGGTAGTTGTCAGAAAGTGGAATAAATCGTTGATGTATTCCATCTTGGGGTAGCTCGAAAATCGAAAAAAATCTATGGGATAATCATCCCTGACGTAGTACCCGTGTGCGGTGCAATTCCGAGTCGGGCACGTGGGACCTGAGCTCAGCAATCGCAAGACATGACCTTCTTTAACTTCTAGACGGTGGCACATTCAAGGCTGCAGTCGATCCATGTACGACTAGGGTCAGTTGATCTCCACAGTGCGGGTGATCACCTTGCCTTGGCCTAGGATCATCTGGACGTCCTGCATGTCTATCACAGGCCCGGGTGCATGGGTTTGAGTCAATATATTCAACATACACAGTGTCCATTTCAAAGTCCTCGCATTCTACCCTAGATACATAGCCCTCTACTTTTACTTCAAATCTATCACCAAGTGTCCAAAGTTAACATCCAGCTCACCCCCCTCCGTACCCGGTCTCGCCGCATAAACACCAACCCAACACTCCTTCACATTCTCCTCCTGGAAGATCCAAGTGACCTCCCGAATAGGCGATTTCTGCACGCCCTCAACCAGATAAATCCAGAGACTATCATCTGCCTCTCGGGCCATCTCTAGCGTTGCCGCTCCACCCCCAGACGGAACAGGAAGCAAACTCCAATCCGACCAGTTGTCCTTGGCGACAGCGCTGAGGTGGGGCTTGCCGTGAGTAAGCTCAATACCCGCCTTCACCCACTTCTGGCTGCCATCCTTGTTGTGCAGGACAAGTATTAGCCCGCCCTGGTCGTACTTGTGTTTCCACTGGGCGCCGAAGGCCACACGCGCCCGCTTGAAGGACTGCAGCGGGACACTCTGGTAGAGGATTGGAGCTGTGAAGCTTTGCGTGTTTGGGGGCTTGGACCAGATGTCTGTGGATGGATGGGCTTGAAGCGTGAATTCGACCGGTAGAGTAGTCCCATCGCCGGGAACTCCTTCTTTCGAATTAACGATGTTGAATTGCGACATGATGAGGGGGTGCGGGGGCTGACGGGTGGTTCTTTGTATGGGCTGAGGGTGAGGGTCAGGCTTTGGCGCGAGTTTGTTGAAATCCGGATAATTAATAGAGTGTGTACTCACAAATGTTGAGGGATTGTCAGAAGATAAATCGCCGAGGAGAAAGAGAATTCTAGGTCCAGCGCAGAAGGTGTAGTACAGGATGCGGCTACGTCACCAAACCCCGGAAACTTTGGGATGACACTTCGAGCTTCCCCGCTGAGGGATCTAGCCGTGGTGCATCTGTGAAATGACTTATTATACCTATTCTGATAGTGAGTTTATCCCGATCCACCTGATGTAGAGCAGGTGGATATAGACACTGGCAACATGCTGCTCGAATCTGTTTGTCTCAGACGATTTGACACAGTATCGGCGCAGTTATTGATAAGTTGGTTCATTTAAGAAAAGTATGAAGTGGTGTTGGTTCTAATTAGCTATTCAGAAGCGATTCATGTTAGTTCGCCAATCCATCTATCGCTCCAAAGAAGCCGAACAGGCTCATAATCCACTGTAGATCGAGTACGGTCACGTGATTACTGCTGACATAAGATCTACGGTGTCAGATCAAAGCAGGCCCCCAAGTTAGGGGTCATCATAGGACATGAATTGGTAGCCCCGATGATGGCTATATCTTCCCAGTCCATCCAAACTATAGAACAGGTCAAGACCACATCGGGAATGGGCTGAAGGAGTCCTGTTCCAACCCGACCCCTCCGCTATGTCCTCCCGTCTGCTACACCCGGACGAGTACGAGCTTCGTTCGCGGTCCTCATCAGTCGATTCCGACGGCACCTTCGACCTCGACGAAGCCGATTTTGAATCCCAGATCCCTTCCACCTCAAGATTGCGCTCGCGCAGATCCTGGCTGCCCAGGATCTTCCAGAACATCTCCGGATACCGTCGTTTAAAGACGAACTCGAGACCACTGCTTACGAGCTCGTCAGGCTCAAATTGTCTCCGTCGCTTCATCTTCCGTCGTCGATGTTGCTATCTTCATGTCGTGTTTGGCATTGTTTTCGCCCTTGTCCTCTTGACATCTATCTTTCGACCATCCTATACCCGTCCTCCGGCGCATTACACAACACTGCGTCGCTCCGCGTTGGACACGAGCTCTGCCGGGCGAGGAAACCCTCGCAATGAGAAGGTCTTCATAGCAGCGAGTCTGTATGACCGTGGTGGTGAGCTCGCCGGAGGTCAATGGGGCACACAACTATTACAGCTGATTGATCTACTGGGAGATCAAAATGTCTTCGTCAGCATCTATGAGAATGACAGTGGAGAGAAGGGCCAAGCCGCCTTACGAGAATTGGAGCAGCAGATTGGATCTCCCAAGGCTATTGTGTTTGAGGAGCACCTAGACTTCAAGACTGTGCCGTCGGTAATGATACCAGGTGGAGAAAAACGGGTCAAGCGCATCGAATATCTCGCTCAGGTCCGGAACAAGGCATTGAAACCACTTGAAGACAACCCGGACACGAGGTACGATAAGTTACTTTACTTGAATGACATACTATTCGACCCGATCGACGCAGTGCAGCTACTCTTCTCGACGAACGCCAATGCAGACGGCGTTCCTCAATACCGGGCTGCATGTGCTGTCGACTTCGACAACCCTTTCAAATTCTATGACACCTACGCCACCCGCGATCTTCAGGGATACAGCATGGGGCTTCCCTTCTTCCCTTGGTTCTCAGCAGCCGGTGACGGGGCAAGTCGCCGTGATGTTCTCGCTGGGAGTGATGCCGTTCGAGTACGCAGCTGTTGGGGCGGTATGGTTGCATTTGATGCCAAGTACCTACAGACTCCACCCCCAACCAGCACTACCCCAGTCCGCTTCCGCTCCGGAAAAGACCTCTTCTGGGAAGCCTCTGAATGCTGCCTCATCCATGCTGATATTCAAGATCCACAAACCAACGTCGACGACATCACCGACACCGGTATCTACATGAACCCTTACGTTCGTGTTGCATACGATCGTCGTACATTATCTTGGTTGGGAATCACTCGTCGCTTTGAGAAACTTTACTCCTTCCTCCATAACTTGGGCAACCACCTTGTTGGTCTGCCCTGGTATAACCCTCGCCGTACCGAAGTCCCTGGACAAAGTGTACAGGAAACAGTCTGGATACCCGACGCCGTCCAAGATGGAGGTGGATCCTTCCAGACCGTCGATCGAGTAGCCGGAAATGACGGCTATTGTGGACGTCGGGGTCTTCAGGTTATTGTTGAGGATCGACAGCCTGGACAAAAGGGCTTTGAGAATATCCCCGTTCCATCGTGATTAAATCTGAATGACATTGATGAGGATCTAATGCTGTATATTGGAGAGCTACTTAATATGACTGCCTTGTATGATACATCCATTGTCCCTGGTGCATTGAGCCCTTTGTATGCCAGGCTATGCGCCTAAAGGCTTCAAGTGTGAATTTAGGTAGTCAATCGTTTTCATTTTCTCTTTTTGGGTTGCTATGATTTCCATTCGATGTGTTGACGTTTGCCCTGTTTGGGACACGCACCGTAGCCCTCTGCGCGGACTTGTCGACACCTACTTCGCTCGCCTTCACCTACCATATTCCTCAATTTCTTCGCTTCACATCCCCATTAACTTCAAAAGTTCAGACGAATACACGCGTGCGTACTTTATTTCCACAGCCTCAATTCGTTCAGCCGTCATCCGTCATTCAATATGACTTTCCCTTTCTTCCTCCCTGACACTTCCTTCCCTCTGACTTTTCCTGAAGCACGTCTGATCTTCAGCTTCATTTCCTCCATCCTATTCTGCCTTCCTGACCTGCATCTCCTTCGGGTCATGTCCAAGCGTCTTGGTGAACCTAACAAAGGCTGGGCCACAATCACCCCCGAGCGCTTTGAAGAATTGCTCGAGGCACAACGGGCAACTTACGCCGTCCTCACTGACTATCTGGCTGAGAGAGGACGGCCTCTCGAAGACAGTATCCATGCCCCTCCTGGCATCGCTCCTATCCGCCGTGCTCCTCGTCCTGCTAGACAGCGCATTGTGGCTGACTGCCAGGACATTTTTGTACGTTGAATATTGTCCATGCTGCCTTTGATTCATCCCACACATCCCAGACTTTCACTTCAATTGCTTTCGTGAATCTTTTTTCCCTCTGATCTCTCTTACACCCTCTTTACCTACAACCTCTCCACCCCAGTCATCTCGTCCATGCGTTACCATGTCACACTCTCCACAACTGCAGCGGCAAACGCAGGTACTGACACTCGAGACACCCAGAGTTTCAACTCTCTGAGCGATGGTGACAACAAGCGGAGCGCCTCGCCCTCTGTCAGCCCTGGTGCTGGTGTCAATCCCCTTGCGCCTGCCTTTACCCCTACTTCTCCTGCCGAGACCTTCCCCGAGGCCGATAATCTCGAGGCCAAAATTCGCCGAGGCGTTCGTTCCCCCGACGAGTTCATGATGCTCGTTAGATCACTCAAGAAGGTCAACATCACCGTGCCGCCTCGCCGAATTGTCTTTGGAAATCTGCCCAAGGGAACCAACATCTCGGATGTTATTTGTTTGGTCTTTGATGGCGCCATCATGCGCGCCTGGAGTGTTGTTGATGATCAAGTGATTGTCGAATTCTGTGACGATCTTGCTTGCCGCCGCTACTACGATGCAAATTTTCCCGGCATCAAGGTCTGCGGCGACCACGTTATTACCGTTGAGAAGCCGGACGACACCGAGGTTCTCACGGATGTGCAGCGCCTTCACATTAAGAATGGAGTTTCTCGCTTGGTTGGCATCAATGGCATTACTAACCACTTGTTCGCTCCTCTCTGTGAAGTTCTCAAATGCTACGAACTGGATCACACCCATTTGGTTGAATGCGACAAAGTAAGCCTCTTTTCATTCTGAAAGTGAAAAGGAACCCACTCACCATACATCTCCAGCCCGGCATGATCTACGTCTATTTCCGCAACCTCGCTCACGCCTCAGACTTCCGTACCAGACTGGAAGAGGACTCCTCGCGCTGGGGTGACTGCGTCGTCGACTACCTTCCGGACCCGCAAGTTTTGCTCTTGCCCCAATCCAATGCTCAATTGAGAGGTTGCTGACAATTTCCAATAAACAGTTGCAAGGTCGCTACTCGATTCCATTTCAATGGAGCCTCCCCGCGATTCTACGGTGCCGCGATCGCACCTCCCGGCCAGCCTTCGACCCGCGCTTCTTCCTTCAGCGCCTAAACATGCGATAGATGCTCCGGAATTAAATCGCTGAAACGTGAGAAATAACTTAAAATGACTCGCTGAGGTCCTCCGGGCTCTTGAAACCGTTTATGAAACCGTCTTCCCCCTGCCCGTTTTACTTGTGTTCTCGTCAGCTCTTTGCTAGTATTTCTCAATCTGTGATCAACAAGGTCTTTAATGATGGAAACTCCGAGATCTTGCGGTTGTCTTAGTCGACACGCCAATGAATTGAGTCTAATTTTCCCTTCCATCCCATGTAGTAATAACAGTAGGTACGCTCGTGACTTAGTTGTCGAAGGATGTGGTGTAGCGTCTAGCAAATCAGTCCTTGGATACTTGGCATTCTGTCGTATTATCATGAGGAAAACCTTAGTATGTCAAAGTTCATGCTGGACTTGCATAGAGAATATCGGACTCGAGTGTGCGGACTCGCGAGGTCAACATCCGTGTAAAACTAGTATTCCTTTCGGCATAATCATAAAATTGGCGCGCTTGGCAATTTCCAAGGGCTCCAAGGCTTTGTATGTGGGTGATCTCAGCACAAAAGTGATGGGTTCTGACAAAGATTGACGCATGGCCTCATTTACCAGGCCCTAACATCAATGTCACAACGCCGTCATTTGCGCTGTATCCATTTCATTTGCACTTGGCTCGCACCCGGTTTCCACGCATTCAATGTTGACCTTTACGGGTCAGAATGATGGTCTTGCCGGTCCAGCGGTAATACTACGCCTGCGCATTTCACATAGGCCGCAGATAACCAAGTCGCAGATACCCTAGTTCCTTTGCCCAGACGGATGGCATGAATAATATGATCTCTTCAACCCATACCCTTTATTAAGTGCTATCAATGTTGTAGCGAACCCCTTACGTTGTGAGTACTCGCGCTTTGTTCGCACTTCAATGCAGTTGAGCGCTCTCCACCTTCCCGCCAGGCATCTCACTTATCACACCCTTGACATCCTAGAGAACGTTCTGCCCAAACTCCTATAACAAAGTCAGCATACCGAAACCCCCCCCCTTCTCCCCACAGTAAGCCCATACCGTCCCCCGATAAGCAGTTCATCGCGACGCGATCGATCGGTCTTTGCACCCGATTCCCCGGCGGACGGAAAAGCGGCGGCGTCACTCCGCAAATAAGAAGCCGCGTACATACTTCGGCCGATAAAAAAGGCGCCCCTCTTGCCCGATAGGTGCTTAGCGTGCCCTAATTAGCTGATGGCTATGCATGGTGTTCTTGACAGGGATCATGCATCTAGCCCCTTGGTCCCCGAGGTTCGGCGTTGTGTTTGAATAGGGTGTAGGCGACTGTCTTTTCTTTGTTAGAGTGTGGGTTTATTGCAGTACTGGGTTAGATAATCGATAGCGGTTGCCTTAGTGTACAGATACCGAGGCCCAATTCCGGTCAAGCCCGGCGCGGAGTTTCTTTTGGTAAGTGGTGACTAAATGGTACAAATTGCAAAATTGCAAAATTACAATGTAGACTGACCGCCAGTGTTCCCCGAAAAGCCACGCCATCATTCAACGCCAATGCAGAACGCACACTGCAAGCAAATATAAATACTAAATGCAACGCCGACAGGCTCCAACTCATGCCCACGACGAGACCACAGAATAGTCGTAATAAAACCCACCCTCATTAGCTCAAGTGGGAACCCTACTACTCCGGAGCCGCTCTCCCCGACCTAACTCTGACCCCCCAAAGACCAAAGTACCAACACCCGTTGGCGTCGTTCTTAGCCCCCAATCCAAGGAAGAAGAAGAAGAATCATTCAACCGGTAAATTAGAGACCAACAAACCCATTTACGCTAGCCACGACTAACCTGCTTTCTACGATTGAGGCTGAGACTACAGTCACAATCACAATCCCCCTTTCCAATTTCCATTTTCCAATGCCAATGCAGAAACATGTACTTCGGCTGCGAGACCGATGTTACTAGTCCCTCCGTGCTTCGCTTGTGCGCGGACGTGGACACTATGGAGTGACAAACCCAAAGTACTAAGTACGGCTCGGTGCGCTCTTAGCTAGTACACGTCGAGTCATGTCGTGCGCGAGGCTGCGTCAGATGTAACGGCGGCATTAACAATGTGATTTTCTCTATCTCTCTCTCCCCCTTTAAGCCCTCGCAAGGGTCGATGCTTAAAAGGGGTTTATTTCACGAGGTCTCGAGCTCGGGTTCGGACGTTCGGACCCGCGAAGCTCGGCTTACAGAGCTTACGCTATAGATGTATTAGAAATTCAAATTCAAATTCAAAGTTAAAGTCAATTCCAGATCCAGATTCAGATTGAGATCCAGATCCTTCAGAAACTCAGTAAGCTCTAGCTAACTAGCCCCTCCCCCCCCCCCCCCCCCCCACCGCATTCCCTCAAATAGAAATCCAAGACCCGCGCGGTTTGGGGGCCACCTTTCGAAAATCCGACAAGCATTTGTTTAATTAACTGAAATTTTGGATTATGCCAATTGGGGAAATTCCGATTCGTAGTCACTAACGCCTCGCCTAATGGATTCATCTCGCCTAATTGACGCGGAAGAGGGAAGCTATTCCGTAGTCACCGCCCGAAGTGGGCGGGTGGATTTGGTGTGGAGGTTCATGTGGATCTGGTTTTTTGGGCTAGGGAGATCGGCTCCATGAGGAATTTCTGAAGGTGGATATTGAAGTGATCGGGTTTTGGAATATTTGCTTAGGTATGTGAACTTTCCAAGTCACGGAGGAATGTCGAGCTTAGTGTATGTCTATGTACTTGGTGGGTGTTTGTTTACCTTTTCGGTCGTGCCCCAGGGGTAAGTGATGAAACCAAGCTAAGCAAGGCTTCAATGTTGGGTTCGTGGCTATTCACGGGTAATCAGGATGTCATTAATTCTCAACCTTGTGCTTCGGTGCGGATACTGGAGCTACGGTAATCGAAGCTACGCTTGTTCAACAGCTTCACTCTAGATCAGTAACATTGCTGTCATATCTTGTAGTAGTTATATCATAGAGCCTGGAACACAGCATCGGCATTCCAAAAGCTTAGCCCAAAAAAAGCAGATAGCCTCCCAACCCAAAACGCAACAGAAACTCCGTTGAGGTATCTTGAAAAAACGCAAAAAGCCTCTCCGAAACAGAATCCATGTCCTATCATGTCCTATAGGAACATGCAAGAAACCAAAGAGAGAGAAAGAACAAATCACGCCTGCTGCCTCGCCTGATGCTCTCTCTGCATCTGCAGCGCCGTCTCGCGATCCTCCCTCATCCACGGATACCAAACATTAGCCCACTCAATCACGCCAAATCTCGGCGCCGCCGAATCAGCACCCAGACTTGCGCCCTCGCGCAGGAACTCTCCGTCTCTCATTCTCCTCTGCTCGCGCAGCGTAGGACACTTCTTTTCTTTGATAAATCGGTAGAACTTGCACTGAATACCTTGGAACCCACGTCTCTGACGGCTAGGGAACTGGCGATTGAAGCTCTCGCGAACCTCCTTCCACTCCTGGCACAGGTCGACGCGGTGGTACCAGATAAAGTACATTTCTTCTTCCTCATACTTTGGGCGCGGGGGACGCCGACGGTCGGCGTTTGTCGAGGATGATGAGGAGACGGAGTCATAGCGCTCGCGCGGCTGGTATGGGTCTGGGCTTGAGTGGGCGGACCCGCTTGGCCGGTAGGATAGGAACATGTGGTGATGGTGGTGCATGCTTGCGGCTGAGTTGCTGGAAGCATGGGTGGTTGCTGTTGAGGTTGCGCCGGGGCTTGTGTCGTGGTAGCCTTGGTAGCGCCAGTAACCTGGTGATGGGGGATAGCCCTGTTGATACGGTGTTGTTTCGCATGGTGAGACGGGCTGGTAGTCTCGTTCCACGGAGTCGGTGGGTGGATTTAGGAGAGAGTCAATCTTCATGCGGCTTTGCCGTGATGAGGGGAGTTTTGTATATGTTTCCGTGTGGGTGTCCATGTTGATGGTTGAGTATTGCTGAAGTTGCCTCTCTCTCTCTCTCTTTTTTTTTTTTTTTTTTTCTCTTTATGGTCGCTTGATTGCTTTATAGATATTGGATCGGGATGTTGTAGAACCCGAGGACCGGATCCGTGTACTTCCAGTACGGGGTAAAGATGATCAAACAAATTCCAGACGCTGACAATATGGAATTGTCTGAAACTCAAACTCTCAGAAGCTGGAGAGTAATGTGTGTGAGGTTGAGTGGGTGGGGAGCAAATATACGCGACCACCCCAAAGTTATAGGAAGGGGATTATAGATCGAAGTAGAATAAATCTAAAATGACGGAAGATCTCCTGGAGCAGCCGGGCTTAAATGAGAAAATAGGGAAACCCATTGCGCAAATAGTCGCAGGCGCAGGCTAACAGTGCTGTTGGGTGCAGTGTACCGAATGTATGGGTCGGGCTGGTTGTCTGCTCCTTTGGCCCCCCTGTATAGTTGTACCGCGGATACACACAAGGCTTCTTGGGGCTAACAGGGGAGTGGGTTCAGAGAGGGGGCCATCCATCAATGGGGGCAACCCCCCAATGACTCGACTCTAAAAAATTAAATAAATAAATAAATAAAAAAAAGAATTAAACAAAATTAAAAGAAAAAATACAATTAAAAAATACCCGTCCTGAATAACCGGTGAACGGTACGGGATCTGTGATTTGGAAATATCTCATTCGCCACTGGGTAAATTGATATCGCAAGTTCATTTGAAAATAGTCGCTGGTGGCAATCCGTGGTTCCATACCAAGGAAACAGGGTGTGGTCTTTGGATCGGGTAATTTCCAATCCTTAGACTTCAGAGTGTGGCTTTCGGTGATCGGTCACTTTACGACTTTCTTTGTTAGAAAACGCGGCAATTCGACTTGTTGGTGGAACGGAGCGCAAATGGCACAATCTTTCAGTAGATCTTTGGTTTTTATTTGGTTTTTCAATTATTATTTAATTTTTGTGTATTTTATTTTTCTATCGCGGGGGAACTGCACAGCAAAATTACCAAAAATGACAAATTGTGGGGACACGTATTTTGAGACTCGATTCGCCATCGTATACGAGACCCATCACTGTCTAGCAGCGGCACAGTCTGTGGTCCTCAGCACAGCTGAGAAGAGAGAGAGAGAGAGAGAGAGAGAGAGAGAGAGAGATAAAGGTAAGTACTAGAGAGATAATCATGCAGAATGAGTGGGATAATCAGCATCGCGTGTATTTTCTGTTTTAGCCCAATGTTTCAAAAGCCCACCTTAGATATTAATCTGGAAATTTTGTTACATAAATTTCAAGTGAGCATGACAAGTGGATTCGGACGCTCTGACCCAGAACGTTGAAGGACCCTCTTTGCGGTTTCTCCGGGGGGTGGGGTGTCCTCAGTAGGTAGATAGAAATGGTAACCTCGCACGTCCTTGGCCTCGCGACTCAGAAAAACTAAACGAAAGCAAAAAGCAAAAAGCAAGAATGACAAAACCAACAGACAAGCGCGGCGTCTATTGGAAGATTGCTAGTCACCTGTTGTAACGCAAGCCGTGGCCCTGGGACGAGTAGACAAATAATATAAAGGGACTAATGCGGGCTCAATTTGTGCACAGTCAAGTGGATCCCTCGTTGCGTCTGCCAACGCATCTGCAGGAGAGAATCAATATCCCCGATACTGGTTATTAAACGAAGGAGTTCAGAATGAGAATGACAAATATGACAGACGTAAAAAATGGCGCGAATTGGTGGAGAAAAGTCGACTCCGAGATATAACGAACCATGGTAGACCGCGGGGATGTTCTACATTCTAGTTCTATCCTAGTCCTAGCACGGCGTTTCCGTGCACAGTCAAGTTTCAACCCGAATTGGTCTCCCCACACAGTCGAGATCAGGTCAAAGCTCCCCGGGATCGTCCACCCCCTTTGAATCGCGTGATGTCATTGCGATCGTCGGTCATCTGCAACGGCTTTCTGACAGAGACGATTTTCTTCAGCGGCTTTGATTTGACCTGATGAAGATACCCGCGTACCTAGCTATACATAGAGATACACCAAGGGCCTGTGCTCGGGGTAACGCTTCTCGAAGTGTTTTCCCAACTAGGGTAGGTCCACGAGGTAGCAGGGTAGCAGGGGAGAGTAGCCTGTCACAGGCCCCTGGTTCGAGCCCATAATTTCCCTAGGAAGGAGGACGACCTTTCTTTGTTCAAGTTCCAGGGCCTGGAGCTCCCGGCTCCGTGCAGATCAGATCAACATGGCCCCCAGGCTATAACCTGCGTGCGGCCCCCGGTTCTTGACGCAGTGGAGTCACGTCCAATGAAGAGGCTAAATCGCCGGCATTAGTCGCGTAGCCGCAGTCACTCTGGGTCATGTGATAGCGGAGATGCCGAGTCTTTCATCTCGCTTTGACTGGAGTTCCGCTATTTTCAACGCATTTGCTTATTGCCCTCCATACCTCCTCGGGCCTGGTCGCTAGGGCGTTTCCCTTTCTAGCTCTAACCCGTCCGTGGATCTCCCGGGACTCTCAGTCACATTCGTTACGAGTCATGTCGTGCATGTTGCATCCCGATCTTGGCACCAACGGCCAACCATCAGCAAGGAGCCCTCGGCTGACCAGGGTGGAACGTGGCAGAAATACAACAATTATGATCCAATCACGGAATTGAGGATCCTGTTCTTTTTTATGATGGGCTCTAAATACGCTGCACAGATGTGTCTCCTGTGGATCGACATGCCTTTTCCCCCTCCTCGTACCCCCTACAATCTACGCCTCTCTGATTTTTTTTTTTTTTAAAAGGGGGTTTTTTTTCCTTTTTCTTTTCTTATGTACTGTTTTCTTCTTTCTATGGATCTATTCGCTTTGTCTGCGATCCTCGATCCCGATTATACTTTACAATTGGACTCAATCCCATGCAGGGTACCTAGAGTTTCGGCAGGGGCTAATTTGAAATAATCCTTGAGTCAAGAATTAGCCCGCTATGGGCAACGCCATTTCCTGAGCCACCCGCTAGCGATAGCCGCCGTCTGCAGGTCGGTACCAGCCTTTTTTTTTTTTTTTTTTCTTCCTTCATTTATACGTAGTCGCACGCAATTTAGGTCGCGTACTGAATACGACGTAACTTCCCCCTTCGACTAGGATTAAGGCATCCGAGACTTTTGTTTCTGCTTTGGAGACGGGATGATCCCGGGCGAACAAGACTGTCTCGGTGTGAGGGAGGCGTCATCGAATCCACACATGCAGTTGGACCCCTGCGAATGTTGCGCAGTGACTGCGCAACAGTGCAGAGCTAACGATGAGGGGGCGGCCGTCGATTGAGCCGAGGGGAACGGTTCGGCTCACTACTCCCCACGACTATCAAGAAAGCGCGCACGTTCACTTTCCCTTTCCTATGTCTATTACCCGAATGCCTAAAGGTAATGTGTACGGTACGGTATGGTATTACGTACCTGTCGCATCACCTACCCAAAATGAATACCAAAAAAACAAGGCTGGAACCGGAAACACTGCCGCCCCGATTCATCCCTGCATAGATCCTGCTTAGATCGCGGCCCCCCGAACTGCGCCGAACTGTCACTTCTAGTACGCGTGGCATGCCGACTGTTCTGCGCAGGTTGGATTTAGGAAGGATTTCTAGGGCATTGGCCGCCCAATTGCTTCCGCGCACTCTTAGCTGTCCAATGGCGTAATGGTGGGAAACCAAATGAATGATCGTCAAAATCCCCCTAAGATCACAAGGACCAACCACTGGGGCAGCGGAGTTACTCGTCTACGAAAAAAATCACAGATCTTCCCATCTGACATTGCGCCCAACCTACGGTAGCAAAAGTGGTTCTCTGTCAGCTATTACAAAGTCTAATGCTGACGAGGACCCATCAAAACCTGGATGGATAAATTAATTTGGAAACGAGTCATGAATACAAGATTCACCACCACCAGCGAACCGCGGTACGGCCGAAGAGGAAGTGTCTCGGTGCCGACAACGGCCACCACTTTCAGCCTCATTTAATTAATAATTTGGCTGATCAGGCAAAAATCATGCAGAAGCCAAATAGGAAGTGAAAACGGCGGTGCGTACAGTAGTTCACGGCTCCACTCTTTGGCCCCCACCGTCGCACCCATTACTATATTGGGCGTAGCGGCCGTCCTACGACAAGCCATGTGGCCCAGAATCCGGCTGACCAGATCCAGAAAGTGGTGTCGTGCGCTTGTAGGTAACCTAGGCTGCCTTGAAGATCTTCTTGAACTGCAAGAAGACCCGAAATCGCCAATCCCATTTCTCTAGCATCCCCGCCTCGAAAGTAGGGGGGTGGGTGAAGGATCCCAACTTCCGTCTGACATAACGGAACTTACGTAGAAGCCGATGGAATCTCAAAAGGAACAAAGGGTCTACTCAATTCAGCTTAGCCGTCGAAAATGACGAACGTGAAGACATGGCTTAGGGCTTATGGCTGATAGCATGTGGCTCCTGCGGATTTCGACACGCTTCTGGAAGATCGACCCGCCATCCAGGAATAATACAAGATAAGCGAAGCAGCAAATCAGAATATCGGAGAGCCCAGGGCCCAGACATTATTGAACCTAGCTTCAAGATGGTGAGACCTATCGTGATATCAGATAAAGAGGTCTAGGTCACCGGTAATTTATTTCGCACCTCTTACCCATCTCTGCAGTCTCCACCAGCGGATCTGAAAATGTATTCTTCAGGCTATGGGTGGTGGAACTCGTGTTGAAGGATCCATTATCCGTTCCTATAATCTTCAGACTTCAGAAAAACTTAGTTGCAAGGTTTACAGACAGGTCCACGTCTGATTACCAAGTTAGGTAAGAGCCAAAGTATAAAGATTAATACCCGGCGACTCCTCGGCATTATTCATTTACTGTTAAATTTCTTACTTTTAGGCTTTAGTTCTAATATGTACTCTCGCTAATGACTTCCTGTACCTAACGCTAGAACGAATGCTAGTGGTCGTGCCGGACGCCTCAGCAAAAGTACGTGAGCCCCGCGCGTCAAGCCACCGGCTTTTTTTTTTTGTTAAGTGCCAATCTCGCAGGGGCCGAGCACGGGCACGTGGCTTTGGGAGCTTGGATCACCTGGAGATGAAGGTGAGCATGACGATTCGAGATGATCGTCATTCATTTCGTCACGGGAAGGTTCAAGTTCAGGGTTCTGCCCACAGCTTAGAATGTTCGTTTTGGATGGTCAACGGTCAACGGTCAACGGTCAACCTTGCATTGGCGGTGTCAACCTTCAGACTCAGGAGGCTTGACTCTGGTCTCATCTCGCTTCGCGAGTCAGATGAACCATGATCTGCCAGTAACACTGTCCCTCCACGCCACAATATAATCTTGTCTCCGCTGGGCCGCGGGTATTGGCTCCCTCGTTTACTGGAAGCTAGGGAATTATTTACTCCAGACAAGTGCATCCGCCATGAATCCTGCCGCCAAGGAGGCTGGGCAGTACCCGCCTCGACTGTGGAAGCCCGCAGGAGTCTCTGATCTCCTAAGCCGAAACCGAAGTCTTCCCATGAGGACGTCAGGGTCAGCCCAGAATCCTGGGGGCACGGGGCCTTGTCCTATCTTCATATTCGTGATACGAAGCCGTGCATTCCTTGCTCCTTCACGATGTGTCTTGGATGTCGTCAGACCGATGATCCTGTGGGCTGGCAGGGAATCCCTCTACAGGACACTGGGCACAGTAACCTAGCACAAGGGGGGTCATTGGAGACACCGTATATGTAGAGCACTCCCTCATTAGCCCAATGTGCCAGCGCTCCAGCGCTCCACCGTTCCATCCGCTTATCATGATCCGTCTAATCAGATACATCTCCAAGTTGTAACGCGAGGGGTTACAACGGCACGACTCATGATCATATGGCGGTGCCCCCCCCCCTCTAGGCCACCCTCTAAGCCAATGCTGATAATTATTTAAGCACCCAATCAGACAGCACATAGGCACTGACAACAGTCCCAGGATCAGACTAATGCTTCAACCGTCACACCGCGCGCCAGGGCCCCGGGACCGTAGCTTCAGGCTAACACTGCACAATACAGTTGACAGCCCATAAAGGGTCTGTTCTCACTCTATTCCTATTCTCGAGATTGTGTCGCTTGGATTCTTAACGGTCAGGTTTCTTGACAGGTGGGCTAGCCTGTTGTAGAAGGTCCTTTGCTTGTGCAAGAAATGAAAGTCAACGCTATCTCCGCGGGTGGGGGTATTACAGAAGTAGCACAGTAGTAGTGGTAAGTCCACTAAAACGAAGCTGTCTCAGTCTTAATATCCAGCAATCAGAAAGCCCCGAATACTTCTTACTCTCGCGACAATCCATTGAGGATATATGGTCCGCCCCAAACACTGACTCGGCCCACCTAACTAAGCAGAGCACCCTTCTCCGGCTGCCTTGTCTCGGTGATCTCCGCCCATACCACAACGAAACCAGTCTATGTATAGACTATGACAATTTTTGGCGATCACCGATATCCAATCCACCCATGATGTTAGCCTAGGTCTGGCGGTGTCGCATCCTTTGTAAATAATTTCAAATTCGAAATCCAAATCTAAAAATACTGACTCGCATCGCGGAGTTCCGATCAATATTATTCCCGTAATTGGCAGACGGGGGCGAGTTTATCGGTCCTCGGACTTTACCTCCAAAAACCTCAAAACCCGGGACGGAATTACCATTGCCCTCGGCCTGTCACAATCCACAGCCGCGCGTGATTCTCCGCCTTGCGTATTGTGGAGCTTATTGGAATTTCCAAACTGTAAATTGTCGTATTTATGGTATTCATCTGGCCCACGCCTGGATACAAAAATCCGAGATACACCCCCTTACGGTACCATACACACACAACCATTACCCCAATTTCATGCGTGTAACTAGGGGTGCGGAAAACACAGCCTGCAGAGCCGCACTCTTTGCCTTTTCAAGAAACGTTTAGAATGGAGTTTCCGCTAAGGATATCCGACATAAGCGTCGCGCAACTTCGCGCAACTTATACTAGTGTTCTGCTAGTTCCTTGAGTGATTCGGAGTTGCGAGGTCTGGATTGGGTCACTATACTCAAGAGATAAAGAGTCAACCCCACACCGAGAACCAGGACGAGGTCGAATCCATGGTACGCCCGTCCCACCCGGGCGCTCCGGGCACGGAGAACGCGGACTGATTTTCTTCAGCTGAGTCAGGCGGGATGTTTCCGATACAGGTCGAACTTGGTTGCTGGATTATTACCATCCATGTCTGGTGCTGTCGTATTGCTCAGTTGGATGAGTTGTCGGTGAGATGAGATGGGATGTTGTAAATCGATCTATTCTCAAAAGTGCTGGATGAAGTACTACGACTACGAATATCGTTAAGTATAATGTGTATCGCGATAAGCCTCAACACCTGCCCAAGTAGGCAACCTGTGAATAAAAGTGGTAAGATATCCCCGGCTTGGTACAAGGGATGTTACTTACAGCCCTACCTTCGTCCAACATGTATAGCATCATACCCTGTAAACCAACTCCTACGCTCGTACGCGCGAACGAATGAGCGGTGCTAGATGGGCGCCAAAGGGGTACTTGAGCTCGGGTCGTCTCACGGGGCAGATCGGCTGCATGGTACATGCAGAGCACACTCTTTCAGGGCATGCAGGATGACTGATTTGTATATGTTGGTGTTAAACTGGGCACGAGAGTGGGCGAATCGTGACCTTTGGAAGTTGTTGGCTTTGAGTGGCGTGATTCGGAGTTGGATTGGTTGTATTGGCTTTTGGACTGCATATTTGTTGCTTGTTTCCCAAGGTCTATATGTACGCCTCCAAGTGGTAGCTATTAATGTTCTAAGGTTGCAGTGCAGAAGCACGATGGAGCGCTAGTTATTCTTTTTGGAGCTGAGGTAGTTGCCAGGGCTTCAGATCTATGAAATATTCGATTTGGGAGGTTTATTTCAAACGTAGTTTTTGAGTTGTAGGCTGTTATTCTCTTCTTTTCGTCACCGATAATACCCGGTCCTCGACCCCGCATCGCCCCCACGTGGAATTGCCGTGACGGCCATCTCGGACCATCTTCAAAATTAAGAGTTTGTAGTCTTCAGGACCAAGGACCTTTCCGAGGCATGAAAGAGGGGCAGGGCGCCTGACCGGATAAAGGGCCATTCAGATCTCTCACAGGATCACGGAGAAAAAGGCTGACGGTCAGCACGTAGAGAAATCGGAAAGTGGTAATTCATTCGGAAAGTGCCAAGTGTTGGGGTCTGCCATAGGGTCAGGGGTCTTCAGATGGAGACCACCAACATCAAGGAGCCAGCCACAGCGGCAGCGCAGGGTAAGTACGAATTCAGAAAGCCCGCAGAAAGGATTGATTCGTCTCGTCCTAATGGAACATTCAACCTCCTGATAATCATGATTCGTCAATCTGCCTCGCCAGCCTTTTCAGCCCTGATACACACTCATACCTGGCTCTCAGCCAGCGTCAGGCCAATGAGACCAGGATAAGGACAAGTATCCGTGCAAGCTATGCGCGATTCCAATCCAGGCATGCCACCCCCACACATCACCAGGAAGTTCCCAATCAGAAGCTCTCCTCGTCGGAATCCATGCCGCCATACCGACGTTGGTATCCATATCCAGATCCGAATGGGGCGCCACCCTCATTATCGGAGTATTCGAGATCGAACTCCTCGTCATCAGACACAGCTTGGCGGCGGTATTTACTGTAAATGGCAGTTGGATCGTCATTTTCGTCTCCAGACGAAAGTTCCTCGTCCGGGTAGTCATTGGCTGGGTTATTCTCCGCTGTCATCTGGTCAGCAACGTATTCCTCTCTTTGCTTTTTCTTTGTCTCATATCTTGTTTTTCAGGTGACTATGACGGCCTGATAGGCAAAGAGCCAAGACACGGAGATTGGCTGAATACTCACCATTGGAATCGGCGTCCTCGCTATCCCATTCCTCCTCGTCATCTTCGATAAAGTGTTCCCAAACTTCCTCGTCTTCGGCTGTGATGACAATGACTCCAATGCCGCGGTTGGCTGCCTCGATCTGCTTCATCTGCTGATCGGACTGGAGTTCAGCCAGCGGGTTCGTAAGCATATCGGACTCCGCGATGGGCCGACGGATGTAGACATCGTAAACGTAGTCATCCTCGTTATCTTCCGCCTGAGCGGAAACATCCTCAATATTCGACTCGGTTGGTGGTTGAACCTCACGAGGCTGCTTCGGCAAGCGCGGCTGGACTTTCAATGGCTTCGGCGCAGAAGCAGGCACATACCGAGTTGGCTGCACAGGTGCGACGGGGCTCTCATCATGGTCAACTTCCATGTCCTGCTCCATCTCCAGCGCGACCTGTTCGAATTCACGGGCGAGTTTCTCAGATTCTTCGTCCCAGGTACTCTGCTTCGCCTGCGCAGACTTTTCAAACGTCTCATAGATCTGCTGCTTCGCAGCCGAGATAGCGTTCTGTCGCTCTTCTCTCCACCGCTTCTCAGCCTGGTTGACAACAGGTCGTTTTCTGGGCTTGACAGGTGAGACGTTTACCATGTCCTCCGCCTCGACGTCGATTTCATCAGCCGGTGTCCGACCAACGAGATCCGCAACCATCGAAGCCTGCCGGGAGTGCGGTTTACGTCGAAGCTGCTCAACGAGAACAGCCACTCGCGGTGATCCACCATCACGACGCTTCTGAACGCCACCCGAGCCGCGAAGAGAGCCCAGGCTAGGGGTACTGGACCTAGAGATCTGGAACCGACGCACTGAATGCGAGCGGCCATGCGTTGGAGCAGGACTCTGCTCTCTCGACCTCTTGACTGGAGACTCCACACGAGACACCGGCGCAGACTGGATAGTAGGAGCCGGTTGTAAGGCGCGCTTACGCTTCTCGTCGGCCGCTTTCTGCTCGGCAGTCTTCCGTTGGGCATCGCGGATCTCCGCGCCTGGAGAGGTAGCGCGCACTAATGGCACACCGCTTGACGAGATAGATTGCGGTGCTCGCTGTTTGGGGGCATACAAGCTGCTCACGGAGCGGGGACTGCGTAATAGTCTCTGCGCGGCTGGGTGTGCTGGTGCCGGGGCAGCATCATCGATATTCTTAGCACTGACAGTGACGCGCTGAAAGACAAAGTCCGTGAAGCGGCGCTTGGTCTGGTGCAGTGCAGCTTGGATGTCTGGACAGAGGGTTAGATATGCAATGGAGCTGGACATAAAAATTCCAGTGGGGCAGCGCGGGGTATATTCGAGGGGCCCGGAGTTGAAATTATGGCCATGGTGAGGTTAAGCAGGTCAAGAAACATGCATATGGCCATGCAGACAGGACTTTTGTACAGCTCCGCTGTCGCATGTAGACAAAATTATGTTGGAGGGGTCTAGATCGTGGGGTAAAAAACAAGAGTGAAAAAAGGGGATTCCGTACACAATGTCTCCACGGGCTCCTCCTCTCGACGGCGCTTGATGTTGATCTGCTCTGGTGGGAGAGCCATTGTGAATGCGTCTGGTGAGGTTGATGATGGCAGCTGGAAACGAAACCTTGGTGGTGGAAGAGGCCGCTTGGTAAGTCGAGATCGGGTTTCGTGGGTGGCACGTGATATCAGATCTCGATCAGTGATCAAGTACCAAGTCGAGTTTTTACTTCACTATTCGTTACTAGCTTGTTCATTGATCATCTTTCGTCGACTCATTTCATTCTTCCCTAGGAACTTTCCTAATTACACATCTGTAGCCCAAATCACCCGTCTCGACCTATCCCTCGAGGCGGGCGCGAGCAAGAAAATGGGTATTTTCACTGGATCGTACCACCCGATGCAACCACCCAACTGCATGCAAATGAAATAAAAAGCAGTAAAGGGGCCGATATCCACGAGACACAAGCAAAGCCCAAGACATCTTGGTGATGCCAGTTTAGGTCCGGGAACCAACCTGGCATGCTCTTGCCCATCCGCAAAATCGAGAAAGAAGAAGCAAAAAAAGCTCATAGCCAGCTAGCAATACAAAGTGATAAGCGAAGGGGATTAAAGGAGGTAGAGGTCATGGAGGAAAGAATTTTGGTCCCGGAAGAAATGGAGCCAAAACAAAAGGCAATAGAAAAAAAAAACAATGGCAAAAGAGAATGGTGTAAAAGAAGGTATTAAGACCAATACACAAAAAGAAGTCAAATGAAGAAATGGCGTCACGATCAAAAAGAACTATGTGTCAAAAAGGAAAAAAATGGGGGAAAGAAGGGAAAATGCCATTAAGTTCACCAAGGGTAATGAGTCGAATCATGCATCTTCAAGGAGAGGTGTTTATTTAGCACCAATCTCCTCTTCGGCCCAGCCAGGCAGAGAACTTTCGTTTTGAATGGCCAAGCCGAAGCCTGAGTGGTTCAGTCCACCCAGGCCGGACGAGAAGCTGGAAAAGCTGCTCTGGGGCTGGTGTGCCGCACCGGTGCGAATGTGGCTGCCTTGGCCAGCAACCGGTCCAAAGGGCTCCTGGGAGAAGGAGGGCAGACTAACGGCGCGAGAGTGCGAAGCACGAGGCACACTCAGGCTACTGGTGCTGGCAGTGGAGTGGTGACCATGACCGGAGCCGTTGCCCACACTCAGGTAGCCATTGCCATTAACCGAGGACTTGTGGGAGTGCATCGGCGCGTTCATGTTTCCGTTGGAAAGGTCGCCGTTGCTGGTGCCATGATACATAGACTGCTGTTGCGGGGCCTGGGTCTGGGCTTGGAGAGCAGCCAGAGCCATGGGGTCATTGAGTTGATTCTCCTGATCCTGCGCCTGCTGAGCAGACATCTGGTTGAGATACATGGTCAGCGGGTTGTTTGAACCCACGTTCAGTGCGCCTGAAGGAGAAGTGACATTCTGTAACGGGTGGCGGTGCTGCTGGCCATTTTGGGAGCCAGTGGAGCCCGGGGCGGGCGACAGGGCAGGGCGAGTAGGGCTCGACTGGGAGCCGGACTGGCTAAGGCTCTGCTGGAATCCGTTCAGCGCGGGTGAAGGCGACTGAGGGCCTTCCAAACCGTTGCCGTTGCGGTTCTGCTGGTTTCCACCCTGGTTTCCGGCCTGGCGCGGCGGGTTTCCGCAGCGGTCCTTGCCGAAGTTGATCTTGAACCGTCGGTATTCCTCGCGGTTGCGCATGCCCTCGATCGCTTTGATGGCGTTGGCAATATTGGTGAAGTTGACGAAAGCACAGCTCTTCTCACGCAGAGTGTTGACCAACTCAATCTCACCGTACTCGGAGAAATCCTGACGGAGGCGCTCCTCAGTCCAAGCCTCATCCAGGTTACCAATGTAGACATTACGAGAGGCGCCACCGCTGACTGCCAACGCAATGGCGGGAGGCAGAGGGCCGGAGTGCTTACCCCAGCCGATCTTCAGTCGGCGATTGTGGATCATCAGGCCCTGGAGGTTGCTCAGTGCGTAGAAAGAGGCAGCCGAGGTAGGGTCGATGAAGGTGACGAAACAGATGTGTTTATCAGGAATATAACGGATGTGATGCAAAAGACCTCCACGCACGACGTTGCAAATTTCCTCAATCGTAGTCTCAGGGTGAATGTTTCCGAGATAAATAGTTCGGTTGCCAAGGTTGTTCACACCACCAGCAGTCGTGGCCACGGCGGCCGCAGCAACGGATTGCTGTGCGAGAGCATTGGAAATCAGGTCGCGATCGGCGGAGTTCAGCACATGCGCGTAACCGGGCGCAATACCCAGGAATTGGGCCGCATTCTGCTGCTGTGTCTTTGAGACGTAAGCGCAGCGGTCCTTGCCGTAAAAGACGCGCTTGGGAGCTTGCCACTGCGGTTCCTGGGGGAGCTGAGTGACGGCCTTCATGGCATTGCTAATAGAGAGGAAATGCACGAAGCCAATCGCCTTCTCCTTAACGATCTTGACGGTGTCGATGGGTCCAAACTTGCCCAGCTCCTCGCGCAGGTTATCCTCAACAGTCTCCTCAGGTAGATTTCCGAGGTAAACATTGCGGGACGCGCCCGACTGCTGCACAGCCAGGGCGACAGATGTAGGGACCTGGGAGGGTTTACCCCATCCAACCTTAATGTCGTTCCCCTTGATGGCTAGCTTCTTCAAGATGGCGTCGGAGTGGAAGTGAGTGGCAGAGCTGCTGTCCAGGAAAGAGATGAAGGCGCAGTTCTTATCGGGCAGGAGGCGCACAGACTCGATCTGACCGCTACGCACATGGTTCAGGATTTCCTCCGCGCTTGTTTCAGCGGGAATGTTTCCCAAGTACACTGTGCGACTGGTTCCTGACAGCATTCCTGGTGAGACCGAGGCCCCAGGGCTACCCAGGGCCGCGCTACCCAGGCCACCCAACCCGTTGATGGGTGACTGGGGACCACCCAAGAGCTGGGATCCGCCTAGTCCATCAGTCGACAGCATGTGAGGGTACATGCCAGAGTTGTGCATGCCCTGGGTCGGGCTACCCAGCTGGTGCTGGTTGTTCTGGTGTCCATTGCCGTTGGGTTGCGGGAAACCACCGAAGCTAGCGAACTGAGGCGAGTGGAAGGCCGAGGGGGTTCCGGGTTGGAAGGGGCTACCGACGAGCAACTGCGAAGGAAGGAGAGGAGTAAAGTTCATATCGAAACCACCAGACATGTCGGCGGTCTGGCCGGCGGCGGCAGTATTTATAGCAGGGATATTCGCGCGACGGTTTCTCAGGGAGTTCGGATTGTTCGAGTTATAAGAGCCGTGTGAAAAGCCCGTGTCGTAATTAGGGATGAAACGAGAATGGTTCGGGATGCTTGAAGCATCCGAAGCTTGCATGGCGAGGTGAGGCTCTTCGGATTCCGAATCGGCTTTTCCCTCGAAAGGTGAGAGAAAAGCGAAGGGATGAAAGAAGCCTCGACTCGAAATGGCCAGTGAAGAGAAAGAGGGGGATATCAAGTTCACACCATTCAGGGGAGCAAGTCGCTATAATCGTAGAAGGGGAAGAAGAAAAGTCGACAAGTCAAAAGAACGACGTGTCTAGAGGGAAATGTCAATTGGAATGTGCATCACGGGCAAGAATAGGGATAGGTACCGGCTAAAGCTTTCGGAATGGAGAATGTGTATATACGGGGTGCCCCAACCAGAAAGAAAGGTCAGAGCCGAAAGAGAAAAGAAAGGGCACTGGTAAGTGTCATTAGCTGAAAAGGGACAAGTGGGATGGTAGGAGACCAGCACAACGCTGAAGAAAAAAAAAATAGGGGGGGCAACGAAAAAGAAGTGGAGTGAGATCAGAATCAGATAGGGGGTTTTGGAGGGAACGGTTAGGGAATAGGGGGAGATGGGGGGAATGGGGGGATTTACAGTGAGTGACTAGAAGAGAAAGGTGAAACGAGCGGAGAAAGGTTAGAAAAAGAATGAAAGGCAAGGAAGTGAATCCAGGTAAGGTATGAAGGGAAGTAAAAGGGGGAGAGGAAAAGAGGGAAGATCGCGCCTGGAAGGTCCAGCGCCAGTGTCAGGTCCAGGTCGAGTTCGAGTTCGAGTTCGAGCTCGAGTTCCAGTTACCATGGAAAAGGAGGTTCAAGGGGCTACCAACCCCACGGGTAACCTAGTTAGAGATATTAGCGACAGGGACCCGGAATTTATGTTTACATGTTTGGTCCGAGCTAGCTACGTAGGCCTAGGAAGCAATGCTTTCTCCAGGTAAACAGTCCCCGACTTTTTGAATGTTCCGTGGCTCCTGCAGAACTGGATCAGGCCCGGCCAATCATCGGGCCCGCGGCGTCCCTGGTATGCGAACTGCTCAGGAACACTGGGTATAGAGCCTCTCGTCCCGTGACCCTCGTTCATGTCTCTATTCTATCTAAGTATATTATATACCCCTTTCGGTCAAGTGGTGGCGGACTAGGACGGTTTCTAGCTTTGCCCATGGTAAGACATCGGGATCTTATACGGCCCTAGGGGTGAAGGTATATCGAGATACCCGACATAATTACCCAGGGATTCTTCAAACAGTACTAGTCCCAGACGATATTCTTCCACACTTCAAATTGTACAATCCAGTTGTTCCTCTGGTCTAAACTAGTACTAGTTGCGCACCGGGGCGTGGCCGCCGTCTAAACATGAAATCTCGGGGCGATGTGGACTGCCTCAGGCATCAGCGGGGAATACCCGCCAACTGCTATCAGCGGAAATTTACCCCTCCACCGACTGTGCGATTCATTCGGGCGCTGTGCCATTGACTGCAAGATAAGCGTTCGACTTCGGACTGGTATGTTCCAATGCCCTTTCAAGTATCGATTGGGCCTATGCATTACCCCTGCCCTCTTTCCTAAGTCATTTTGGTATATGACTCACATGTGAGACACACTATTAATTCATGGCCGATCCTCACAGAACATACCACTCCAACCCCGAATACTATCAATTGGCCTATTGGACCGAGTCCTTGCAGAGCCATTGCCCACCATGGCGCCTTCTATCTACATCGACGAGGACGTCGGCGTCGACGACGCCACCGCGACCGGTTCCGAGACCGCTCCTTACAAGACTCTCGTGCACGCCTTTGTGCAGCACGCGCCCACCACCGAGGGTATCCAGTATCTTACCCGCAAGTCTCAGACTGATGCTGCCGGCGAGGATGTCGACCCCGCCGCCAAGCTGGAGTGGAAGCCCGCCACCAAGTCTGCCATGAAGAAGGCCACCAACCTGTACGAGCAGCGCAAGAAGAAGGCCGCCAAGGAGCACGAGCTGGCTATCCGCGAGAAGGCCGAGGCCGATAAGCGCCAGAAGGTCCTCGAGGAGGCTAAGAAGATCGTAATCAAGGAGGATACCTCGCTGCCCAAGCCTGTGCGCATTCGTCTGGATGTCACCGACCCCGCCATCGTCAAGCTGCGCGCCCCCGGCTCCGACGAGCCTGGTACCCGTGTTCGCGTCCTCGGTCGTGTTCACCGTGCTCGTGCCCAGAAGGATGTCGTCTTCATTACCCTGACCGACGGCTATGGCTACCTGCAGTGCATTCTGACCGGCGATATGGTCAAGACCTACGACATCATGACTCTGACCCTCGAGACCTCCATGGTCATCCACGGTGAGATGCGCGCCGTCCCCGCCGGAGCCCACGCTCCTAACGGCCGTGAGCTGCACGCCGATTTCTTTTCCATTATCGGCCGCGCTGCCGGTGACAAGGAGGCAATTACCACCCGTGTCGCCCCCGATGCCGACCCTCAGACCCTTTACGACAACCGCCACCTGGTCCTCCGTGGTGAGACTTCCTCCTCCGTGATGAAGGTGCGCTCTGCCGTCCTGCGCGCTTTCCGCAAGTCGTTCGAGGCCAACCGCATGCTGGAGGTGACCCCTCCCGCCATGGTTCAGACCCAAGGTATGATTCTACAAATTTGATATAGTATACCTCTAGCTAACCCACCCACAGTCGAGGGCGGATCGACTTTGTTTGCATTTGATTACTATGGCGAGAACGCCTATCTCACACAGTCCTCCCAACTGTACCTAGAGACCTGTCTCCCCTCCCTGGGTGATGTGTATTGCGTCTGCCCGTCTTTCCGCGCAGAGAAGTCTCTGACCCGCCGTCACTTGTCCGAGTACACTCATATCGAAGCCGAGCTCGATTTCATCGTCTTCAACGACCTCCTGGACCACCTGGAGGAGATGATCTGCCGCGTCATCAACTACACCCTCGCAGAGCCCGAAATCGCCAACTACATCAAGACTCTCAACCCGGACTTCACGCCCCCGAGCCGTCCTTTCCGCCGCATGAAGTACTCCGATGCCATTGACTGGCTCGTTGAGCACAACATCCCCAACGAGGAGGGTGAGCCCCACAAGTTCGGCGACGATATCGCCGAGGCCGCGGAGCGCAAGATGACCGATATCATCAACACTCCTATCTTCCTCACTCACTTCCCCGCGGAGATCAAGGCCTTCTACATGAAGAAGGATCCTGAGGATCGTCGCGTTACTGAGAGTGTTGACGTACTCATGCCTGGTGTTGGCGAGATCGTTGGTGGAAGTATGCGTATGGATGACTGGGATGAGCTGATGGCTGCTTACAAGCATGAGGGCATGGACCCTAAGCCTTACTACTGGTACACCGACCAGCGCAAGTAAGTTCACTCAACTTATCCAAAAGAAAGAAAAGCAAATACTAATTCGAATAGGTACGGTACCTCCCCCCACGGAGGCTACGGTCTCGGTCTGGAGCGTTTCCTCGCCTGGCTGTGCGGTCGCTACACTGTCCGTGATTGCTCGCTGTATCCCCGTTTCACCAACCGTTGCACCCCGTAAAAAGCTTGGCCATGACTATGTTGGATTGCATTTCGGAGATTAATTGGGGACTCATTAAGAATTCAAGATTTTCCTTTATTTTCATCTATTTCATAAGTACTCCTGTAGTTTGGTCTGGTCTCTTTGATTGGATCTGTAGTGTATTGTTCAACTTTGAGTTCTCGAACGAGGATTTATATCTTCATAATATGTCTTTCTACAAGCAAGGCACTCCAAATTTCCGGCCAGATCTGAGTATCACTCGTTGGCACGAGCGTTTAAATGTTTGTAGCAAAATCTAATATCACGAATGGGAACCTCATAAAGAAGGAGATTAGAAAATACTAGAATGTCCTACATTCTTCTTACTTGAAAATCCCGCCAGGACATACCTAGGGAGCAACCTAGATGCTATAGATCTCGTCGAAGAATCATCACATCTTTCCATGGCCCCATACATTCCCATCTCTCATCGTGCATTTCCTGTTACCAAGCTGTCTCAAGTGAGGGAAGTTGCACTCTGTCACCTCAATACCAGACAGAGACGAAAATAAAGAACAGCATAGATTGGAGCACGGATGAATCGATTGACTCCATTGATACCGTACGTCTTAGCTGGTATACCAAATTAAATAATCTGACATTCAGGATTTGAGCTTGTGAGCTTTTCGGTCTTCAGGTTTGGTAATATAGGTTTCATTTTCCGTGTCATTCATAGCAAGTTGGAGAAACCTAATTCTGGTTCTTGTTGTTCTTCATCGTTGCGTGTCGAGTCTGATCCTTGACTCAACTCCATCAACAGGAAGCCACCCACAAATCCACTCAGTGCCTTAGAACCAGAATACCAAAAGCAGAGTCACAGCCCAGAAACCAATACTGAATGATCGATTGCTTCAGTCTGATGCTGTAGATGCCGTAATTCCCCCTTTCGCAGCAGAATCGCCGAGTCCATTAACGCGACAGTCTCTGTTTATCCTGGGAGTAAAGGTAGTTAAGACATGCACGAGCCGGACAGAATAGTATCCTTGTGATTTCCCCGAGCTAGGGCAGGGATCTCTTGATCCCAAACACCCGGTTCTCTGCTTTGAGTCTGAGTCTGAATCTGTAATGCTCACGCAGGACTGAAACTGGGCTTGTTGGAAACACGACGATGGGGGACATCTCATGTTCTGAGGGTGACTGTGACTTGCTGGCCCGGGTGTGTTCGGTCGGGTACTGGGTGTTTGGTATTTGGAGTGATGGGGAGGGGACCTGTGATGAGTCAATTGAGAAGGGGTTCGGTCTAGGTGTTAGTTCTCTGTTCATGTTGCATGTTAGGTGGGATTGAACCGATGTCGAAGAAGACAAAGATCAAGATGAAGGGGATGGAGATGATGGTGAAATGGGCTCGGGGTCTCGTGGTGTTCTCTCCGCCTGCAAGGCTAGGGCTTGCAGGGCTTGACTAGGCCATCTGTCTGGCCTCTAGACTTCCCAGCCGTCTCGTCCTCCATCACCCTTGAAACTTGGGCAACCTGGGGCCCTTTTGACAAGACAAATCTGAGAAGGATTCTGCTCTGAGGATTCCGAGAGCCTCTCTCGAGATGATTGCCCAAGACCAAGAAAGAGTTGGACGTGCTCCACTGAACGTGATACTATTGCTCCATCACCACGGAGATAGAATCCGGACCAGCCCACACGCATTCCACTCATCTGCCACTTGCTGCTTTAAGAAGCGCCTCGTGAAATACATTTCTGACCTTGTTCTTTGGTCCTGCATCAGTTCTTTTCCTCTCCGATCCGCTCGATCAGGGATAGGGTCTGGAGATAAGCACAGGTCGATTCCGAACACGAGATTATCGCGGAGACCATCTACCTTGATCCCATCGACTTGATTCATCGTTCCCTGAACATACTGACACCTGATTCGCTGCTAGCGTGAAGTCATCCAGACCACGACGCTCTGCATCCCATAGTCCCGCAACCTGACTCATAAGCAGGGTGAAACATGTCGGGTTCTCACTGGCGCATTTATGTCCCGAGAATAGCAGCCACCACGGGAAGAGCAGAGCAAGGTCATGATGATATCAGGGGCGAATTCGCCACTGCACCCCCCCCCCCCCCCTCCCTCCCGCCATTGACCATGCGTTGCTCTTCAAGGCTGATAGCTCCGTGATTTAAACAATCCCATGGATTGAGAAGGCGAATCTAGCTCAGTCCCCAATTAAGCGTCCTGCCAGGGATCAGAACCGTACGGGCCCTAGGGCACATGACGCTCTATACATCCGTGACCTTGGAGACAGTGAAGATGAGATCAAATGAGCATGGAGCATGCGACAGACGATTGCTAGATGGAAATCACGGAAATGCTCTGCGCCACTCTCGTCCAAACTGCGCCCTTCTTCAATATTTTCCCTCCCAGTGACTCTGGATCCCATTCATCGAATCCGGTTCCCGTTTGGGGGATCCTGATCTCGATGTTTTCCATACCCGGCTACTGGAGCTGAAACCCAACCTGTCCTCCCCGGCGTTAATCTCATGACGCATGACATCGCACCTCTCGTTCCTCTCGCCACTCGGAACAGTCTCATAGGAAGAGACTCGGGAGGCGCAGTAAGCGCGACTTATGTGGCCCCATTCCTTTCGGCTTTGCCCTCGCTTTCGGATTGCTGTTCGATCATGTCGAGGATTTGGCGATGGGAGCCACCCGAGCGGATAACAGAAAGCACGCGCGAAACGGATTCGTCTTCGCCGCTCGAGATCAGGCCTAGCAGCTGCTCGAGAAGGAAGTTGTAGTGCTGCAGTTCAGCTTCCATATCTCCTGGGACTGCAATTTGGTCGTCTGCTGGTGTTGCTCCTTCGATGCTGTGCGCGGACGAGTCAGCCTGGTTCGAGAAAACAAGGGCCTTCTGATGCGCCGAGATCATAGGAAGTTGTTGAAGTGATGGAAGAGGATCAAATGACGATACAGGACAGAACAGCGAGCTCGCTTACCTTGATGCTGGTGGTGAGCCTTGTTGTCTGAAGTTGCCTTCAGGAGAGCCTCCCTGGTTGCCAGGGTCGCTGGCTCCAAGCCGCGCTGACATATCTAGGCCTTGAGCGGTGATCCAATGGCCTTGGCGAAGTTACAGTGACCACAAGATTTCAATTATTGACGAAATGCCCGCACGAAAGTGATGCGGAACTGGGCGGTGGGCGATGTGTGCTTTCGGGAATGGACCCTTGCAAGCGCCTTCATGGTGAAGACGGTCAGTTACCGGACCATGGGATGAAAAGGACGCAAAAGGATAAGAAATGATACATCTAGAGTGTCAAGTGTGCTTTAAAGTAAGGCAAACTGGGAGATGCAGACGCGAAGACCCACGAGAGTGGGAGAAGGATAAAGCGGTCGGCCATACGTTGATTGAGATAGATGTGTTGTGTTCAAGCTAGACTGGCTTCGGGAGTCGATCACGAATGATACTACGTCGAAAGGATTGGAGAGAAGAGATGAGAAGAGAAGAAAAAAGATGTACGGGAAAGGTGAAAGGCTGGTGGAAAGGTGGGACATTTAAACCCATCCAAAAACACCCCCCGTTCGTCCTTCATGAGTCGATATTCCGCCAACGACTCAGCGGTGATGTCCCAACGAGACGTGGCGGATTCTATCCCCCCTTCACCAGCTTTGTGCCCAGTCTGACACCGCGTGGCCATAAAACCAGCCGTTATATCTTGTTTGTGAGTAGCTCACTAATCGTAGTCTTTTGTCGGTCCCCGGAGAAAAGTACCGGCCAATCTGCGTGCAATTTGGCGCCTCCTCGGAAAAAATGAAGTATCCCCTTCAATTCGCCTCTTGAAACCTCATCTTTCTTCTTGCATCTGTGGCGCGGTTTGCTCATTTGACGCGTCGTTATTTCGGTACCCTGGTGACGGCGTTGTATGGTTGTAGTCTCTTGGTTGTTGTCGACATCTCCCTTAGGCCGACTTGAAGAGTGCTGGATTTGGCGGTTGGTCGGAGAGAGGAACTTGCGTCAGTCACCACCTCGCGGTTTCTCCTCACACCGAGGATGAGACAGCAAGGGTGCCACCGATGGTGAAAGCTGCAATACTTTACTGATTCTTCGTCGAATGAATCAATATTGACCACTAAACATGTTTCGTATTGATGTTGTCTCCAGGAACAGATTATGCCAGCGTCAGCCTCCGACGCAATATCTGGCTTTCGCCCGCGAACAGACGATGATGACATTCAATAAACGCATTCCTTGGGATGCGTCAACTCAAACGACAGTAAATGTGCCGTGGAGAGTGGTGGTTTGATGATTTTGACGTGACCTTTCGAGCCTCGCAGGAGCACACCATGATTACAGTTCGACAGAAGGCGTTGAGAGAGTAACCGGCCATTGGCAGCATCGAAGGCTGCATAAGGTAACTCAAGATCCTTTCGCGAATTACTCAGATAAGTCCCGAGGAGTGCCTGTCGGAGAAGAACCAGCGAAACAACACGCCGTCATGGACAATCACCTTGGAACATCTCAAGGTACGATCGACCCTGGTGCCGGAGATAGCCTAGCACCACTTGACCACTTGCTGACTCGCGCCCTCTCTCTTTAGTTGAACCCAGAAGCTTTTATGGTTGCTTGCCGGCTTCGAGAGGCTGGCTTTCCCTCTTCATTTTTCACCCTGGACTCCGCCAACGACAGCGACAGCGGTTCGACCTTCATGCACACCGGTGCAACCTTCTATCTTAATTTATGATGTGCCGCACATGTCGAATCAACCAACTCCACAAATCTCGATCGATGATGCCGACGAGGAGGCCAACTTCGCATCTTTCGAACGTTCACCCTGACCTCCAACGACAACGATCCCAACATCACCCCTTTCCACGCCGTTATCTTCATTTCCAACCTTCGAAGTTTGGGATGTACAGTTCAAATGCCGTACCAGGACCTGAGCAACGCATAGCCAAATTGGTAATGTGTGCTGTTTAGGTCCTGGCCAAGTGGCTGGCTCGGGCGCGCGAAGAAGCAACGGCGTATAAAATGGAGGTTACTCTTGGACAAATGGTCATGGATATATCTAGGAGCCCAGTGAAGGGAATTGAGCTGGCCACATGGTCTGCGAGTGGGCAGGTAGTCGGCGACCTCGCTGTCACTCAGGCTATCGAAAGGATCAAGTTCCCTAAGCTTGCAGGCCAATTTCGACTTGCAAGCTGTGGTATGACCTAAGATTATGGAGAATGGCGTGCCGCATCTCTTGAACGGTCGTCCGCTTCAAGTTTAGGTCTTCAGGGTTGACACGAGTCCGTGATGACCTTGTAAACCTGAACTGGAGATTTGGCCATAGAATATGGCCGCGAAGCGTGACATGGCCGTATTTCGAACAGCTGCTCAGCCCGAGTCTCCTTCCTCGTCGAAAAAAAAGTCTCCGATGTCATCTTGGGTCCATATGGAATTCAGTTGTCCGTGTTCGCCGAGACACGACTTTGATGGGGGCCATGCTATACAGCTGTCTTCTCCTAGCGGCTGTCAAATTAGGCTCTATACACCCTCCTTATCGTATTGGTTGGGCCATCAAAGCGTCTGGTTTCACCTGTCAGGGTACGCAGTCGAATTCGCAATTTTACGGTCGAATATCAGTGGCGAAGAAACTGGTGTGCACTCCATGTTTTGTTCTCAGTTGGCAAGAGGCTATTGATGAACCGGCAAGCTTGAGTTGGAGCCTTAATCACACTGTCTCACACAGAGCTGTCACCTGAACAACTGCCCAGCCTTTGCTCTGGCTTTCCAAAGGCAGTCGAAGACTGAAATGGTCATGGAGACTCTTCAAACTCGAGTTGGAGACACATTATGTACCAAGCTGTTCAGCTGTCAACAAAAGTAGGGTGTGCGGCGGGAGGCTGTTGACTCGGATGGCCACAAAATGTCAAAGAATCTCGCTTTCCTCCTTGACGGTATGCGATCGGCCGCATTCGTTGGTTTGACCGACTCAAGCCAATAAGACGGCGATGGATGATGTCGTAAGGCTGTTCAGGATTGTTGTTTGCCTCGAGGTGCTGATGCGAATTCAAACAAGCGCCGATTATGCTGCTGCCGTTCCTCGAGCCGATTCAACCTCAATTTCGGGCGGTCTTGTAAGCTTGAATATGAATCTTGAAGGCTCGATAGTGTGAGCGGGATGGTTGGAGCGGGTGCCGGAGCGTTGATCAGTCTGTGTTAATGCCCAGTGAGAGAGGTGCGTTGGTTGGCATAATTCGTATGTACGCCAGAACCGACCTTCCCATCAACTGGATATCTTGAGATCGGCCCGGTTCTGTGGGGATGAATACTTGGAATTTCCCGATAGAGAAACTTGTGGCAAAACCAGTTTGTCGACCTCATCTCCTTGGCCGAATCAACCGCCGCGCGGTCTCATCAGTCTCTAAGCGAATTTTGTCGACAAGTTCGCGGTATGATAAAAGAGGATGGATCGTATGCTGATCGTTGACTATCCTGCATTATTGTCTTAAGAGGCACGTACTGGCTAGTCTCATTTGTGCGACGCTGGCCCAGCATCGATTATCGCGGTCCCTTCACCCGGATCCGATGGGAAACGAGTCATTGTGGTCCCCCGATGGAATATGACGGCAAAGGATGTTCAATGGTCTGCGAGACAGTAAGGTTTTGGGAAACGAAAGAATCTAAGAATCAGCCAGAAGGGAACCTGCGTTGTTATCTGGATCGTCAGTGACTTGAGGCTGAGCCTCGCGTTAGCAACATGAGATCCGCATCACGGTCGGTTTAATTATCTGATGCCAGGCAAGACCATTCAAAAGGGTAACAGACAAATGAACTGAAGCTGGCTACAGGGTTTGGTCGATGATGATGGCCTCCATCAAGACCATCATCATAAACGAGGGGTGTGGAGGCTGGGAATTGACAGGCCTCTGAACAATGCCTCTTCCCTCCGAGCAGAATGCCGACCACACTTGCTTGATGAGGCGTACTTGTCAACCATTAGAACGAAGTCAGGCTTTCCTTCGTACCCAGGGGTGTTTCTGTTGGGCACAAGACAAGCAGGCCCTGTCCAGACACCATCATGAAATGACAGTCACGCCATAGTTCTTCGTCCAGAAAGCACACATGGACACGTGGACACATGGACACTTTGAAAGACAAAGCCAGATGTTCCTAAGTCCAAAGGCGAGGGATAGAAGAGAATGCAAGTTCCTTCAGATCCCAGCGGTAGCAATTGGACACATGAACGGGAGAAGAGCTCCTGGCGAGATCATTGGGGCTAAGGCTCCACCATGCGGCAGGCGACCGAATTGAGCGTCAGTTTTTACGTCCATGTTTTTGAGATTTCATCAGAAACTGGAAATTCTATGATCGAGGCTCTTCAATTCCTGGGTCCTTATAATCCTGACACTTGGTTGACAGGTTGTGGGATCATATACCCGGTCCGTGAGGACAGGGGCGATGGCCTTTCAACAACCTCGATAAACCGATAAAGATGAGGAATCACAACTATCTGTCTAGATATTGATCAAGACAGGTCTCTGACAGGATGTCTCACACACTATGGCGTACCCCAGAGTACCTAGGCACCTATGAATTGACCAGGAGTAAATATCGGCCTCGTATGCGGTACCCAGCGTACAGCCGCGAAACCGTACTGCAAACTGTGGAATCCCTGGCGCCGGTTCAGCCGACACTTGCAATGTCTAGGTACATCCGTACCCCTGCTCATTTGAATCAGTCGGCAATAACCGCCCAGGTCAGCAGGTGCAAAGCCTTAACATTCGACTATTATAACGAACCTATTCAAAAAACATAGGGACTAACCAGGGCACTAAAAAGGGCCCGGATTTGATGGGGTGGCCAAAAGCTGATAATACTGGTAATAACACGGTTACATCTGAGCTGCTATTGATGACCACAGGCTGAGGCAAGAATGAGCCCGTCGAGGTGTATTTAGAGCACTCTAGAGCTCCTAGGTCCGAGGGCGAGTCAGAGTCTGGACTCGACCACCCTTTCGTGCTGTTTTATGATGGGCGTCCCAAGCTTTTTCTGTGGTGCATCGTGTGTTGTACGACCGCTATGAGCGCGCGACCTTGATGATCGGCAGAGCCATGGTATTTTTCGAAACTACTTACTTCATTTACTAGCTTTGACTAGGGTAGACTTGTTTTGAAACTGGTTATTGTGTAAGCGATCGATAATCTGTCAGTTCCTGTGCCACATATGCGTGTGACCTGCGGAGTGGCGAGCCACGAGCTAGGTGCCATGGTTTGCTTCTGATTATCTTTGGATTTATAATTTAATTTAGTGAACTATTATTTGGAAATTGTTTGTAGGGAATCTGATAATTCTTAAGCAATCCATTGCAGGTGAGTAATAAGTACCTTGGGGATGTATATTCATGATTTTTACCGGAAAATAACTCCGCGGATTCATTTTCCGAGCCCAATAGTCTTGGCATCAGCCCCATTACCCATCAACGACTTGAGCTACACCCCATCAATTATTTGGAACATCAACTCGGCACCGTTTACCGAAATATCCCAATAAAACCGTGTAAGAAAACATGAATCACGTGATACCTACCGAATAAGCCTGACAGAGATCAATTGCCGAGCCATCCAATGCTTATCCCGCACGGTACGTATGCAAGACAGGATTCCGACTACACCTCCCATCAACGATTCAAAAAAGTCTTCAATGACTCCCACGAGTCGACTAACCAATTCAACTTACCATCTATCTCATAAAACCAATCATATCGAGACTGCGCTGAACTCAGAGAAGAGCCTCTTCTTCTCACCCGTAGCATACCAGTATACAACCCGCATTCCACACGCGCAACCCCAAATATGTACCCACGTATACACCCAAACAAGGCCCCTTGCCAGCCATAGTCATGCTATTTGGCCAGCGCCAAAAAAGCCCTTCCTTCCTTCCTCCTCCCATCGCCGCCAACCACCACATCTCAGGTCTATCCTAGACATCGCCAACTGTCAACGACACCCGAAACCAACAAAATGCAGCTCACAGCCGTACTCACGCTTTCAACCTCCCTGCTCGCAGGCCATGTCTGGGCACTACACGCCGACCCCGAAAACCCAATGGGCATCCACAACCCAAACCTCTACAACAATGAGCATGCCCCAGCATCCCACGGCCCAGCATCCCACGCTCCCGCCGCCAAACCAGAAATCCCAGCCTACATGGCACCACTCGTCTCCTCCATGGCCTCCGAAATGGCCATGTCCATGATGCACAAGCCCACATCAACACTCTTGCAGGCATCCAAGTCCCACGCCCCAGTAGCATGGTCCAACGCCCCAATGGCTCCACACCCAAACCTCCCAACCTACTCCGACGTGCCCATGTATTCCCAGGGCTCAATGTATTCCCACCTCGCCATGTCTACTTCCGCCGTGTCAACCCCATACGCCATGTCCTCGCAGGCACCGTACTCTAACATGTACAACTTGCCCATGAGCTCAATGCTCACAAAAGCCTCTTCGACTCCCTCCAGCTCCACGGCAATGGCTACTTCCTCCGCTTCGCATGCTTTGACCTATGCTAAACAGCACTTCAACCAGCCCCAGCACTCTAATTTCCATCCCGCTCAGGCTCAGGCCCCAGGTGGGGGCGGTATCGCGCCCATTGCCCCATTGACGCCGGGATCTAATGTTGCGCCTGTGCAGCTGAACTCTCATCATGGTTCTGATGAGGGAAATGCCTTCTGTTTGGGTCAGTGTTATCCTAGTGAGGAGGAGGCGCAGTGTGAGAAGCCTATGGTAAGTCTTCTTTCTTTTTGTTTTTTTTTTTTTTTTTGTAATCTTGGAATTGGGATGAAAGCTAACGTTTTCTAGACTTCGCCTGTTTATAGGCCTGCCCTGGGATGCTACACTTGCTGTTTCACTGCTGGTGACTTCTAGATTTCTCGTCTAAAGGTTCTTGAGTGAAGCAGATCGGGATGTAGTATTCATTCGCTAGGGTGTTGGTGGGCTAAGTCGATGGTGCTGGGAATGTCTATGGCTATTGACTTTTGGGGATTTTTGGTTTTGGTGTATTTTATGTATGGATTTTACTTCTACTTTGGTTCTGCAGAACGTTTGACTTTTGGTAGCACCTGAAGTTCGTAGCTCAATGATTACACGGTAGTATATACGCTTGAAATGGTGACAGGTGCCTGTTTTAACTGGATTGACAATGTCCACTTAGGGCTAATCTGCATGTTAGGCACGACCCTTCCGCCGGGCATCCCCAGCCCGGACATCCCCAGTCCAGGCTCCTAATCTAAAATGTTCCGAAATGGTTAGAACAAGTGAAGGAATCTATCATCCTTGTTAGATTCTCAAAGCCGAACTAAATAATCCGGGCTAGTCCACCGTAGATCTTGACCCGGGGGCCGAACCCTAGCCCCACATGACCCGCTAGGCTGCGACTGAACCCTGCATTGGACACGAGGATAGAGAATATGTGTCTGATAATGAGAGAGGATCTTTAATGTAGCGAGAGAAACTTCCTACATATCCCGTAATAAGATCTTCTAATATGAATATTTGATGGTGAGAAGCACCTGAATAAGCCATACAGACCAAGTGGAGTGTATACACCTATCTCCTCACCCCCAAAGAAAATCGTTCCACCAGCTAAGATATTCAACCTAAGACCGCTGCAACCAAACAAAAATAAAAGACATTGAGACGGCCTCATCTCTATGATTTTGTATAAACAACTCCTTGACCCGCGTTGAAAATGCCTTGTAAAGCGCATCCGCCCTCTCCTCCGTATACATCTCCCCGTCACCAATCCTCAGCGCCTTGTAAAAGAAGCCCCCAAGAACAGCCATGAACCAGTCAATAGCAGTATCCGCATACTTCTCACTAGCCTCAAGATGTTCACCTTCATGTGCCTCCGTTGCCTCCTTCAACTCCTCAATAGCCGGATGGGACACCCAATCTTCAAAGATCTCCCGCGTGCACCATGATTCGCTGAGTTCAACGAGTGAACTAAGCACATCATCCATGGTACGGTCGTACGATGGATCCTGGAATGCAGCGACGACTTCCCTAGAGAGTCGACCGTCTTCAGCCATTTCTCTGACTGCGCCATAGCATGATGTGATGATACCGCTTAGGTTCCGGGGCCCCGAGAACGACGTACTCGGGAAGCAGAGAATTAGCGAGCTTTCGGGTTTCATTTCTATAGCTCGGTGTTGGAGGAAGAGGAGAAGATCGCCATGTGCCTGACTTTGGCGTCTTGCTTCCGCGTCCGGGAGCCGTTGAAGGTTCTCGTCGTGATTGGCAGGGACGCTGTTGAGGTGTTGGAGACACGTCAGGCAGAAGGCTAGGTCGACGGAATTGGCGGGGAGGAGGGGTTTGTAGAAGCTTCCTGGAATAAATCCTATGTAAGGAGGGTCGGCGAGAAGGTTGGTCCATTCTGCTATTGTTGTAGAGAGGGTGTTAAAATCGTTGTTCGAGCGATCGTTGAAGAGAAGCTGGATATTTCTGTTTGGCAGGCTCTTGATGATTGTTTGCATGGGTTCGATGCTATTTGAAGGAGTGTTAGTATAATTGATGCGCGTATATGGTACAAGTACTCACGAATTACTTCCTTGCGCTGCGCCGTAGTCGACGATACTCAACGGTCTGTCTGTGGGATGTGACTGGCGACTAAGCTCCTGTGCAGATTTCTCCAGCATAGGTAGGACTTTCAACATAGCCTCACGCTGAAGCTGCGACTGGGAGCTGTATACGCCCCTGCCCAGCATGGGCACATCATTAGAAGGCACATTATCGGTCATTGTGTTCATGAGAATGTGAAATAAAATAGGTCATTACGCTTTACTTGAGCTATTTAAGGAAAAATATAGACAGGCTGCGGCTGAGCTCGGTCACATCTTTCATTAAGCCAGTGTGCGATCGACCGATCAGATGTGATAAGCATGTGGCTGTACATCGCGCCCCACTACTTATTGAAGCATGTTGGCCACGTTGCATACAAGGATACTAGAATAGGAAAAGGGCATACTTGACTAGAAGCAATATCATCTTGGCCTGTCCTTTTGCCATTTTGCGGGGCCTGGCACACCAAGCTTGTACGAATAGGGTTACGACGATGTGTGACGCCGACGACCGACGATCTCCGATCGCCAAGTCGACGCAACGCGCCAATGGGGAGACTTGTTAAGCAATCTCACCTTCAATTTCACCTTCAACCCACAAACAATCCTGTAATGTCCCATGTCTCAGGGAAGGACAGATTCCAGGGAAGGGTGAGTACAACTCGCTGACCCTAAGGGTTGGATTTTTGAACTAGTATAAGCTACTTGGCTACAACAGGGTTAAAGAATGGATCCAAGACAGTCTCAGGCAATCGAACATGATCACAGTGATCTGTCAAGTCTTGGGAGTCATGTATTTCCATCGAAAACCCTCTCCACTCGTTAACAAACATATTCACTCGCCAGCGATCCTGTGTCCCCTTCCTCTTCTGGCAACATCTTGGCACTGCGAGCACCTTCTTCCCAAAAAGCCCAGCCGGATCTACTGCAAATGAAAGCCACGTATTTGCATAAACACCATGATCATCCTCAATCTCAATAATTTTGATTTGTGACACCTTAAAATTGGTATCATCAGCTGGGACAAGAGATTAATATAGACTTACTCATCCGGACGTTTCTCTGGAATCCATCCTAAGTACTCATCCTTCACTAATAGGTCACCCGGAACTTTCGGACAAGTATCCCGTCCATACATCGTTTGATATGTCAACCGGGCTAGTTCTGGGCCTGCTGGCTGTGGGAATGTTCGGCTCGAAGATCCACACATCATATAATATGTGGAAGGAGCCTTTGGAGGGCGTTCAGGGGACCTTCAATGTGGATTTTAAGGGGCTGGTTAGGCGATGGAAGGTGATTCTGGTCGGTAGGAGTGTGAGTAAGAAGCGGGATGTAAAGTAGGAGCGCCATAAGAAGGGTCTTGGAGGGATGAAGCTACCTGACGCCTCGACTTAGATACCTAGGTAAGATGTCCCCTCCTTCACTAGCAGGTGCAGGGTGCAGGATTACATAGCGCCAGGCTTCATCACATGATTTACATCCAGCACGGTGCTCAGGTCAAACCCAGCCGCTATTCATAAAACAAGTATGCCATTAGCTATCGACGTTCTTTAATGTTCTGTATGCAACGCAGCTAGTCTGAGGACTAATTTTTATTCCGGCTAGGCATAGCTGCCTGGGAGGCACTTGGTATACAGAAACGTATAGTTGACGTAATATGAACAGTATGTGATTATGAGATGTATGATTTCTATTGTTAGCTAACTCAAAAACTAATAGGAAATGCGATGGTCAGGCTACCAAACCCAAATTTTACATATTAACACCCAATCAAAGAGAGTTTTGGGGAGAGCTATGCAGGTCCTCGTTCGTCATTTTCGAGTACAAATACCTAACCACCTACCTAGGTAGGTATCCTCAAGCACAAATTCTTAGCTAGCAACTAAGATTTGGTTGTGGGCTTGACACTTTGTGTACTTGATTAAGAATGGTGTCATAGCCTGTGCCCCCGGATATGCTCGGAGATCCATTTTCACTCAGAAGATCTCAATCTTCATAATCGAGTGTATTAGGGTTCTGACCCTGGCTCCAGGCAGAATTAAAATTCAGAATCGAGAGTAGCAGGAACCAGGAGAAGTTGAAAATATGCTAAAACTGTGCCGGCGAACCCGATCAAATAAACTCTTGCGGAAAACCTTGAAATGGTGGTGCTCATGGAGTTGAAAATGGACAGAAGCGCATATAGTCGTCATCTCCCCCAAACTATGTGACGTTTCTAGAAGTTGTTGAAGAATATAATTGAATTTTCATCGGCTAATTCCGAGTTGGATGTGTAGGTTTTGGTGGTGAACAGGGCTGTCGCGGGAAGTCGTGACGCAGATCGTGCGCGATGACGTCGGCAACTATAGCACAGCGCCACGCCCAACACAATGTCGAACCAGCTACTTACTTAAAAAGATAGAAATTTCCAGCTTTGAAACAGGTTGATTTAAGCACCTTTGCATTATCCTATGCCAATGATTAGTGCACCTCGTCGAGTAGAGCAGAATACTACGCTAATTTCCCTGCAAGGCGCATTCTAGACCGCTCGAGTGATTTAAGCTTCAAAGTAAACCCAAGGGTCGACATGGTTCGCGGATATGACAGGCGAAGCGGATTGTATGGGAAATGGGTCTATCGCTGCATGCGTCTCCTGAAATGAAGGATCTGTCGTATGATGAATTGACTGCCAGGAAGGCAGCAATGAAGACATCACCATGCAGTTTTGCATACCTTGTGCTATAAAACCTAGCATCGCCTAGTTTTGGCTTCTTTTTTGATACAAAAACTATCATCAAATAGAGTCTAAATTATCGAATAACGCCCAACTCTATACACCATGCGTTTCGGATCCCAGATTACTTGGCTTTTGGTCGCCGGAGGTGCCTTGACCTCTGCCCAGAGCAGTTCTTCCTCTGCCGCGAGCAGTTCCTCCACGGGCTGTGCTCTTACCTCTAGCGACACCAATGTACTCCGGTACACCTATGCGCTTTCAGGATTCCTGAACAGCTTCTACGCGTCGACTGCCATCAACTCAACCGTTGCCTCGCAGGTTTCGAACAGCACCAGCGCTTCGAAGGTTCTGTCCAACTTGCAGGGTATTCAGCACCTCGACAACTTGACCGTTGAGGCCGTTCGCGAGCTCAGCTCCAAGGCCCCCGGCTTCAGTGCGCCATCATGCTCCTACACCTTCCCCACTGTCAGCAACATTTCTGCGTTTGTCCAATACGCCTACCAGTTCGAGTATACCCTCTCTGGTGCTTTCATCGGCGTAGCTGGCTACACCAAGTCGCCCGAGGTCGCTTTCCTGTTGGCACGTCTCGCTGCTGAGCACAGCGCTCACGCTACTTATATCGGTAGCCGCCTGAACTCCACCATGTTCCAGTCCAGCTCCTCCTCTCTGGTCTCTGCCTACAACCCCGCCCAGGTCCTCGCATCTGGCAACTCCACTGGCAGCTTGGGATCTTACTTGGGTGGCTGCGTCTCTGCGCCCTCCAACCCTTGCGGTGCTCTGAAGATTGGCCCTCTGGAGGCCAACATTACCTCTAGCGCTGGTGCCAGCTCTTCTACTCCTTTGGGCGGCTCATCCTCCACCCCTATGAGCAGTAGCGCTTCCTCTTCCAGCTCCGCTTCGGCCCGCCTGCACTAAGGCACGCCGATAACTATCTGCCCATACACGTGAAGGGAGTAGGGAGTTACACGGTCTGTTACAAGCTATAATAATTAGTGTGCTTGGTGATGTTTGTAATTTTGGAGTTAGTCAAGTATCTACAGATACTGTGAATCGCAAATGGAGATTTTTGACCGTATAAACTTCAATCGTCGATGAGTACATAGTTTATCCCCTTCTTGCCAGGTCAAGTCTGTGACTTCAAGTATAATCTACCGAGACACAGCATCCCTCATTATGGGAGAAATCGGCTCAAGAGCAAATCAAAATGCCACTTTAGAGCCCTTTCTCGGTAATTGCCTTCTCCCCCTGCGTTTGCCTCCAAGGTTTATCCCTGATTATCAATTACATCATGACCCTGACCCAACTCCGGCAGTTTCCAGGCTGCATGAATCGGGCTTTGCTCATCGGTTGGTCATTGAGCGGTACTGACGAATCGCCAGGCACTCAACTCAGTGAGCACATCCCGAATTGTCAAAGTCACGGGTAAAGTGCCCAAATTTCTTCAGAGAGAAGAATTGTACAGTACTAAAAATCATCTACACCTCTTTCGGCCTGGAATACATTCTGGGCCAGTGTCAGAGATCTCCCGATTGCCAAGACGATGCTAAGGCATTATAAAGCGGAAGACTGAAATATACGGAGCGTGAGATACCCAATATGGGTATGGCCGCCTTTTTTCCACCGTCGATGCATGTAATGAAGCTGGTGGAGCTAAAATGTATGATATACACTCAATCATACGAGGTATTTTGGGAGCTTTGAAAATTTGGGTTTAATTCTTTAGTCCGAATTTTTGAGTATAAATACCTCTGTAGACGATTGTCTTGGAGTAGTTTAGCACAAGACTATATCCGGATGTCTTCTTATATACTATTCCTACCTATCAATCCACTATGAAAACATCTTCCATTTCCATCATCGGTTGTATTGAAGCTCTAGCTATGGCCGATGCCAGAAGCCTTCCTTCCATTTGGCGCTCCTTCCAGCAAAACTGTTCTCTTCGTCGCCACCGAGTATGGAACTGTATTCGACGCGCCTGTGACAATTGGTAATCATAAATCGCTCGTTGATCCCGGTAACAAGAATACCTATGTCATGCAAAACAGCTATACTTGCATCAGCTGCACCTCCAACCTCGCCACCTCCGAGGAAGATTACCTCCACTCCAATAAAACCTACCACAAATCCAAGATCCTCCAGCCCACCCGCAGCCAAATCTTTGGCGTCGGTTAAGGCGCCGGTATTAAAAATGGAATAATAGCATACGAACAAGTAAACCTAACCCGTTTGATCTCACGTCAACCTTGCTAAAACCTAGGTCAATATAGTACTGATCTTAATTTTTGTTCATTCGGTAATATCTCGGCATAAATTGGTTATGTTTTCTGTTTAGTGGGCAGATCCAGCACCGACACCGCTGCCTTACTGGCTTGCTGGCTTGTTCCCCTGCTTCAACGGCGCAAAAATTTCCGTCCACAGCTCACTTGCCTCGCCGAGGTAGTAAGTCAAGCTCACGTCCGCCAGACTAGCATCATCTCCACCAGTCATAGTCTCCAGCTGAGAGATGAGGTTCTCCAAGCCAAAGGCCTTGCCTGTAGCCTGAGTGGCCCCAGCCTCCAACATGACATTAACAACATGAATATGGAAATGGTAGTAAGTGGGTTGATCTGTCACGGATAAAGTCAGCAATATTCCCAAAAGTAAGAGCAAAGAGAAACTTACAATGAACATAGAGCTTCAGGTGATCCTGCTCCAAATCGGGATACATCGACACCGTCGCTTCAAGTACCCTTTGTCTCAAATACTTCAACCAAGGCACGTGCTTCTTCTTCAAGTCCCTCAGACTCCAGATATCTCGTCTATGCACCAAAGCTAGTAGATGCAACGAGCTCATGGTCTTCCGGTCCCAGTTCAGATCGGGGAGCATCAAGAACGCATCTTCAGGACCGTGCCCATCATCCCGCATAATAACATCCTCCTGCTCAGTCCGACCCTCCAGAATATTGAATACCCAGTTCAGACGGCCCTCTTCGCGCTTAGCTTGCATGAAAGGTCGTACTTGCTGCGCGTAGATCTCCGGCGTCTCGGTGACCATGCGGAGCTGCTGGTCGGAGTATTTCTTGATGTGTTGCGCCGTGCATGGCCAAATAAGGTTGAGCTTGAGGTCTTGTTGAATATCTGAGCCTTCTGTGCTAGGCCCGGTGGAGGATGCGAGGTACCAGCGGTAAATGTCATTATCGCCGAGGTTGTTGACCTTTGAGATTGCCGCGTGGAAGGCTTTGATGACTGAGAGGGATTCTGTAGAGAAGGCGGTTCTCTCGGCTGTAAGGATGCCCTGCTGGTCGTCAATTGTGCCTAGCAAGGTAATCCGCCGTCCATGTTGGTCTGTGGTGGTTGTAAGCTGCTTGATCGCGGGGTTTGGTGTGGGTTTGTGTTACCTTGCTTTAGTAGCTTGCTGACTTGGTATTTGGCGATCAATGCCTCTGTGGCAGCCTTTGTGGTATTCGGAGCTTCTGCCATTTTATGAAGTCTTCTTTCTCAATTGCAAAAGCAGGAATGCAAAGACAAGCGGCGTGGGAAATCTATCGTTATCGATCTTCGTAGGCGGTCAGAGCTTATCGCGGGTTGTATATGGATGGGAATGCATGGGCAATAATAGTGTTTTGGTTTGAAGTGTTCAATGCAATGAAATTCAAGATGGATATTGAATATCCGTGGTTTTATCTAAGGTTGCTGTGGAAATGAAGCATCACTAAGATCCGTCTCCTAATATTGAGCTATACAAGAAATCCCACACTTTACTATGAAGCATTACATTCAATTTCAGATTGAATTAAACAAAGCAACACGCTTCGTCTGACCAGTCGTTTGATTTAATGCCATCACAGCTCAAGGCATATGTTTATGGGTATCTCTTCCACGTAACACTCTAACCATCCCCCTCTTACTTACTCACAGGCGCAGGGGTTCCATGCATCTATAGATCAGTCAGATCGACGAGCTTAATAACAGTCACACTTAAGAACAAGCAGATGTACATACCGTCTCAGCAAACCGCACCCACTCCTCAATGCCCTTAACATAGGGATCATCTGCCGCAGGAAGAACCTCATGTCCCCAGACCATTATATCATCGAACCCACCCTGCATCTCGAGTACCTTGGCGGGCTCTTCAAGCTCTGCTACATCGTCTTCTGCCGATGAGTTCTTGACTGGTTGTTGGGAGACGCGCTCTGTGGGTGTCGCGACAATTCCTGTGTATCCCTCTGGGATCGCGACGCGACGGCCTCGAAGTTTGCGGCCGCGGAAGTATGATGAATGGGTGTTATCTAGATTGACAAGATCAATAAGGATTCCATTGCATATAAGAGAATCGTCTGTATAGGTAGAGGTGTATGTACCTTTCGCGTCTGTCAAGGGCGTCCAGAACCGGTCCGTGGAGTCGATTGGGCCATCATGGTGAATTCGGCAGGGAAGGATGTTTGGCGTGAATCGAGGTGTAGATCCATTCTCTGATTTTATAGCCGAATTTGGGCTCTGGAAAGTGTACATGTCTGGCATTGGGTACGATCGCAGAGTCGGACGGAATTCTGCGCGGGCGTCGATCCAAAGGTTTCAGCTTGGAGGCGAGGTGATAGATGACACTAGGAAGATATGACGCGGATTAAACGAGTCCGAGATTCCAGATTCCAGCTCAATTGGCAGTTGCGATGTGCGTTTCGTCGATGTCAAGGTATTGGTGAATTCTGGCGGTGTCGAAGTCGCGGCGCGTCGCGTTGCCGCGTTAAGTGGAAGCGGGCGGACATGAACTACATGAACTATATCAGTGGTATCATCGACCATTTCTTCAACTTTTACGGGCAGTACAAATGTCTCCAGGTATCAAAGTAAATTCTATTTAATTGAATGCAAATTTGGGGTATACAAAGCAGCTCTCTACAATAGATACAGTTCTTTGCCTAGTCTCAAGAATTTTTCCTCCACTTATGGACGATCATTTCTTGCCAGACTTCTTCTTCTTCTTCTTATTCTTTTTCTTGGGAGTATCTCCCTTCTCTTTGGGTTCAGGGGCGTTTCTGATCGGCCACTTCTTCAGGTGCTCGCGCTCGAAGGCATCCTTCTCACGGCGGTACAGGGCCATTGTCGCTCGTGCATCTTCCACACTAGAATGAGCACCTTCTTGAATCTTGATGCCAAGGAAGTGTTCAGCAAGCATCTTCAGACGTGGTGAGCCGCCGCCGGCAATCTTCCTGTACTCGGGGTGTTTGCTGGTGTCTCTAATGTCCCGCTTGGGGTGGCCGAGGAGTAGAGCATCGAGATCATTGCTCACGGCGTGACCAACGAGGACACGGCCATCCATGATTTCGGCAACTTCTTTCTGGGCTTGTTCGAGGCTTCTTGCTTCCACCATGTGCTTTGGGGCAATACCGCTGACGTGAGTTCTCCAGTCTGTCACCATTTCCTTGGGTCGGACGTATGAATCGTAGACTTGGTCGCCATTAAAGTTGACAATACTGACTCTGGCAAGTACCGAGTCGTTGTCCGGGTTCGGTCCGACGCCTACCATCTCGCAATCCATGGCAACGTATTTTCCTATCTCGGCGCTGGGATAATGTTAGAATGTGACCAGCAAAATGGAAAGGCAGATCCTTCAAAACGGAAGTCTTACGTCTTTGAACGGCCCTCGTTAACTTTCCCATTGCGGGATCCAGTCTCGGTTTGTGCAGAGACTCCAGCGCTAGACTTCCTTCGCAAAGCAGGCTTGGTCGAGTCTGCGTCGGCGGTGTTCGCCGCAACTTCAGCTGCTTCAGACATCCTCTTCCGCTTATATGGTGTGATTGTGTCTCGTGTCTTTGTATATTCCTTCCCGGGCTTCTGTTTCTTCGCTGTTCCATGCCCAGAGTCGCGGTCCGAGGCTTTGCGTTTCTTCCCTGGTGAGGAGGTCGAGGTCGAGGGCCCTTTTTTGAATGTCGCCTGTAGCTTTTTCCAGTTGCTGGAAAGACCGTTCGTATCCATTCCGACTATGTTAATGTCTGCAAAAGCTAAGACATCGTCGGTGGTAAGAGACCTAGAAGAATTGGCCGGAAACTTTTTTTGACGGCAAAAAACGACCGCGCCTCAGGAGACTGACACCGCCTTCTGAGAGTGGCAATATCAGAGCAGAGATAATACGGGATTGCAAAAAGTGAGTCTTGTCTTGATATTACGTTTAATGGAATGGAATTCTCAATGGTTAATTCTTCATATTTGACCCAGATAATTATGGAACAGTCCGAATGCTTTTGACCGCGATGTATGTTCATGTCCCAAAAACCCATGCACGCCATTTTTGAATAACAAGTAGAAAGGAAAATCAAAACAGGCCGGGGATCGAGAAGTCCTTAGACATCCATTTCTCTGTGACCTTTCTCTTGGCCTTCTTGGCCTGGCTCACGGGCTTACGAGCCTCGAGTCTGCCCTGGATGATCATCGTGCGGAATCGATCGTCCAACAGGTTACCCTCCGGCTTCAATAGACGGAGAGAATCCTGCAATTCATCGGGGAGAACCAGCTCCAGACGCTTGTTGGGGGCACTGTAAGAATAGTCAGCAAAAGCACATATAATTGGGAGAGATAAAAACCTACGCAAGCTTGCCGCCCAAAGGCTTCCGTCGCAGCTTCATCTCATCTCCCTCGTCCTCGTCCGAATCATCCGCATCGGACTCTTCAGCCTTCTGATCGGCATTCTCGGTAAGTTCTTGCGCCTTCTCAAGCTGTGCCTCTCTCTTCGCCTTCTTCTCTTCCCACTTCGCTTGCCTCTCGGCTTCCTTGCGTCGCTTAATCTTGTTACGCTGCGTCTTAGACTTTCTCTCGGGTCGCTTCTTGTTCAGCCACTCGGGCTTCTCGTATTCGCTTTCGAAACCCTCCCAGGCACTTTCGTCGTCGGACTTGACTTCGCCGTCGTCACCCTCGGCGGCCTCTATTAGGCGTTGCTTCTCAGCCTCTTTCAATTCCTCCTCGAGACGTTGCTTCTCAGTCTCGACGGCCTCCTGGCCATACTCTTGGATAAGACGGTCCCATTCTTCGAATTGAGGGTTGTAACTAGCTCCACCCCGGGGCATGATCACGGAGGGGATAGGCTTTCCGTTGGCGGCAAGAGAAATGGGTGCATGTTTCAAAGTCTCGGGGGCGACCTTGGCCTTCGGCTTAGGCAAGAAGTCGAAGCGGGGATCCTCGACAGGGGCGGAGTCGTCGGCTTCATCCACCCAGGGGTCGTAGATATCGTTGCTGCCCTTCTTGGTGATGTCCGCATCCCGGGCGGCCTGCTTCAAGCGCTGCAATTCTTTCTGGCTAACCCAATCCTTCTTGTGCTTCTTGGTCTTAGGCTCGATAACACCATCGGTGACAATGGAGCTGGTACGCTTGCGAGAGTCGATAGCAGGGATCGCAGATCGTTGAGCAATAATCTCGTCGGCCTTGAGCGTCTTGTGTCTCTTGGAAATAGATTTGCGCACATCCGCCGATCCAACAGTATCAAGTGTGAACAGTTCCTCGGAAGGCTTCTCAGCAACAACACCACTGGGCTAAGGTCAGCGATAATGAAAAATGTAGATATCAACTGTGAACATACCCTTTGATCTCTTCGTCCTTCAGGAGACGCAGGCCTTCCTGCACCTCAGTGACGTCCACATTTTTGCGCCAGGCCTTCTTGCCTTTGCGAGAAGGCTGCTTGAATTGTTTGGGGGCATCCAGCTTGGACGACATGGTTGGCGGTCTTATCTTTTTTTTTTTTGCAGAAACCGAAAACCAAAACCAAAAAATCTGGACGCGCTGACTAACGCGGGGGCGGCGAAGGCGGGCGGTGAAGGCACGTCGGACCTGGCGAAGTCGCTTTTCTTCCAGCTTCAACATCCACCCGTTGCGCGTCAACTTTTGCCGCGGGATTCTCATTATTTTTATTCCCGGTGGTGGGCTTCTGGTTTATTCAATACACTTCGCGATATTGACGGGGCGTTGAGTCCGATTGCGCGCCATGCCTGTCGTCAAAGGAGGTGTCTGGTGAGATCTTCCACTACTGTTCATCTTTTAAGTGAGCTCAGCTAACCTATCTTTAGGACTAATATCGAGGATGAGGTGCTTCGTGCGGCTGTACGTTATTAGACAAGACCCCAAAACACGTCTTCCGACGGATTGCGCAAATACTGACTCAAATGACAGGTTTCCAAGTATGGTCTGAACCAGTGGGCTCGAGTGTCTTCTCTTCTCGCTCGGAAGACGCCGAAACAATGTAAAGCGCGATGGATCGAATGGCTAGACCCCGGTATTCGCAAGGTTGAATGGTCGCGGGAGGAGGATGAGAAGCTGTTGCACCTGGCCAAGCTTATGCCCACGCAATGGCGCACCATTGCCCCCATCGTCGGACGCACTGCTACACAATGTCTTGAACGCTATCAGAAGCTCTTGGACGAGGCGGAGGCTCGCGAGAACGATGAACTCGGTTTGGGAGGACCAGAGGGTGGAGAGTCGGCCGCGCCCAGTGCCGACGATGTTCGCCGCCTGCGCCCTGGAGAGTTAGATCCCGATCCCGAATCGAAACCTGCGCGTCCTGATACGATTGATCTCGACGAAGATGAGAAGGAGATGCTCAGTGAAGCCCGTGCGCGTCTCGCCAACACACAGGGTAAAAAGGCCAAGCGAAAGGCCCGAGAGCGCCAATTGGAGGAATCACGTCGACTGGCGGTGCTGCAAAAGCGTCGCGAATTGAAGCATGCCGGTATCAACGTCAAGGTTGTCACCCGGAAACCGGGCCAGATGGATTATAACGCAGATATTCCATTCGAGAAGCCGGCTGCTCCTGGATTTTACGATACCATCGAAGAACAGACCCTTAACGAACGCCAGCGAGAGATGTTCGATCCTCGCAAGCAACAGCTGGCCAACAAGCGAAAGGGTGACCAGGATGATGACGCGGAGCGAAAGAAGCGCAAAAATGATAAAGGCGGCAATTCAGAAGCATTCGCGGCTGCTGCACGAGCAGGTCAGATGCAGAAGATCCGTGAAGCAGAGCAAAGCAGCAAGCGCAGAGGCTTGAATTTGCCCGCGCCGCAAGTCAGCGAAGGCGAAATGGAGGATATTATCAAAATGGGTATGGCAGGAGATAAGGCCAGCCGCATGAGTGGTGATGAAGAAGCCACGCGCGGACTTATTGGAAACTACGGTGCTATTGTTGGAGGAACACCCATTCGGACACCACGCGCAGCGCCCGAGGAGGACCATATTGCCAACGAAATCAAGAATATCCGAGCTTTGACCGAAACGCAATCTTCCTTGCTCGGAGGAGAAAACACTCCTCTCCACGAGGGCAGCACATCGACAGGCTTCGATGGCATTGCTCCTCGGCGGCAAGAGATCGTTACGCCTAACCCCATGGCGACACCATTTCGGCAAGCCAACGGCGTGGGTGCCACTCCAATGCAAGGCGGTGTCGGGCCTGGTGCTACTCCGCTGCGTACACCAAGAGACCACTTCGCCCTTAACCGTGAGGGCGAGGGTGGCCAGCTTATTGGTAATACACCTCGGGATATCAAGATGCATGAAAATTTCATGCGTCAGTCAATCCGCAGTAGGCTCTCTGCGCTTCCCAAGCCAAAGGAGTCCGAGTGGGAACTTGAAGAACTTCCCTCCGAAACTGCTGAGCCCGCTGCGGCTGTTGAGTTAAGCGCGGAAGACGCAGCGGAGCGGGATCGCAGAGAAGAAGAAGCCCGTCAGAAGGCCGCTCAGGCCGAGTTCAAACGCCAGTCACAGGCATACCAGCGTGGTCTTCCTCGGCCTGCTGTTCTCGATCTCGATGCCTTGAGTGCGCGTGCCGCCAATGTTACTGACCCCATTGAGGGTCTTATTGCCAGAGAAGCCGCCATCCTCATCGCCCATGATTCTCGACAACACCCCGTGTCCGGCTCAAAGGTCGAAGGAAAAGCTCCTAAATTGATCCACGTGGGTGATGAATTTATGGAGGCAGCCCGAGCTGCCATTGCAGCTGAGGTTGCATCATCAGAAGCACAACAACAACAAGAGGAATGGCAAGAAAAGTTTGATGATGTCTGGTCATCAGCCCATGCCAAGGCCCTTCCCGGCATGGACATCTACGCTGACGAAGAGGAGGACGCCTTCCAAGAAGAGCAGCGCATGATCGGGGCCTTCGACAGCGTACAGGCATCTCTGCTCGCCACGGCCGAAAAAGGCAACAAGCTTGAAAAGAAGCTCGCACTGCATTACGGCGGATACCAGAACCGCGCTAAAACACTGCGCTCCAAGATCTTGGAAGCCAGTACCACTCTTCCCAAGGCCCAGGACGATCTGGACTCTTTCCGCACTCTCCAAATCTCCGAAGAAGCGGCTATTTCCCGGCGGCTGGAGAAAATGCGAGAGGATGTCTCCTTCATCATGCGGCGCGAGCGTGAAGCGCAGGATTTGTATAGGAGCCGGAAAGACGAGATGGATGAGCTGGTTGCTGGCACTGCTACTGTCAATGGCTGGCACTGAGTCAAGCATCTGGACTCGCTATTTTTAATCTTTCAGTCATGACCCATTGCAAATTCTTTTTGTATCATTACTAGGACGGTCCCCGGGTTTACATTTTCGAGGACAATGCGAATGCATTGGAGTTTTTGAGCTATTATTATTTCAATGTAGTTATCTATCCATGTTTTGTTTTGTAGTCTTTTGTAGGTTCCAATGAGTAATAGACCACCTGGTCATGCCATAATAGTCCAACTTGAATATTTTGGATTCTTGTTATCCTCAACCATTGGAAGGTTGTATACTTTGATGACATGAACATATCTAGAACCTTCGGTATGAGACGTCAATTTCAACGTCACCTATGCAGTTACCGACCTCCCAAAGCCACGCTCAGTCCATTAACAAATTCAACTGACAACAGAACGGAGCACAAAGCATGCCCGTGGCGTTGTCATATATTGATTACAAAGTGACATCCAGACGAATACTGCCATCCATAAACATTTCTGATCTCCGTAAGGTTACAACATCCGGATGCTGACGTAACCACGGTGAGATCATCTCCTTCCGCCTTCACCACCAACCTCTTTCCATCGCACTTCGCATCCATCTTATCGGATTTTATCTACTAATTGTGCTTGGGTGCCCGCGTTATCGCACAGTCGATCACGATGGGCGTCCGAGATTCCCACGGCGAGGCGACGGGGACTCCCGACCCCGTCGAGAAGGGGCTCGCCACTCTTAACACTATCAGGTGAGTTTGAACCCGTGTTGTACTGAGAATAACTATCTCCGGAATCTCAGAATCCACTTTGATCGGTCGCATATACTGACTGGCGTGATAGAATCGGTGTGAAGGCCATGGTGCAGAAGGTCGGTGTCGCGCAGAATCTGAGCCATCACGTGATATCATAACTGACTCCGGCTTTAGGATGGTGAACTACGCAAGGCGGAAATTCTTTCAATTCGGCAGCGCAAGGATGGTCCTAGTTTCTAGTATGTTGAATAACAGTGGTTATTTGTTGCTCATTAAGCTAACATTTGACTCAAAGTGTGCATTACGTCGACTTCAACAAGCGTCTTGATGGTGAGTCTAACATCATTTTCTTCACATGGACAGAGCTAATGAATTCCTTAGAATGGATCAATGCTTCACGCATTGACCTCACCAAAGAGGTTGAATGGCCAGCGCCCGAGAAACCGGACAAGAAAAAGTCCAGTGCCAACAATAAAGCACCTAGTAAGGTCCCGAAGAATGTTCGTCCCGGTAGCCGCGATGTGTCAGGGACTCCTGATGCGCTGGGCGGCAAGAACTTGAACGTTGGCAAGGCACCGCGACCATCCAAGGCCGGCGGCAAAGAGAACCGCACCGCCGATACACCCGGTGATACATCCCTTTTCGGATCTAGAGCTGTATCAACCACTGGCACGCCCAAGGCAGACTCAGAGGATGTCGATATGCCAGATGCCGACGCGGAGCCGACGCCTAAAGAAGACGAGGTCAAAACCACATCAGGCGAGGTGATCACTCGCGAAGAGGAGATCGAGCGCCTTCGTACAAGCGGCAGTATGACGCAAAACCCAACGGAAATCCACCGCGTCCGAAACTTGACTCGCCTACAAATGGGCAAATTCGAAGTTGAGCCATGGTACTTTTCCCCATACCCAGATCAATTCTCCGACGTGGACATGGTCTACATCGACGAGTTCTGCCTGAGCTACTTCGACAACCAGCGTGCCTTTGAGCGCCACCGCGCAAAATGCACATTAGTCCACCCCCCAGGCAACGAAATCTACCGCGACGAAAACATCTCTTTCTTCGAAGTCGACGGTCGTCGCCAGCGAACTTGGTGCCGAAACTTATGTCTCCTCAGCAAGCTCTTCCTCGACCACAAGACACTCTACTACGACGTTGACCCCTTCCTCTTCTACTGCATGTGCACCCGCGATGAAACTGGTTGCCACCTCGTCGGCTACTTCTCCAAGGAAAAGGACTCCGCCGAAGGCTACAACCTGGCTTGTATTCTGACGCTGCCGCAATACCAGCGCCGTGGATTTGGTCGTCTGCTCATGTCATTCAGTTACGAGCTCAGCAAGCGCGAAGGCAAGCTTGGATCTCCCGAGAAACCGCTCTCTGATTTAGGTCTTATGGGTTACCGCCAGTACTGGCGTGAAACGCTTGTCGAGCTGTTGATGGAACCAGGTCGTGAGGCGATGAGTGAGAATGAACTTGCTGTCCTTACGTCCATGACTGAGAAGGATGTTCATGAGACTCTGGTTGTCTTTAATATGCTGCGATATCACGTAAGTCTTTTTTCTCAATTCGAATATTGGACTCATTTGCTAACAAACAAACAGAAAGGAAACTGGGTCATCGTCCTCACAGATTACGTTGTCGGCGAGCATAACAAGCGTCTTGAAAAAGAAAAAGTCAAGGGCGCGCGCAAGGTCGATCCCGCTGCCCTTCAGTGGAAGCCACCCGTTTTCACTGCCTCCAGTCGGACCTGGAACTGGTAAGGAGAATGCTCTTGTGTTCTCCAATCTAGTTTCGGGGGGGTTGCAACTTTGTTCTGTTTGTTTCCCGTTGTTGAGATAGATGTCTAATGAGGTGCATGGGACTAAGGGATCTCTCGTTTGGCTTTTATTTTGTTTTATGGTGTTTGGGATTACGGAAATGTGGTGGTGTTTTGGTTGATCTGTGATTTTTTCTTGATACCTCTTTTCTTTTTGTATATCAACTCCCCTGGTTTATTCAATAAGAACTTAAATGCTAATACCTACGAATTAACGAATCGTGTATTATTTAGTAAATATCACTCATCCCAGATGTGCTGTTCCAATGGACTGCTAGATACAACTATGTACATCTACTGACAACAGCTACAACATAATGAGAGAAGTCTATAATCTACAATCTACAGCAGAGCAAAAATTAAGATTCAAAATCACTGATATGAATTTGGGAGGCTGCATGATACAAGAAGGGTCGGAGTAGAGGCAGAGAGGGAAGGCCTGGTCAACTTGGCGAGCAAGCGGGACTAATAGGCCGAGGCGTGATAGGATAAGGGGCCGAACAAGGTAACCGATGATCCCAAATGAGAAGCATCTCCCCAGAAAGCGTTCCAAAAAGGGTGCCCTGGAAACAGAATATCCATGATGCCTCCAAAGTCCCTGGTGTTCCCTGCTTTCAACTGGGAACCTGCAGCCCACGCAGCCTGAGGGCACAGAAAAATGCAAAAGAAAAAAGTACATAACATAAAGGGAACATGTCGGATGTTGCCTTTGCGGAGTTGGTTGTGAGATAGAGGGCAGGAGCTGTGGTTTCTCCTGTCTGCTTGCCGCGTTTTGTGGCTTGGAGATGAGGAAAGTGAACACAGAAGGGTAGAGGGAGGGATTAGAGAGTATGGAGGGAGATCTAGATCAGTTAAGATCTAGACTCAGCAGAGCAATAATACTGAATTTTGCCCCGGGAACCGAAAGGAAACTAGATCTCTTAACGAGAGCCCTGGCGTGGACCCCATGATGCAGCCCGGGACTGGTTGTGCCGAGGCGATGATGAAGGCGCGCTGCCCTGCTGAGATGCAGAGGACTTCTTTGCGGCCTCCTTAGGCACAGTGGCTGCAGTGACTTCGCGGGGTTTGGATCCCTTGCGAGCCTTGAAATTGGGGGTGGTGCGCTGCTGCGGCTTCGAGATCGCACTTGCGGCGCCGGCCTTCTTTGGAAGAGTAATAGTCTTCCAAAGAAGTGAACCGGGAAGCCGGATCGAGGCTTGAATGTTACCGGCGTGATCTTTGTCACCGAATCCAATCCAGAAGGGTTCAACGCTGTGGATCTGCATCGTTTTCAAATTCTTTGCGCGCAGTCGAGATTGGGAAGGAGCTGGTGCGGCGAGCCATGCCGCTGGGGGTGCCATCATGGGGACACGGACACCGGGAAGAGAGCCTGGTTCACGGTCCTCGAAGATATCATCCTGTTCGTCAACTTGTCGGACCGCGAGATCACCGTCTCCTGAAGGATAAGCCAGCTCGGTGCTAGGAAAAGATACGGGAACTGCCGCGGCGGGCAACTGAACGTCCAAAGGCTCCTTCGTCGCAGATGCAACAGCCAAAGCGCTCTTCTTCTCGACCGGGGTCTTCTTGCCGAAGAGTCCATTAATCTTCTCCTGCCAAGACATCGCGGTCGACGCCGGCACTGGAGCTCGCGGGGCTGCTGCTGCCATGGACGCGAACGTGGGAGGAACAGCAGGCGCAGCAGGTGCAACTTGCGCAGCTTGAGCGGCCAAAGCCTTAGGTGGCAGTTTGACCACAGGCTTGGGGTTCGGCAGGTGGACTAATGGCCGACCCTCGCCGCCGAAGTAGACAGGGTGACTGAAGATCTCCTCCGGAGGTGGAGGTGACGGGCTCCGTTGTTGATATTCAACCTTCTCAACAGGTCGTTTCGCTTGTTCCGTTACATGAGGGAAGAATCGCGAGCTGCGAGCAGGCATGCTAACAAGGGGACGGGCGTGTGTATCGGAGAACCCTGGAAGGCCATCGGGCGGGGCATCAAGACCAGTCAAGGGATTGGAAGGCGAGGCGTTCTTGTTAACGACCGCCTTCGAGACCTTGACGACACGGCGTTGACCAGCATCGCTCTCGGGCCGCACTTGAGACCATGTCTCTTTGAGGGTGACAGGAGGGCCGGCTGCGCGAGCCTCGCGGTTGACATTGAATTCCTTACGGTATTTTTCAGCCTCTTCGTGTTCACGCTGAGCTGTGATCTTGTGGAAGCTGTTCCACGCGCCCAATCCACCAGGGGTGCGAGATTCAGGTTGCCACTGGGAGGCTTGTGAACTCGGAGGCCCAATAGGACCAGGACGGCCGATAGGATTAAGAGGACCAAAAGACGCGTTTCGTGTGTCGGGTGAAGGGAGCGGAGAGACCGAGGTAGCCTCTGGTGGACCTGAAAGTGCTTGAGGAGGCATGATGCTTTGGTCGAGACCCAACTGGCCCCGCAGAGGAACTTCACGCGAAGTGAACCCGCCGAGGCTCTGATCAAAAATCCCGTTGCCCAATGTTCTGTCACTTATCAGAGGCTTCCACGGGTTTTTGACAGATGGCGATGTTGATGCCATGTTGGGGTTAGTGGACCAAGGAGAGTAAGTTGAGCCCGAGACGTTCAAATTTCCACGCCACTGGGCGCCGTGCTCATCAGTCTTCGAGCCTTGTTGTGGACTCGCGTCAGTTTGCTGGCTCAAATTATCCGGAGGAACTTGTTCATGTTTCGCGTCGCGATTAGGCGAAGGGGCGCGACGCGTGCGAGGAGATGTCTTCTCCGTGTGTGGTTTCTCAGCTGCGCGATCCCTCTCATGTGCGGCAACAAGTCTCTTGACGCTATCGGGATGATGAACTTTCATCATCCCGTACTGCTTGGGCGCTCCAGTGGGCTCAGGAACGGGTGGCTTAGGAGGAGAGCTGATCGTGGCTGGAGGTGGTGCAGTGGGCGTCTGGGCTTTACGGCTTTCAATGCTGTTCTTGCGTTGTTTGTCCGGCGCCGGACCCAAAGCTGCGAGCTTTTGGCGAATCCGCTCGTCCCTCTCTGCCTTCTCTTTCTCCTCTTGCTGCAGACGACGTTGTCTAGCCTCAAGTCGCTTCTCCTTCATAATACGCTCCTGCACGACAAGAGGATCCTCTTGTGGCACTTCCGACGCAGCTGCCGGTGCTGGTTGCTGCTCAACCGGCTGAACTTCATCCACATGCGCAGGCGGCTGCGGACCCCAACTAGGCGTAGCGTGCTGCAGCGAAGGAGACTCATGGGCGTGGCCATGGGCGTGAGGATGAGCATGTCCGCCCATTAATGCCGGATCTACCAAGCCATTGACCTGTGAGCCCCGTCGGCCTTCATACCTCGGAGGCCCATCTGCTCGACCGAAAGACATCCGGCGGTCAAATCCTCCGCTTCCTCCACTGACATTGGACCCTGCGCGGTGACGGTTCCAGCCTATGCCGCCATCATGACTTGTTCGTTGAGTCTGGAATGCCGCAGAAGGTTCAGCCGGCCCATGAGCTTCATGGCCAGGTCGCTGCAACACATTAGGAGCCCGAGGGCCTTGATCTTGTCGATACGATGGCCTTCTGTTATCCGCTACCGGCTCATAACGACCAGACCGAGAGTTGTACAACTCGCGAGGCGCATTTGGAGCAGTTTCTCGCCAAGTGCGATTGAAATCGTCCGTGGCGATCTCTTGCGGAGGCAAGGAGGCATAGCGAGCGTCATCACGATGAGGTTGAGGATGGTGAACTGGAGGACGCGTGGAAGGAACATTGCCAGGATGATTCACAGGCGAAACTCTCTCGACTGGAGGTAAAGTAGCCCAGGGTGACTTGCTTGGAGGTGCCGGGCTCGTAGAGCCAGACGCAGTCCTGTCATTTGTTCCTTTGGACGAAATGCTTGCGGCCTTTGCCTGCCGCTCCGCATTGGCTCCGAGCCTAAGTACAGTCGGGTTTGGCCCGACGGACGTAGTTGGCTTCGGAGCAGCAATCTTCGAAATATCTCGCACCGCGGTCGGCTCTGTAATTAGCGCTTCTCGTGATTCTGGCTCATGTGCTTCGGGAAGTGGTTGTGGTTCGTTGTGTTGACCGAGAGTGACCTTGGTACCGTCCGTCCATTCAATTGTCTCCGGAGCCCAGTCGTCCTCATCATCGTCAATATCGGCCCATTTGGCCTCAGATCCACCCACGCCGTCTTCTTGAATTCGAGATGTCATATGGATTCCATACTGCTGTTTCAGCTCCTCGTCCGTCAAGTGCTTTGGGGGTACCGGCTGAACAGCTACATCAAGAACCAAATGTCAGTTCTGGTAGTAGACCCTATTGTAGCAAAATACATACGTCGATTCTTATTCCAGACTTGGTTCGGATCCGGACCTGATCCACCAAGCTTCGCGCCGCCTGGACCCGTCTTTGACAACGAATCCCGCATTGCAGACGTGGATTTCGGAACTAAGCGTGGCCGCGCAGTAGGTTGCGGAGTACCCATGGGAGTCGTAGGAATTGATGGCACTGATTTTTGCATATCAGAAATATACCCAAAGTGGAATCCAGCAAGCAAAGAAATACCTTTCTCAGGCGCCTTGGGCGGTGCGGCGGTCCCTGGTGCTTTCGGCACCGAGAACTTCGCAAATGAAACCGGCTTAAAAGATGTTGGCTTCTTTACCGACCCAGTGCGCGTGTGATGGCGACCATCTGTACGGCTAGCATCCGACTCCGAACCACCTAGTGAAGCTGTCTCGTCCCCACCGTCCGATGCGGAAGTTAATCCGTTCAGTTCGAGGGCCCTCGAAGCGACCAGCCCGGCGCTTTGCTTTGGAGAATCCTGCAACAAGTTCAGCTATCCCGTTGTCCAATATCTCGGCGATGAAGAAAAACCTACCATCGAAAAACTTCCGGCATCCTTGTCACCCAACGTGTCGGCTGAAGGACCTAATGTGTCTCTCGTCTCGTTTTGTTGATCAGATGTGGTTTGCGCTGTGGACGTTGTTGTGATATGGTTGGTCTCCCCCGCGTCCCCTTCGGCAGGTTGCTTGTCGTTGGTGCTCGCAGGAACGTCGGAAGGCGAAGGCTCGCCGCCCGACAGGGTCTGATCTACCACATCGCGGCTGCTCTGCTCTGCCATAACAATATGCGAGTCTGTAGTGACCAAAAGCCGGCGTTTGTCAGATCCGCGCCTGTAAATACACTGAGGGGATAGAGATGCGGAGCCCGGGTGGGCGGCCGCTCCAGCTGGCCTAGTAACCAGAAGACAGGACAAACAACGTACCGGCTGTCAGATTTCTGAGAACGCCACGGTAGAACTGCTCGTTTGACTGGTTGCACCCTGGAAGATCGGGATTCCACAACCAGGTAGGCGGAAGTTGGGCGGCCAACTCCCAGGAGCTCGATGGTGACAGCGTGCGCGGAGGTAGAGAACGGGTCTCGGAAGACGCGTGAGATATTCCGCAGGCCCAGGAAGTCCCGGGATAGGGAGGAGAGGATCGAGAAAGGGGGAAGGGTGGGTGTGGTGATGAATGAGAGGGTTGGCTCTGTTGAGATGATCTCGGGTTTGAAGCTGAGGGCTGGCTGTTTTCGGTTAGCGCGGTCCCGGTCGTAGCTGTGACCTTCACCCACCACGACATGTTTTAGATGTATCTAGGTCGCAAAGGGCAGCAAGTGGAGGGTTAGAGAGCATGTGGAGGCTAACTTTAGTCTCAGTTCAGCCTTTACGTGTCTAAGATTCTGCTACCTGGCTATGCAGATGCCGTGCCTGAGCGATACATCGGAGCGGAGACACGGTCACGCCACAACATGATCTATAGAACACCCCTTAGGTGCTAAGAAAACTACGACCACTGAAAACACTAATAATGAAACAATGAGATTCAAAAAGTCTCTCTAATTCCTACACACTGCCTTGCTCTGGGTGAGAGGACGCAGTATATACATCAATCCTCCTCCCAATCAATCGATCAAAAGAAATGATTTAGTGGGGGTGGTTCTTGTGGTGGCCTACGCAACAGTCAGTATATTCTGCAAAGTATGAAAAGGTCGACAGGATACTCACGCAGGTGGAAGTAGTACTCCATGCTGTAGCCGAGGATCAGAATACCGCCAATGGCGTGGACAAGGGCTGTTCCGATTAGCTTTCGAACCATTCCAATGCTGGATAGTAATACTTACGAACACCGGAGGCGTTCTTGCCGTTGAAGTAGCGGGCCTGGTAGCGGCCGATGAGACCGGTAGCCTTAGCCTGGGGGGCAGGGCCACGGGGAAGACCAGCGTAGAAGTTCACAACGCGCTCCATACGGGCAGCATCCTGGGCAGCACCGATGGCCTTCATATGTAAGTTAGCGACTGTTTCGGGTGGAATGGGCGTGATGTTTCGAGCCTAGATCGCACGAAAAAGACTTCGGGAAGGCACGGGGCCGGGAGGGGTGTAGGGAGCGGTGGTAGGTATGAGGTGTTCCGAGTAACTCACGTTGGGGGAGGCGATCTGTAAAAAGCATTAGTATCATAAATAGAGGCTCGCGACAGCCATGTGATGGCTCAATCGGGTGTTCGTACCTTGGGAGGGATCAGGGTCGAGAGACCACGGCGGACGATGTAGCTCATCTTGTCTGGCTGGAAGGGGTCAGAAATTTGTCGCAGTGAATGCAGCCGGACTCAAAGAGTGTATGGAGCCTATCGGAGAGAACTCACGGTGATTCGCGAAGCAAGTGAACCGGGGTAGACAGATGATGCAGAAGGAAGAGAACCTTTGGCCGGGAAGCGGGTGGTCGGATGAGCCAAGATGCGCTAATCCCCTTTCGGGTGTGTCGTGACTTGCACTCTGTGACGATTAACATCTCCTCTTGACTACCTCCATCCCACCCCACACCTACCACCGCACACCATGTCGCTCTTCAGAATTGGAGGTGCTGCTGGCTTCCGGGCGACCCGTCTGGTTGCTCCCGTCAATGCCCGCTTTGCCTCCAACACCGGGAAGGGTTCTCCTGCCGTCAAGACCAACACGTCCGAGGCTCCTACCTCGACCTACTCCAGCAGCTCCTTGATCAGCAAGGAGGGTCCTGCTGAGGCAATGACCCATCACCAGCCCGATTACGATGCCACCATTGACCACGGCACCTCGTACGCCACCTTGCCTTCCGCCACCGATGCAAAACCTTCGCTAACACCATTGACCTAGAAATTTCTCCCCGGTCCCCAAGCGTGTGATGGACGGCAGCGAGCCTGGTGACTCTCTCCCCGCCGCTGTTCTCTCCGGCGCCCCTACCGATCTCCAGGCCCGCACTGTCCGGTAAGCCGAGACCGAAACCGCGAAACCGCGAAACCGATCTGGAACATATAAACTAACATTGAATGCGCGCAGCATCTTCCGCCCCACAAAGGCCGCTACCCAGTCTGGCCACTGGCACGGGCACCACTGGCGCATGGACTGGGATATCCTGCAGAAGGGTCACCGTTGGGAGAACCCGCTGATGGGTTGGCAGTCGTCTGCCGATAGCATGCAGGGCACCAACCTCAAGTTCAAGTCGAAGGAGGACGCCATTGCCTTTGCCCAGAAGCAGGGCTACGAGTACTTTGTCCAGGAGCCTAACGTGCGCCGGGTCGTCCCCAAGGCTTATGCCAACAACTTCATGTACGAGAATAGGAAGCTCAAGCACATCAAGACCAAATGAGTGCGCTTTGTCGTGTGTTATGTACATAATTGCGGTTTTTTTTTTTTCTTTTATTTTAAAATCAAGTTCATTTAGAAACGATTTTTGTCTTCTGCGTATAGATGAGCGAGGAGCGGCCTAGGGTCTTTCGGCTTCATGGGCTAGACCCCACTGTGGGCAATCAACAGTGGCAGAGTTTCAACGACAAGGGGCGCGTTCCACGCCGCCTTTTTTCAATTCGACTTTTGGTAATATTGCGCCTGAGCATTTGGAAAGTGTCTACCGTTGTGGGAATGTTTACATCCTTTTCATATACAAGGCTTCGAAATATTATCAAAGGAGTGTATTCTATGGACATTTCCCTCGGACAGTCTCTCCGGCAAAGCATTATCAAGTCCATATTCGATACCTTCAATTTACTATCCATATCCATCTCATTCAGTGACCTCATAAATTACATCAAGTCACCATACTCGTGACCCTCCTCCTCAAGTTGCTCATCCTTGTGCAGATAGTCCTTCAACTTGTCCATCTCACCCTCTTTGTTCTGGGTCTGAGGGTGTTGGCTGTCCATCTTGTCTTGCTGATCAGTCGTGTCCTTGCTGCGATCAGCCTTGTTACCATCGTGGTGGTGAAGGATTCTCTCAAAGAAACCCTCGTGCTCTTGATTGGGATTCGACTCTATAATGATCAGTATAGAAAAACCAGATAAGAAAGAATTTGAAAGAAGCACTCACTGTCGGACATGATGCCTGATGTATTGATTGATTTCACAAAAGTTTCTTGATTTGTTTTAGGGTAAATGGTTATTCGTTGGTTAACAAAGAGTAACCGCGGGGAATGCGACTCAACTATAAACCCCAGCTACAATCTATTGATGGATCAAATTGCATCATCAAATAATGCTTCAGATAACAATGTGGGGTTGCGGTAAGGCGACTTTCTCATCATAGGTTATAGGAATAATGAGCGCGTCATCGATTGACATCTGGAGCCTTACGTGCGATATAAAGTCTATTTGGCGGTATCTACCGCTGGAGTTATCACCCATCTACATGGTGAAAATGCCTCATTGGTTGAGGCGGGCTTTTATTGGGTTAGTAGTATTACCATAATTGGATTTCTTGGTGTCCAGACGTGCTAGATCATTGCCAGATCTGGAGTTGGTGATGCAGGCTGCACGGGTCTAGTTATGGTCGCCCGGATGATCCCCGAAGGTATCGTTCTCGATCTTGGGTCTTTTTTGTAGAGATGGAAATGTAAACGTCAGGTTAAGCTCTTGTGAGGAAGCATTTTTGATTACACAAATTGGGTGCATAAGTCATGCCTAAACACAACTCACTACTCAGACTATTTTCAGATTCGGAATTTGATCAAGTATAAAATTGCATTCTCACGAACTACATTAAACCAAAGAGAGCCCCAAGAGCATTATTTACCAATAGCAGCCTCAGTCGCCTGCTTAAGCTTAGCCCCAAGGTCCTGATTAACACGACCAAATAGTGCTGCAGAACCGTCAGTGAAAGACTCATAAGTAAAGAAAAGAGTAAACAAACCATAAACCTCATTCCTCAGATTCGGCGACTTGACCTCCCGAACACTCCCAACCAGATTCTCAATAACTCTCTCCTGATGTCCTGGCTCACGTCCAAGGATATCCCACAACTCAGCTGGCTGCACGAAATCATCATCCGTGATATGGCTAGTGTAAGTGCTCACTTCACCAACCCACTTCTCGTGTTCCGTGTGCAGGGCTAGAGACTGAGGACTGACGCCTTTGACCTCTGGATAGTACTTTGTGGGTTGGAGAGAAGAATTGACGTAGTTGGGATCGCCGCCGTAGTTTCCGTCGAAGCGCATTTTGCCGTCGCGCTCGAACGGGCAGTAGACTGGGACTTTGGCAGCGTTGGTGGGAAGTTGTTGGTAGTTCACGCCGAGACGGTAGCGGGCTGCGTCGGGGTAGGCGAATAGGCGGGCTTGCAGGACTGGGAGGGATTATTAAATTGGGTATGACAGTGCGAGTTATAGTTGACTTACCGGGGTCGGCTGAAGCTGAGAAGCCTGGGACCATGGTGGATGGGGAGAAACTTGCTTGTTCGATGTCGGCAAAGTAGTTGTTGGGCTGATTTATTTAATCAGTAGCTGCAAGCACGAAGCAGATTTGAATAGCTCACGTTTTGATTCAGTGTCATCTTGCCAATCTTCCTCAGAGGGAAGTCTTTGTGGGGCCAGACTTTGGTCATGTCGAAGATATTCCACCGGTAGGTTTCGGCCTCGGAGGGTTCCATGACTTGGACAAAGACATCCCATGAAGGATACTCTTTTCTCTCGATAGCCTCGAACATGTCACGAATCATGTAATCAGGGTCCTCGCCAGCAATCTTAGTTGCCTCTTCTCGGGTGAAATTCTTAACGCCCTGTTGGGTCTTCATATGAATTTTGATGTACTTGAACGAACCATCCTAGTAACGTGAGTTAACTGACGCTACCCAATTTCAAACAGTGATAGCCTACCTCTTTGGTGAACTTGTATGTATGTCCACTATAAGAGTTCAAAAAGCGGACAGATCTTGGTGTTCCGCGATCGCTGAAGAGGACCAGAAGCTGATGGATTCCTTCGGGGTTTCCAACGTGGAAGCTAAGAAATGTTAGCAACAGTAAATCTATACAGAGTCTTCCATAGGTGTGCATACTCCCAGAACTAAATTCTACATCAGCTATTTCGTGTCATTTGAGCCAGGGAATGCCACGTACCATATTCGCATCAGGAAGATGCGACCGCGGGTGTCTCTTGTGAGACCGATTCATAGAAGGAAACTTGATAGGGTCCCGAATGAAAAAGACAGGCTTTCTAAATATTAGCACTTTTCTGCACTATGTATGCAGTTTGCTCACGGTGTTGTTGAAGACCCAGTCGAGATTGCCTTCATCGGTATATATCTTCATTCCCCAGCCATGAACATCTCGGGACGTATCAGCAGAGCCCGACTCCGGACCAACCGTGGAGACGCGAAGAAGAACCGGGGACTTCTTTCCAGCTTTGTTGAGAAAGCTGGCGGATGTTATGTCCGAGCAGTCGGCTTCCGCTTCGAATACTCCGTACGCTCTGTAGACCGGGACATAGATCAGCTCACTTGTTCACGATAGAAGACTCGACATACTTACCCGATAGCTTTGGCATGAACAACGCTGGAATATTACCAGTGTCAGCCCAAAGTCGTATCTTCCAAGTGTGCCACTCTTACCGCTCCGGGATTCTCTCACGAGAGAAATGCGCAAGAGTCTCAATGAGCTGGGTATCCTGAAGCAGACCAAGGCCACCAGTGCCCTGTCTGTTTCGCATCAGCACAGCAGTGCTGCTGCTTGCGAAGGGGCATCCTTTTGTATAGTCAGCATTTGGCGATTAAGTACGTGTTTTGTGATCGCAGACCTTCAGCAAGAGTGTAGTACTTGTCAGCGGACATAATGAGCTCCAAAACTGCTGTTTTCGTCCAATTGCGACCTTTCGTCTGTTTCAAGTCAAGTGAAAGCTATCCCTTTGGATTAACTGTCATAATAAACTTGGGGCTAGCTATGGGTTTTATTTTATTTCTCACTGATACTGCTAGTTAGGTTTCATCCGCCCCTTCCGTCTAATGTATTACATCATTCTTGTCCGCCCACTGCATCGAGTCCTCACCGATCTAGATAAGCTGGAATTGAATTGACCGCTATTGGTCTGCCAATGAAGCATATCAGCAACTCCGTGATCCAAGAACCGCTTGTCAAAAGATGCATATGCGTGGCAGCCCACTCGTCATGACTGTAAGCGTACCCTGGTCGGATGACTAAGTGGGGTCGAAGCCGAGTCGATCAATGGTCGGCATCTCCGTGTTTGCTCTAGCTTGAGGTCAATGGACCATGTAGCCGTCGTCAACGCAGATATGGGCTAGAAGAGCTGAGCTCAGAAGTCTCCATTCGAGTACAACCGAGGATGGTTCTTCCTCGGTGTGGACGCCTGTTACACGGGTGATACACCCGAAATCTTACCAGGGACGAATGAGAAGCTCAATGTGGTGGCAGTAACTGGTGACAGTATCTGGACCACTGGATAGATGATCGGATACGATGCAGATTCAAAGTATGGGCGATGATTGGGTAGATAGCATTACCAGATCAGGCTATTGATGGGCGGTGGATCGATCCAATCTCAGTTCCCGCCCCCACCTCTTACTCATCGTGGACCTTGCATCTATCCCGAGGCTTCGTATTTTTTTTTGACAGGCACATGGAGCAAGAGTGATGATGGCTTTTTCGGTGGAGTAGATGTGCACTTTAACTGAGGTGGCTCAGCATGACAGGGTACTTCGTGCCATCCTCTTTCTTACTCTCGCACATCAGTGCGTTTTATCCAATCACTTAGGGTTATATTATGTCGTCAGGCAACAGCTCCAGTGGGTCTCACTCTGGAAAGAGCATGCCCCCAGACGATGCTCCCCGATTCGCTTTCGTGTCCGAGAGCAATCAAGCAGATGCCCGAAGCCATGCGATGCGCGAGCATTGGAGACAACGACACAGCCGCAACAATAGTGGCAAGAACAAAAGGATTCACCCAAAACTTCTACCTAGTCCGGCATCTTCGTCTTCTGCAGGCCGAGTTCTGAAACCTCGGAATATTTCTAGCCGAGACCGTTCAACCCGAAGCTATGGCTCCCAGGGATCGCCGGCTAAGCAATCGGAAGCTACGTCTAGCGAAATGGAACTCATTCGGGCTGACGGAGACAACCCGATCGGCATTACTCCACAGCTCTTGAATGGAATGAGCGATGCTCTGTCAACTTCGAGACTTGATCCTTTTCAGCAATTTCCGGTGGAGTTGACACCCCTGCATCATAAGCTACTGCATCACTGTACGTCGACGGCCTGCTATTCGTGGACCCAAAACGGACCTAATTAAATTCGCAGGGATTGGAACACATGCTACAATGATGTTCGAAGACCTTGATATTCCAACTTTCAACCCAATGAAGGATGTTTGGTTCCCACTAGACCTGTCAAACGCATCATCCTTTAACGCTATCATGGCCCACTCCGCAGCTCACTTATCCCACCTTTATGCGGGGACAAGCCCTCAAAGAGGGACCAACTCATCGGACGCCTTGAAGTTTAAATCCGAGGCAGTGAGGATACTCCATGAGTGGCTCTCTATTCCAGAAAAAGCTCTCAGCTATGATGCATTTGCGGCTGTTATCCGCCTTCTAACATTTGAGGTAAATACACTTCACGATGTTGCCCAGCGGATCAATACCCTTGATGTGGCGGAGTTCTAACCATGCACAGAGATACTGGGGCACGGCTGAAGAATGGAATATTCACCGCACCGGTCTCCACAGAATGATAGAAGCTAAAGGTGGAATCGGGGAGCTCCACGGTAACTGGCGTCTGGAGCTTGTTGTCTACCTGTGGGTCACCTAAACATTCGTCTTCATCTTCATCTTTACTAACACGCGTAGCGTATCTCTCATGTCCAAGCCGTCCTGGTTCGAGTCTACAAACAACATCTCCGAAATCTCCGAGCCGTCCGCTAACGCCTTCTCACTCGACCCAACCCTGGATATCCAGAAGATACGCTGCCTTTGGTTGATATCGTTCATCCAAGACATGCGTACCTTTATGGGATTTTCTTCACGCTTTTACGCCCGAGGTTTATCAGCATACTCATCTCTCTATGATGCCGTTTCTCTTCTCCGTGATGACTTCCAAACTTATCACGTAAAGAAAAGCTGCGCTCATGGCCCGGAAATGTCACCATCGGACTATGACAGGCTTACATGCCTGTTTTCCATCTGTCTCATGATACAAGACTCCATATCAACCCCATCCTGTGGCCCTATGAGCTCCCCAGTCCCCTCCTACGGTTTGATCATACTAGATGAAGCTTTGACTAACTCTCGGAGCCTTTGGCAAGCTTCCGTCGGTAATCTGCGGCCATTTCTACTTCACCACATGCTGGAGTGCCATCTAGACGGCTCACAAAAGATTGATTACGTTAGGCGAATGGTGGAAGTGCTAAGTCATTTGAGCTTGGAAGCTGGGGTTGGGGTCGAAAAGTGTTTATTAAACATGCTTTGCCGTACCCAAGCTGCACAGCCGACCTTTCTGGTAGATGATGGCTGGACACCTGATTCACTCTTGTCATCTATGCATGGACAATAGGTAATACAAAATTCAAGAAATCACAAAAGGCGGCCTATCATGACTTGGCTCTCGGAAACACTGTGAACTAAAGATTATCCGTATCTTTGAGACAATAGGCATGGTTCAGGACTCCGCCACAAGACAGGGTTATAATTCTGAGCCGAAAAACCTAATCAAAATTCCGCCTTCGACCAGATGAACCCAAATCACAGAATTTCCTGAACCGTAGCCCCGGTTTGGAACCGTGTCAAAGCTAAAGTTTAGCTATCTCCAAGCCGTGTTCCGCGCCAAGCTAACCTTAGTCCGTAGAACTACTCGTTTAAGGATAGAGCATGTGCGCAGGTGCCCCGGTGAGAGGCCGACTGTTCTGGAGGACTCGTCATGGCATCATGACCTCGCGAGGGTGTTCCAAGAGCCTTGCCAGCATCGACGAAGTCAAAGCGGGCTCCATCCGAGGACGCCATATTTATCAGAGTGGAAATAAAACCTAGTACATATTAGAAAGAGTTCATGTTTTGATGGAAGCCCAAAGCTCCGTCCGAAAGCCTCTCTTATACCTATTCTCTCGTCTCGTCACCTCACTTTGTATATATGCATACATTGTCGCGTCGCACCGCTGAATTACTTTATCTGGGTCCAGAGATGCAAGCCTACACTCGATATGTGGGCTGATTTGGTGGTGAGAAATGGACATGGGATCCCCTTTTGCCCTACCTTCGCAAGAGTGCTACCTGCCACGACGATGTCAAGCTCTATTCACCTGAGATGAAGATTGGTGGTGGAGGACCTATTCCCATCTCCAATGCTGAATTGATTGACGAGGTGAAGAGGTTCAAAAGCCGCTTTACCAAGGCTTGGAAGTCCACTGGTCGACCTATGACTGAGAACATCTACGATGGAGAGATGAACGGTTTTGCCCATTGCTGTGACATGATCTGCCGTGATCAACGGTCCGGTAGCTGGCTTTTCGTCAATGATAACCTAACACTACCATCTTATCTCAAGTGCATTCAAAGCGCTTGATTATCGACGAGACAGACAAGTCCTGCAAAGGTGTCACTGTCTTCGACCCTTCGCGCAAGGAGCTCAACCTTTACTTCACGAGAAGTCATTCTCTCCTAGCCAAGCTCCTCATGCCCAGCGGCATTGGTCTCAACCATGATATATCCAAGCACAGAATCATAACAATCGTAGACTCGGAGCACGTCGGCCAGCACCTCCTCAACTACCCCGGTGCCCCAATCGTCTTTCAAGTCAAAGATGGCTACGGAATGGAAAACCACCTCCTCCGCAAAGGCCCCGGCCACACCGCTACCGTGAACGCATATAAGAACGGTAATAAGGGCTCAATAGGATCTGGTCTCCTCAAAATGATTTGCTTCCAACGCATCGACTTCTACCTCGAGAAAGACCCCGCCTATGTCGCAGCAAAGAAGGCCAATGGCGGCGCAGACCCATTCTCACCGCTCGGCCAGCCTCACTTTGAACTATACTTTGTCTCCATATTCATAACAGCCTTCCAATGGCATTTCATGACTCCCAGGAAGGGCCAGCATACCTGTGTCGTCGTCGATCTGGCCCGTCCCGTCTCCGATCCAAGCGAGGTTACCCTGAACAGCGCAAACTCCTGAAACAGTCAAATATGACCTGAATTTCTTCGCGGATGAGCTCAGCCCCATTGCCATGCGCGAAGGTCTCAGGTTCAGTTATGATGTTCTCAGAAGGGCGAGAGGCTCCAAGATATTGGACTTGCGGAGTATCCATGGGAGACACCATTGGATGACGATAAGGAGATGAGGAGAGCAGTGCTGGATAGATGCCAGTCTGATTCCCATCCCCGTGGAACCGGCGAAATTGTCGAATGTCGAAGAATATTGGGCAGGGTGTTATCGATCCGAAACTGAGAGTTCATGCGGTTGAGGGTCTTAGGTAACTGATGCGAGTGTCATTCCGGTGATTCCTGATTGCCAGATTCAGAATTCGGTTTATATGGCCGGAGAGAATGAAGCCGATTGTATAAAGGCTGGTCATCAGGATCTTTACTAGTTGGGCTGCGACTTAGGCTGTACTTTTATTGTTGTGGAAAGGAAAACTCTACATAACTTGACCAATTCACAGGTCAGTCTGAATTGACTCCTCTTGAAACTTGTTCCCGTGATTTCCGAGACCTTTCTTATCTTGCTAAAAAGCAATGAAGACCAGTATAACTAGAAACAGACCAAGATGGAATAGAGAGCAGAGGAGTACCTTGAAATAGTATAAGTAGAATTGGCGCGGGCCAACCACATCCGAATCGGCGCAGCCCCGCCACCCCACCTCAAAAAATCTATGATAAGATCCAAAAGATTGCGCCCTCAGACCCTCCACTACAAGACTTTTTGCATATACACCCTCCTCCTCAAAATGTCACCCTCGGCGACCGAGACCCCCGATGGGACAGTCCTAACCCTCCGCAAGGTCCTTACCTCTGAATCCGAGCCCCTCGCTCGCCGCTTCCGCGCCCTCTTCTCCCTCAAGCACCTCGCGTGCCTGCAGCCCCCAACTGAGCAGACCCTCCCGGCAATTGAGGCGATCGCCGCTGGTTTCGCATCGCAATCGGCTTTACTCAAACACGAGCTTGCGTACTGTCTCGGCCAGACCCGCAACCATGACTCTGTCTCGTACCTGCAGCAGGTCGTGAAGGATGTCGAGGAGGATGCGATGTGCCGTCACGAGGCCGCGGAGGCTCTCGGTGCACTTGGTTATAATGACAGCTTGGATATTTTGAAGAAGCTGCGTGATGACGAGAACGAGTTGGAAATTGTTCGCGAGACTTGCGATATTGCGGTCGATCGTATTATTTGGGAGAACTCCGAGGCCAGGAAGGCTGAGAAGTTGAAGCCCAGGTAAGTCTACTACAGCGTTACGATATATGTGTGGTTTGTGATCAAGCAGTGCTAATGTATTTTCAATCCAGTGACTTCACCTCTATTGATCCCGCTCCTCCCATGCCGCTGGATGCCCGCGAGCCCTGCATTCCCGACCTGGAGAAGACACTACTCGACACCAAACTCCCTCTCTTCCAAAGATACCGTGCCATGTTCGGCCTGCGCGACCTCGCTTCGCCGCCCGACCTCCCCACAGCAGTTGACGCCGTGAACGCTCTGGCCAAGGGTCTCAAGGACCCCTCTGCTCTGTTTCGCCACGAAGTCGCCTTCGTCTTCGGGCAGCTCTGCCACCCCGCCTCTATTCCCTGCCTTACAGAATGCCTCGGCGACCTGAAGGAGCAGGGTATGGTGCGACACGAGGCTGCTGAGGCTCTTGGCAGTTTGGGCGACGAGGAGGGCGTCGAGGAGACCCTGAAGAGCTTCCTCAACGACCCGGAGCAGGTGGTGCGCGATAGTGTGATTGTGGCTCTTGACATGGCTGAATTCGAAAAGAGCGGCCAGGTTGAGTATGCGCTGGTGCCGGATGGAAATGGCCCTGCAGTTGCCGCAGCATGATGGAATCTTTGAATGGAAAATAAAAAATGTCGTGACGTCGTTATTTTGATACTCTTATCCCGCTCTGTTATACAGCCAAAACATAGACCCGTTTCTTTCTTTGTATAGCCCTCCGTTTTCGCTCAGTTGTTTGAGGTTTCCCTGTAGTGATGATTAGTATGAAGATTGGATGGACGGAATGTGGGATGCTATACTTGTAACCGCAAACACACCGATAGAACACGGTACTTCCTTCGTCTGCACTGCGCAGCTGGACGGTTGTGTAGAACATTTCCTTGCGACCACATCTCTCGCAAATCTTGTCCACAACGGCCTCTGTTTTGCGGTCCTCGGCGGACAGGGTCTGGACTGCAGATCGCTTGGCTCTCAATGCGGAGGGGAAGGCTGCAGGCTTGGATTCAGAGACAATGGTTTCCGGGACAATGTCTAGGATATGTTAGTTGCTCATAGCCCAAAAACTGCCATGCAAAGCCTCGATTGAAGCACTAACCCTTGTTCCTGGCTCCGCAGACCATGCAGTGTAGAGTCGCATTCGCATCTCCGGTAGACTCTCGCAGCAGGTTACCGCAGTCGGTGCAGAAGATCAAGGAACCGATAACAGACATCTTGATTGTGAGGTAGAAAATGCAGAAAGCTTGTCAATCAAAGAATAATCAGCAGAAAAAAGCAGTGAGCTGGTCAATGTTAAAGTAGACCGCGGATGGAGACTTTTTTTTGACTGCACGGGCCACCGCGATACCCGCGCAGGCGGTCAAACGCGGCAGATTGATGCTCCGACGAGTGTGGTGAATAGCGATAGATTCATTGTGAGCTCCTTCTGGTCTTCTGTCGCAACTTGCCCGACTGGAGAGCAAACATCGTGAAGCATTCCATAAATGCTCACGCACGGTGTCATGACGCTGCCTCGAGCAGGCCTTTGCTTTGCTTAACGCCTTCCTTTTCGACTGGTAACCGCCATCATGGATCAGAATGGACGTCCGGCTGTTCAGGTCGTCGTGAACGGTCCTTCACAGCCTCAGCAGGCTTACGGATCCAATATACCTCTTCAGAATCAGTCTCGGTCGCTGTCCGTGGATGAGGCGCTGCAGTACTCGTCCATGTCCAGCGCTCCTGTCTTTGGCTTTGGTTTGTCATTTCATGAAAGCGGCCCAAATAACTGTGGAAATGCGTCTGACTGTTTCTTTTATTTTCAGACTGTGTCATTCGCCCCGATGTTGGCCGGCCGTCAACTACGACCTCAATAAATCACGTTCTTCAAGCTGGTCGTAATACTCTGAGTGAGCTAGACGCGGAGATCCAGTCAGGGCAGGACGAGTCAAGTCGTTTGGAAACGTCGCGGGAATACCTACAACAATTGCTGGATGGAGAACAGTTGACTGAATTGTGAGAAATATATAACTCCGCGTGCTTAACTTTCACTGACGCTTCTTGTCTCAAGCAAATTCAAGCTTCCTCCTATTCTTGGCCGCGGCCAATCACTACGTCCGAACGATGCCGATGGCCCTCAGAACAGTCGTAACCAGCTCGGCGCATTTGCGCGCATGATGCTCGATTCCACCGATATAGCATACAGATGTGAGGAACTTCTACCGATTTCGAAGTTTGAGTCATTTCACTGACCGATCTCAGATCCCAACACTTCTCCTACCAAGGTGAAGATAGAGAAAAAGCCAGATAAAATGATATCGGTCTCGAAACCTGCAGCTTCCTGGAACCAGCAGGCTGTTCAATTGAATCGAACAATCTCAGCTTCCTATCAACCGTCGCCTCCCTCAAACCAAATCGCCGTGGTCATTCCAGTCAAACCCACGCCTTCAAAGCCAAGTCAGCCCAAGAAGTCAAATGTAAATATATCGGGTTACGACACAATGACAACCGTGCATCTGAAGGACCAGAAGGCAGAAGCAGACGATGCTCTGCTGAAACTGCAGGACCTTCTTCACGAGGTATTTGAGGCCGAGGATCAAATCGAACCAGACTCAACATTTGCTCCGACTCCCGACAGCTCGAACCCTATATTTGTGAACGCAAGATCAATAGAAGTGCACGGAGCGGTTCTCTCGAATGATGCTCATACCCGGATCCAGAAGGGTATACGAAAAGTGACTGGCTTCGACAGGCTGCAGGACATTCCATCGGATTATCTCAACCGAATCCAAAAGCTCTGTGAAAAGCCCATAGTGGCTGCTCAGGCTCCAGATCTCAGTTTGAACGACCCGTCAAGTGAGACTGAAGCGCAAGAATGGGGAGGCAAGGTCGAGGATGTGCTGAATGCTTTGCTCGCTATTGGAACACTTCTTCAGACCATGTCAGGTCGTCAGACTGAAAGAGACCTTTGCCCAGAAGATTTGATTGAAGCCATTCCAACCGTGTTGAACCAAGCCTTTGATCGCTGCATTATCCCTGCAGTCGAGGCGCGGTCTGGTGGCAAAGATTCAGAGTATTTCTCTTTCTACTCAAGTCAGAAACGACTCATCGGAAGCCTGATCCATCAAAGCAAGAAGGTGCTCGCCCTTTTTTCGGAATTTTTATCTCGAATTGAAATTCCAGAAGGCACAGTCACAGCAGCCGAGTTCTTTGCAGCCAAGCTCATCTTTGTTGAAAATGCTTACAATGACAAGGATTCGACCATTGGATATCAAAGATTCGAGCCGGCGAGACGAGGGGCTATGGACGTTCTTGCCAAAATCTTCTCCAAGTATCCCGATCAACGTCCCTACATCTTGGATGAAATTCTTGGCTCATTGGAGAAGCTTCCCTCTACACGCCAGAGTGCGAGACAATTCAAACTTGCGGATGGCAAAAACATTCAGCTTCTCACTGCACTTGTACTTCAACTCGTGCAAACCACTGCGTTGGAAACGCCCAGTTCGTCCAAAACCAAGCGTCTTCTGCAAGCTCAAGCCGATGATGATGATGAATCGATGGGCGAGGGTGAAGGCAAGAAGATTGCAGACTACGACGACGAAGATGAGCTCGACGAGTCTCTGGAGCGCTTGGCAGCCAAGGTCAATAGGCTATATGACAACGCGGTCCGCAGTGCGCAATACATCGTGAAATTTATAGTCCAGCGTGCCATGACATCAACCAAGAGCGGTGATCAACCCTACCGAAATATTCTTGACCTTTTCACTGAAGATCTAATCAACGTCCTCGGATCCACCGATTGGCCCGCCGCTGAGCTTCTCCTTCGAATCATGGCATCACAAATGGTTGGTATCGCGGATCAGGACAAAAGCCCGGCCACTGCAAAGAGCATGGCTCTGGAGCTTCTGGGGTGGATGGGCTCTGCCATTTCTGATCTGATTGCAACTGCCCAGCATATGCTTCCTGCTTTGGAAGACTCTGAGAGTGATCTCACGGATGAGCTGAAGCAGCAGTTTGAAGACTTTACCTCCCGAGCATTGCATCCACAAGACTTGATCGCCCCGAGAGGCCCCTATCGCATGGCCCTCGAATATCTCTCCCAAGACAGAAACTCCGACAACTCACAGCTTGCCAGTGCACGAGGCTACTATTTGGCTCATTGGGCAAAAACTGTTTGCAACTTGTTCTACAACTCGGACGATAAGGAGGATTTGGCCTATGACCATATGACTGATGAATTGGTGGTCCTTCTTTCGAGATCATTCTCCGATTCTCGCTGGCTCGAGACTCACAAACAATTTGACACCATCTCCAACGTCCACGGGCGATTTGCGTATGTCCTAACAGTGCTCAACTCGAGCTTTGGCAAGGCCCTCGACACGATTCTCAAGGTTCTTCTGAATTCTATAGGCAGTGACCAAGCCAAGGTTCGCAGCCGAAGCTTGAAGAGTGTCATTTACATGCTAGAGAAAGATCCAAATCTCCTTGACCGCGATGCAGCAGTTATGCGCCTGATTCTTCGCTGCACCACGGATGCCTCGCCTATGGTCCGTGACTCCGCCTTATCCCTGATTGCGAAATGCATCGCGCTTAGGCCGAAGCTTGAAGAAGAAGGCTGTCGCAGTATTCTCGCCTGTGCGGCTGACCAAACCGCTGGTGTTCGGAAGCGCTGCATTGGCCTGCTCAAAGAGCTTTACCACAAGACGCATCGGCAGGAATTGAAGTTGGCTATCCTTGACAGCTTCCTTCAGCGCACTGGCGATCACGAGGATACTGTGGCCACGGCAGCTCGTCAGACTTTTGAAGAAATCTGGCTGGTTCCTTTCCATGAGTCCATTGATTCTACCTCAGATGGACCCAAGCTGAAGATGGCTCTCGGGGAGCAGGTCGGCTTGATTGTCGGTCTCGTCCAACGCAGCGACACCGCCCTTGATTCACTGAGCACTTGCTTGAAGGCTGTGCTTTCGGAAAAATCCAAGTCTGCGTCGCTGAATTTCAAGGTCTGTAAGTCTATGATTTCCATTATGTTCCAAAGACTAGTTGAAGATGCGGATGCTTCTGGCAAAGAGTTCCAACAAGCTCTCCTTCAGACAATCACCGTGTTCGCCAAGTCGGATGCGAAGCTGTTCACCCCGGACCAATTGGAGGCTCTGCACCCGTACATCGGCCATCTCGCAACCGCAGATGATCTCTTTATCTTCCGATCCGTGGTGATGATCTACCGCTGTGTCTTGCCAGAGATCTCGTCTTCGCACAACACTCTACTCAAGGAAGTGCAGAACGACCTTTTCAAGAGCGTTGCTAAGCTGGCCCGTTCAGAGCTCAATGAAGTGATGGCCTGTTTGTGGACAATCAACGGCGTGTTGAAGAACACAGACAGATTGGTCAAGCTGACAGTCTCCGTGCTCAAGCCTCTGCTGCAGTACAAGAGCGTTGATCTGTCAGCAGAGAAGAATGCCCAAGTCGCGAATCGAGCTAAAAGCTACGTTCGTATTGCTGGCTGTGTTGGCCGTCACTGCGACCTTGAAAGCTATGCCAATCACTTCAAGGCCCAGTTCCCAACATGGGGCGGCAAGACCGTCGCTGATCTCATGGTGGACTCGATCCTGCCGTTCACATATTCCAATCAGCCTACCGATCTAAGGGTCATGGCTCTTGAAAGTCTGGGGTCTATTTGCCAGTCTTGGCCAGCCCAGTTTGGACGCGAGCCTGCTCGGAAAACCTTTTCTCAAGTTTTCAAAGAAGACGCCCCAACTTTACACAACATCGTTCTTCGTTCATTCTCAGACTTCTTTGCCATGCAAGAGGGCAAGTCTGAAAAGAACATGCAGATCTCGAACGCAGGCTCCCAGGAAGATTCCACCAGGTTGGGAGGTTCTCTGAAAGCTAGTGATAACGATGGCGCAGCCGCGTTGATCGCCCAACACTTCCTCAAGAACATGGTTCAAGTGGCACAGTCGCGACAGGATGCCTACTCGCTTACTGCCATTGAGGTTATTGCAAGTATCAATAGACAAGGGTTGGTGCATCCCAAGGAATGTGCCGGCGTTCTTGTTTCTTTAGAGACGTCGACGGTGCCAGCAATTTCCAAGATTGCCTTTGACACCCACAAGCAGCTCCACCAGCAGTACGAATCAATGTTTGAAAGAGAGTACATGCGGTCGATACAGGAGGCCTTCTACTATCAACGTGATGTTGTGGGAGACTCAAATGGTGCGACCGCTCGACCTTATGTCTCGAAGCTGGCGCCGTTGTTCGAAATCGTCAAGATCAGCAACAGCCGTTACCAGAAGAAGTTCCTCTCCAACCTCTGTTCCAAGGTCAATTTCGATCTTAAGAAACTCGTCGTTGAAGGAGATCCCCCCGAACACCTTTTGCTGGCTCGATTCATTTCTCAAAACCTTGCATTTTTCGACTACGGACAGCTTGCTGAAGTGGTGCCCACCATTGCTGCCATGGAACGCATTGTGTCATCTACCGGTACAGTCATTGCTCACGCCATTGATACCGATCTATTCCCTACTCCCATCGGACCGCCAGTAATTGACATCCCTGCGGGTATGGTTGGGCTTCCTCCCGACCTGCAAATGCAAATGATGCAAATGCAAATGCCAATGCCAATGCCGCCAAGCGCACCTCAGCAGATGGACCCGCTCACTCTCCGACGATTGGCTACAGCCGCCGCATCCCTGTCAATGATCTGGGAAGCACGCACCTATCTACGTCGTCTGTACTCGGTCCATTCTCACACCAAGGACAAAGACGGCAAGCCTGCCACCAAAGAGCTGAACAAGACCGCGACGAAGGTGCACGGCGTGACGGGAGACAAGTTCTGGGAAGCTATTATTAGAAACATGGCTTCCCTGAACAGCGAGGAAGCTATGCTGAGCAAGTGTCGGGAATTCTCTACTTTGCTGGCGATCGACGAAGAGCTCAAGGTGGACCGCCACGACGACGCTGATGGTGATCTCGATGCACCTGGTGATCTTGATGATATGACCAGCCTTAGTGGATCCCGTCCAATGAAGCGCAAAAGCTCTGTCTCAAGCACCGGGCTCAACAAGCGGCCGAAGAGTCGGAAAGGCTCCGTTGGCAAGAAGCTTAGTGCCGAGCCGGACGGTTGGGATTGACCGCCGATCGCCGGAAGGATGATTTGACTTGATATCCCTTTTGCTATTCTATTTCTGCTTTTTCTTTCTATTCTGCATCCTGTGGACGGCGTTGATTCATATCCTCTGGATATTTATGGGGAACGGTTCTTCTTATTTTCTTTTACAATACCTAGGGTGGGTACATTATTTACTTTAAACCTCCAATATGCATGCGGCGGCGCAAGACAAGGGGGGCGGGTCCATTTGCTTAGAGCTAGGCTCGGGCACTTTACTTCCATCATCTTATGAGTATATATGCAATAGAAAGACATTCTAAAGTTAGTGGCTTTCCGTATTTTCACACCGAAGCACTAAAAGTGTAGAATTTGCATTAAACGTGCCGGCTTCCCGGTACCACGCCTTCATCACGTGACCCTAGATGACGTCGCGGCCGTCCAGCGCATTTGTTTCCTACTCGCATTTTTCCTCTTCCAAAATAATTCTGAGTATACTCTCGTTGTTTCGGTTCCTTTTCAATACATTCTCTTCCGCCGGCATAGCAGCGGGCTATGACCTGCATCGTCATTCTTGGCACTGATCTGCTCTCGAGCTCACCGACGCCCGTCTACTCATCATGAGCGCAGCGCTGCTCCGGGGTCGTCCGGGCGGCCCCGCGCTACGGTCAATTGCCTCCCTGTCGACGAGATTGGAGTCAAACGCCTTTCTGATTGCGAGGTCTCCTACTTCGCGCGCTTTGCACAGCAAAAACCGACCGCTGCAACGGCGACCCTTCGGCCCTACCCTCAATGCATCTATCCCGATCCGGTTCAAGTCCGACGTCGCCGCGGCCGCAGAGGCAGCGACGGCAGGTCGATCTAGAGCCCTGACTATTCTGTACAGGATATTTGCCTCATGTGGCTTTTTCGTCGTCGGTACCGGTCTTGTTGTCGTTGCTTTCTTTGCCTACGATGCTAGTACCTACCGGGAAGGCCGCACGTCAGAAGATATCCCTGTTTCCGAGTTGGCATTGATTCCGCGTCGAGGTGGGCCGAAGAACCTGCCTATTGCAGATGTCCTCGTTAGCGATTATGACTCGCAGGCAATGCTCGATCAGAAGGATAAACCGCGTTTGGTCATTCTGGGTACCGGTTGGGGTAGTGTTGCGCTTTTGAAGAACCTCAACCCGGGTGATTACCACGTTACTGTCGTTTCGCCGACCAATTACTTCTTGTTTACGCCTATGTTGCCTTCTGCTACTGTCGGTACACTAGGTCTGAAGTCTTTGGTTGAGCCTATTCGTCGGATTATTGAGCGTGTTCATGGTCATTTCTTGAAGGCTTCGGCTATGGATGTTGACTTTTCGGAGAAGCTTGTTGAGGTTTCCCAAGTGGATAATGATGGTGTTCGGAAGAATTTCTACCTCCCTTATGATAAGCTTGTTGTGGGTGTTGGTAAGTGGTATCTTGGGAGCTCCATAGAAGCTTCACTTGCAATCACGAAGACGATAAGCTAATATGCCTATTTCTTTAGGCTGCATCACCAACCCGCACGGTGTCAAGGGCCTTGAGAACTGCAATTTCCTGAAGACGATTGACGACGCCCGCCAGATCAAGAACAAGGTTTTGGATAACATGGAACTCGCCTGTCTTCCCACTACCACTGATGAGGAGCGTAGACGTTTGCTGTCGTTCGTCGTTTGTGGTGGTGGCCCAACGGGTGTTGAATTCGCTGCTGAGTTGTTCGATCTGCTCAACGAGGACCTTCTGTATTCATTCCCCAAAATTGTTCGGAATGAGATCTCCGTCCACATCATTCAAAGCCGAACTCACATCCTGAACACCTACGATGAAGCCCTCTCCCAATATGCCGAGGGTCGCTTCACTCGTGATGGTGTCGAGGTCTTGACAAATGCTCGTGTGAAGGAAGTCAAGAAGGACCGCGTTCTCTTCAGCCAGGTGGAAGACGGCAAAGAGGTTGTTAAGGAGGTTCCTACAGCATTCTGCCTCTGGTCCACAGGAGTTGGTACGTGACGCCGCATCCATAATTGGGAATTAGTTCCAACTAACCTTATTCTAGCACGCGCCGAGATCTGCGATACGCTCTGTGAAAAACTAGAAGGACAACAAAATAAGCACGCAATAGAAACAGACTCCCATCTCCGCGTAATCGGCTCACCCCTGGGTGACGTCTACGCCATCGGTGACTGCTCGACAGTGCAAAACAACGTCGCTGGAAACATCATCAAATTCCTCCGCACCATCGCTTGGGAGAAGGGCAAAGACCCTGAAAAGGTGCATCTGACCTTCTCTGAATGGCGCGACGTTGCCAACCGCGTGAAGAAGCGCTTCCCTCAAGCATCTAACCATCTTCGCCGCCTTGATCGCCTATTCATGCAGTACGACAAGGACCACTCTGGCACTCTCGACTACGGCGAACTGTCCGAGCTCCTCCACCAGATCGATACCAAGCTCACCTCGCTTCCTGCCACTGCCCAGCGCGCTAACCAGCAGGGTCAGTACCTAGGCCACAAGCTGACCAAGATCGCGGCTGCTTTGCCCGGTTATAAGGCCAACGAGATCGACTACGGTGACCTCGACGAGACTGTTTATAAGGCCTTCAAGTACAAGCACCTCGGTAGCTTGGCGTACATTAGCAACGCTGCTATCTTCGACTTTGGCGGCATGAGCTTCAGCGGTGGTATTATTGCTATGTATCTCTGGCGCAGTATTTACTTTACAGAGAGTGTTAGCTTCCGCACTCGGTGTATGCTGGCCATGGATTGGGCTAAGCGTGCCCTCTTCGGAAGAGGTGAGTTTATTTCTCTCACATTATTATTTTGCTTGGACTAACACATATTCGCAGATCTGATGAGCTTCTAAGCATTTACCGACCATTCTCACGAAACTGCTCGGTGAAATTTTGACCGACAATAAATGACTATGCTCATTGAGCACAGGTCATCCTGTGTTCTTTCTGTCTATCTAATTCTTTGCTGGTTCAAGAGACGTTCATAGACCAATATTTGTTCCTAGCTTCTTCAGTCTTTGCATGGGTTGAGTCCGGCATGTACACCTGTTCTTTTTTTACCTTTCCTTTAGCTTCTGTCTGCCTGCATGTATCAATCTACTTGTGTAAGTACTCGAGTACTTGGTATCTCTATGTATTGAACTTCCATTATAAACCGGTTGGGCTTTCCCTGTCTTAGATCCCGCGGTCGTCAAAGTATTACCCTATATAAATAGACGTGTTATGAACGCACATAGTATAAGGTCCTACCCCATTAAGATCATAATATTGCACAATGTGTTGCGCAGGCGCTATAAACAATTCGAAGGGTGGGTAGTAATAGTAGTAGTAGAATTCTTTAACCCGGTAAAGCTTCGATACATCGCTTTAGAATCTAGGATGTGAAGATACCTACTGTATCTATAGGCAGCTCTTGTATGACATTGAGAAGGCCCATTCTATCTATAGAAAATACAGAGGCCACAGAGAATCTAGTTATTGCAATTGTCTTATGGCGTTCCATGTTGACGATATTCAAAAGTGGATCCATCTCACGTGTGCGCTAGGACTCATGTGTCAACTTTTCACCTTTCTCCACACATGGACAAACTATTATTTCTTACCCAAAGCATGGTGGCGTAGGGGAAACGCGTCGGGCTCATAACCCGAAGATCCCATGATCGAAACCTGGCCATGCTAGCCATCCCTTCTAGGGAGCATCGTGCTCTCTTGCTACTTTTTCTTCCCGCCTACTAGCTATTCACGAACGTTACGCTGGTTGAAAGCCTCGTGATAGCGAGTTGGCTCCTATTCCTTCGATTCTTTTACTATTTAGCCCTTCACTTGATCAATATTGCATGAGGCTGTAATTAGACTACTGGACAGCCATCTGTTTTTTCTTCTTTCTTTATCCCTATGAGAAAGGAAGGAAATAAGAGAAATGTAGATTCTAGGAAAGAAGCTATGGAGCTAGACTGGGTCATAGAAGGGCAGAACCTATATTCATTCCAAATACCCCTGCCGATACCCCTCACGCTGAGCGGCCTTTAGATATTGATATTGTCTATGAATCGTTCATTATAGATGTCTATTATATCTATAACGTAGGATATAATAAACCAGTCAGGTATCAAGTGGTATATGTAGTAAATTTCGTGGCTCTGCTTTTACATGAGAGGTTGCTCTTGCAAAAATTCGCATACAATGGAGAAGCTACTCATACCTCGTATCTACCTATAGCCTAGTTCCATGAATTCAATACAGGATGCGCTAGGAGGCACAACAAACAGAGCAAAATTGTCCTATTTCCAGTGTCTAATATAGCTTTACCACGATATTCATACTAGTGAAAATCATGTAAGCCACATGCACTCAGTTAGTATCAATATTTGAAATTGTTCGCAGTGAATGAGGGTTTCTGCCTCTTCACCGCATACCTTGTCTCCAGTCTTCATGGTAATCTAGATCTATAGTTTCCATCTCTAGAATCTACATCTCTCTCCTTTCCTTCTTCCCTTTTTATAGGTATATTCCCAATGCTTATTCTAAGTGAGTGTGATATAACTAATGAACAATGTCGATTCGCCCCCAGCAATGTGCACTTCGTGGTAGGGTGGTCTGAAGCCAAAAGCAAGGATGGAGGTGGAGGATCGGCGCGTCGCTTACAGTGTAGCTTAGGTGGTCACCCTTATCGTACCAGGATGTGGAATGATCACTTGGGCTTTAACGATGAAGCATAAGGAGGCCGACAAGCCATCTATTTTCATCGACTTGTTTGACAGATTCCCTGGCGTGGTACTTTCAGTCTGGGTAGCTGCATTGGATTCATGGCCCTGGAGCCGACTCTGTCTTGTATATGACCTGGATTATGGATAAGTGTACTACTCAGGACCTACCTGGATAGGCTTGATGGCGCAATGTTTGTAAAACTGCTGTATGAGACGGAATATGAGGAGCCACGGCGATCTGTGCTAGATATACATCCATAGGGCTTGCACAATTATAGGGGACAGTTATAGGGGACATTTCATTTGCCATGAAGGCCGGACAGAAACTTGATATCCGTGGGAAAGAGGCATGTCAGATCGTGGCGCATGCAAATAGAAAAGGGTTTGTTCCGAATTTACCCAAGGGTGGAAGAGTCGAAAGGGAAAAATAATATGTATATATATAGTCCAGTCTGGTTGGAGCAAGCGACTTAGACTTGCCTGGGCTGCAGGTGGGAAATGCATGCGTCTGCATGAAGTGTTTCAGAGCCTGCCTAAACACATCAATAGTTTGTTTCCAAGGGACTCTTGTACTTGTGAGTCCTGCCTACGTTCCAATGTGATACTCATCTTCTCACAGGGATATGTAGGAAGAGGTAAGCCCAGGAGCACTCGAACGAGAATTGAAGTTCGAGTGGACCAGAACCATCTTGCGACATGCCGAGTAGTCAACTCATCGAATTGTGGAGCCAGCAATTCATCAACTACGGGATAGGAAAAGGGTTCAAATGAAAGAGTAGACAAAAGAGTCCACGAGATTATGTATTGTATCGAAGAATTGACCCGGGAACCTTCCACGGGAATCTTCGCCAGAACACCGTCAAGACAAACAGTGCTCCCAAGCGCCTCGCTAATCAAAAGGATAATAAATTGAAAAAAGGGCTGTTCGTCAAGTGATTTTTTTTTTCACTCGACACCCGACAACAGCATGCTAAAGCCTGGAACGATGACAGTCACGAGATCATGTTGTCAACATCACCGTTGTTGGCCATGACTGTGTCGGTGCCATTGTTGCTGGAGCCATTGTTGGATTCGTTAGTATTACTAGTTTGGCTACCGCCGTGAGAATCGCCAACCAGACCGATATCCAGTTTATCAGGAAGGTCCCTCTTAGCGTCACGGGCTTTATTCTCTGCGAACGCGCGCAACTTGACAAGGTTTCGCAGGCGGGCTTCCTTACGAGCGCCCTGATTCTGCAGAATTGCCTCATTCACTTGCGTCGCGATTTCTTTACGGAGAGCCGGGTCCAGAAGGGCGGCCAAAGACGGAGATAGGTTGTCATTTGGGAAAATGAGCAGTGCCAGTGTCCGCTCCAGGTCTTCCAGGAACTGTGGGTTGGTTGGGGCTCGAGGAGCTAGCTGCGCGGTCGCGAACTCGAGGGCTGGACTGATGTCGCCGTCTGGACTGGACATGCAGTCGCGGATTAGTTCTACCAGCTGCAAGCGCAGGAGTGCGAAGTGCAGGGAGGGGTCTTCATCCAGAATCTGTCAAATTGCGTTAACGTCATTCAGACAAAAAATGTGTGATGCTGCAAATTGAATGTATGTTTGCTAATCATACTGAGGACTGAAGATGAGTGTTTTTCCGCAACTCCCCGAAGGGTATGTAGGAGTGGTGCATGAAACGAATATAATCATAAAAGCAAGAGTGGGGGAGGTGTGATGATTGGGAGAAGGTTGGTTCTTACCTGAGGGTTCAACTCGTTAATCTTCTCGATCGCCGACTGAATATTTCCAGAGTGGATGGCAGTCCGAATATCAACCCGCTCCTGAATGGATTCCAGATCCGTCTGAAGTTGGATATTGGCCTCGACCGCAAACTTGTTCGCGGCAGCAGGGTAGCCATTGGTGATGAGGTAGTCCATGACCAAGTAATTGACATCACTGGAGCTTGATATTAGCGAATGTCGCATATAAGAAGTCAAACGGCATCAATGTGATGAGGGGGAAGTGATTCAGATAGACAAGTCATATTTTGTTCTCCTCAGCATTTTTCAGAGAGATTCCCAACTTGAGTTCAAGGTGCATCATATCACAGACGGCCATTGGCCGGCGTGAGGGGGGCAGGGGGTGAAGAAGGTGGAGGGATAGGCGACTCACGTCTTGGATGGCTTAACCTCTTCGACCTTCCGCTCGAACTGATGCCAGGTCGGCGTGGTCGTCGAGGGAGTGCGAGACATCTGTGCAGTGTTAAAAGACGAGCACCACGGGTGAGTAACACGCCGAGAATGTCATACAAGATTAGCGGCCATGGTAGAAAAGCCACTAGCCGTAAAACTGAAGGGCGACTCGGAAGTCAACAGCCATGGGAAGAGGCAGGGACGTGGAGGAGAGGAAAGCCCTGGAGTGAAGGAAGAAAGAGAAGAAGAGCTTGCGGAAAGAAAAACTTTATGACTTAAGTGATTATGTCAGCCACAAGCGAAACGGCCACGCGCTAAGCCCGAATCGGTCGCCTAAGCTGCGATAACACGATAAACGAAGTACCGCTTGCCTTCTTCTGCCTTCTCTCTGGTCCTCGGTGGTGTGAGACGAACATCGTGGACATGGAGTCGATTTCTCCTTTCTACGCTCTCTCTACGGAGGTCAAGTACTCTCCACCATGGCAGGACCTGAGTATTATCGGTATCGCTGGCAGTTCCGGGTCTGGAAAGACCTCGGTGGCCATGGAAATCGTCAAGTCGTTGAACCTACCCTGGGTCGTCATTCTCGTCATGGTACGATATGAATACCTTCAAGACATGGTATCTGCTTCTAACATGTTGGCGGGCAGGACTCCTTCTACAAGACTCTGACTCCCGAGGAGCATCGTATGGCGCATGCAAATGAATATGATTTCGACTGCCCGGATTCTATTGACTTTGACCTTCTGGTCAATACCCTCAAAGATCTGAAGCAAGGGTAACTCTCCACTATCTGCGCTGTATCTTGTATTTTGATCTAACCGGACTTTGTTACAAGGAAGAAAGCCCATATCCCGGTTTACTCATTCGCCGATCACCAGCGTCAACCCCAGACGACTACACTATACTCGCCTCGTGTATTGATCTTGGAGGGTATCCTTGCTCTTCATGACTCTAGAATTAATGATCTGCTTGATGTCAAGGTAAAGACACTTTCATTTACCCGTGGCTACGGAATCTCGATAACGAACCGTCTAGATCTTTGTCGAGGCCGATATGGATGTCTGCTTGGGCCGCAGAGGTGCGTGATTCTTACTTTTATATACAGCGCCTTTTTCTGACGCTGTAGTTAAGTACTTCGCGATGTCCGTGAACGAGGCCGAGACGTTGATGGTATCATCAAACAGTGGTTCAAGTTTGTGAAGCCGTCGTGCACTAAATATGTGGAGCCTCAACGAGGCATCTCTGGTTAGTTCAGGCTATTTTGACTTTCACGATTCATGTCTAACGGCTGTATCAGACATTATCATTCCTCGTGGCATTGAGAACACAACAGCTATCGGTAAATGCCATCAGCGACTCTTGCTCTTTCCCTACTAACAAAGTCAGATATGGTCGTCAAGCACATCCAGCGTAAGCTCCAGGAGAAATCTGAAGAGCACACTGAAGCTCTTCGGAATCTTGGGCTGATCGCAGCCAAAGTGGACCTGCCCGATAATGTGCACGTTCTACCTGCGACACCTCAATTCCAGGGAATGAACACCATTCTGCAGTGCCCCGAGACCGAGGAGGTGGATTTCGTCTTCTACTTTGATAGACTGGCCTCGATTCTGATCGAAAAGTATGACATTGACTCCCTGTTGATTCCGTTACCTTGCTTACCTTTCCCAGGGCCTTAGACATGACGCCGTATGCGTCAACAAATATAGAAACACCCCAAGGAAACAAATATATGGGTTTAAAGCCCGAGGGAACTGTTTCAGCCGTTGCTATTCTGCGTGGTGGTTCGTGCCTGGAGACGGCACTTAAGCGAACCATCCCTGATTGCATCACTGGCCGAGTCCTGATCCAGACGGACGAAAACAGCTCCGAACCGGAGTTGCACTATCTGAAGCTACCACAAGGAATTGAGGAGCACTATATGGTCATGCTTCTTGATGTCCAGATGTCCAGTGGAGGAGCTGCATTGATGGCTGTGCGCGTCTTGATTGACCATGGCGTGCAAGAAGAGAGAATTGTCTTCGTAACCTGCGCCGCGGGAGAGACGGGCCTCAAGCGATTGACTGCCGTCTTCCCCAAGATCAATGTCGTTGTCGGACGCATTGAGGCGGACCTCGAGCCCCGATGGATGGAGAAGCGATACTTTGGGTGCTAGTGTGCCCTATCCATATTGATATACTCACGTACATAACGCACTTTTCTGCTTTTTTTTTTTTTTTTTTTTTTTTTGGCTGCAAATACACGCCGGCTATGAAAATCTGAACCTTTCATGCACCCATCATCCAGAAATTATCCAAACCATTTAGATGTACGGAATAGGTCCATCAAGAAAGCTCCCAACTCTGCAGGCGGGTGATTACCGTTTCGGGAAACTGGCACGTGTCGTGACACCGCCTCAAAACGCCGGCAGAAAAAAAGAAAATTGTCCGCGGTCGAGGCTAAGCGCTGCATTCTGAATATTTCCCGATTCTTTTCTTGACGTCTCATTTTCAAATTTTTGTTCTCTTGTCCCCTCCTGAATTTAAAGTTCAGCGCCCGGAGACCAAGATGGCAGGCCAGGACAAGAAAAAGTCCAAGAAGGCCGGCGGAGCCGCGCCGGTGATCAGTGAGTACAAAGAATTGCTCGTGATCCAGTCGAGGTCGGAGGTGTCTTGGTTACTGACTGTTGCTTCAATCAGCCGATCCCCGTTTTGCCAATATCCAGAGTGACCCTCGTTATCGCCTGCCCAGCAAGCGTCAGACCCATGTGAAACTTGACAAGCGTTTCCAGCATATGCTCGACGACAAGGACTTCTCCCGCAATGCCGCCGTCGACAGATATGGTCGCAAGCTCGCCCGTGATGATACCAAGAAGCAGCTCAAGAAGTTCTACCAGATTGACGAGGATGAGGATGAGAAGGCCGAAGACGAAGACAAAGTCAGCATTGCCGACGATGACGAAATCGAAAAGGAGTTGAAGCGGGTCGAGGGTCGTTCATTTGATCCCGCCCGTGACGGTGGTTTCTCTGAGTCTTCATCAGAGGAAGAAAGCTCCAGTGATGAGGAAGAAGAGGTGGAAGCCGAAGAAGAGGAAGAAGAGCTCGAATTCCCAGACAAGCAGCAGGCCGACGTGCCGCTGGGCGAGGTCTCAACGCGGATAGCTGTCGTCAACCTCGACTGGGATAACATTCGGGCCACAGATCTCATGGCCGTCTTCTCCAGCTTCCTTCCTGCCGGAGGCCGTGTTATGAAGGTTGCAGTCTACCCCAGTGAATTTGGAAAGGAGCGCATGGAGCGAGAAGAAATCGAAGGTCCTCCGAAGGAGATCTTTGCATCGTCGAAGCAAGATGTCATCGAGGATGAGGATGAGGGGCTTGACTCCGAGGAGGAGGAGGAGCAAATCAAGAAGTCTATGCTAAAGGGCGACTCTGGAGAGGAGTTCAACTCTACTAAATTGCGCAAGTACCAGCTTGAACGCCTGCGCTACTACTACGCTATCCTCACATTCTCCTCCAAGGACGCTGCCAAGCACGTCTACGATCTTGTGGATGGCGCGGAGTATTTATCTAGCGCCAACTTCTTCGACCTTCGCTTCGTGCCCGACGAGACCGATTTCGATGACGACAAGCCCCGAGACGATTGTACCCGAATCCCTGACGGTTACAAGCCCAACGAGTTTGTGACAGATGCTCTACAACACAGCAAAGTCAAGTTGACATGGGACGCGGATGACAAGACTCGCAAGGAGGCTCAGGCTCGGGCTTTCCGTGGTTCGCGAAAAGATATCGACGAGAACGACTTGAAAGCATACCTCGGAAGCGACAGCTCCGATAGCGAGGACGAGGAGGATGGAGGCGTGGAAGTGGTAGATGCTGGCGAGGGTACAACCAGCAACCTTTCGAAGCGAGAGGCCGAGAGACAGCGCATGCGAGCGCTGCTTGGTCTGAGCACGGAGCCTACTCGCTCTTCCAAGTCGGCTGGTCCCGTTGGCGAGATGGAAGTTACGTTTACATCCGGTCTTGCTGGAGGTCACGGCAAAGATAGCATCTTTGAGAACGAGCCAGAAGTTGAAGAGAGCACGCTCGACAAGTACGTGCGGAAGGAGCGTGAGCGCAAGAAGCGCCGAAAGGAGAAGCTCAAAGCTAAGAATGAAGATCCATCTGCTGAGGGTGAGGATGCTGAGAGTCAGGATGAATCAGCTCCTGCTCCCGAGGCGCCGCAAGACACGGAGGAAGACCTGGGCTTCAACGATCCCTTCTTCGCCGAAGATTTCGATGGCAGGGCCACCTCTGCCGCCCGTCGCAAGGAGGAGAAGCGCAAGAAGCGAGAGGAGCGTGCCGCCGAAGAAGCTGCCTCTGCTGCTCAGCGTGCTGAGCTTGAACTCCTCATGGTCGATGACAAAAAGGCCGACATCAAGCACTTCGACATGAACGAAATTGAAAAGGCCGAGAAACAGGCCAAAAAGAAGGGCAAGGGCAAGGGCAAAGGCAAAGGAAAGAACAAGGAGCCTGTTGCTACAGATGACTTCAACGTGGACGTCGCTGATCCCCGTTTCTCCCGTCTGTACGACAGCCACGAGTTTGCCATTGATCCGACCAACCCCCGGTTCAAGGCGACTTCCGGCATGAATGCCCTGCTCGACGAGGGTCGTAAGCGCCGACGCACCCGGGATGACAGTGAAACCGAGGTCAAAACCGAGACCCGGGATCGCAAGAAGAAGCAGAAGAAGTCATTGCAGGAGGCCGGAAGCGAAGATCTTAAGCGGCTGGTGGACAAGGTCAAGCGGCAGTCGAAGGCATGAGCATGATGTGATTAGTTCGGTGTAACAAGTACCATGATATGATGCATATAAATTCCCATTTGAACCAGTCATATGCCGTAAAGACATGAATTCAGAAGATCAACTCCAAAGGTCACATTTGAGGCTGAGATCATGTGTCCTCGTGCTGTTGTCTCGCTGTTCATCTTCACCGCCCTTTCCTCTCTCCAACCTTTACACATCCCACTCCCCACTCTTCTTCTTCAACTTTCTTCTTTTTTGTTTTTCCTCTCCCTGTGGGGGTACTCCGCTGACCTTCCAATTGTCGTCTTCATTCCCCACTAGGTGCTGCACATCCCACTTTCCAGCCCCTCAATCGCGAATTCGCCCCCTCCAAGCCGAATGATGGTTCCTATCCGGTGGAATTAAGCAATGGGTAGATGCAGCCTAGTCCTGTCTAGCTGTCTGCTACCCACCTCGAGATCTCAGTCTTTGAATTGATCAAATACCTTCTTTACACCTTTTGCTACCCCTGAGCACCTCGCCAACAACGGGAATCCCCCCGAGGCCCGCTTACAATGTTGGGTAGACTCTTGAGCACCGCCGCCTCGAGCTTGAACCCGGCAGCATACTCTTCTCGGAATCACGGCACTCCCCTCGAATCTGTGACTGAGGAAGAACACACCTCTGGCCTTCTCTTCCCAGATGCCAGCCTCCTCCGCCGATCCAATGCCCATGCCTACCCACTACAAACAACCTTCCACTCCCCGAATGCCTCGACTGCAGGAGCTTATGATGACCGCGGGGGAATGGAATTGGACTCGATGAAGGATTTCCGAGTCATTGTGGCCCAGAATGCCCTGGGAGATCGTGATGCATGTGTCCTGATTGACACCCGGGCGTCTTCAGATTCTCCTCCGACAGGCCTCGGAATTGATTCGCAGGGGGAGCAATCGGGCCCCAGACATACCCGTGCAGTATCCAGTCTCTCGCGTGGCACTCGTCGGAATTTCCTGGCCCAGTCCTCGGTGGCCGAATCCAGTCCCCTCTCCGCCGCTGCGGATGCACGCCGGTCAACACCTGCAAGCCCCGGTGCCTTCTCTCGGGCTCGAGGACGCAGCTCCACACTTGCACCATCTGGAACATGGCATGAATCCGGCCAATCCCGGCATGCGTCTGATTCCAACGACACGGGTCTTCTTAACTGTATCTTCGGCAGTAGCGCCTTTAGCTACCGTGGCTCGTCTACCAAGATGCACATCATATCTGCCGATGACGACCCTTCAACGGTGGCTAGTATGTCGCCCGCTGCCCGCAGCCCACTCGCTCGGGCCTACACTACCGGGAGCCCAGGCCTTATGGGGGCAGGCCGAGAACCGGATGTTAAGCCACCATCGAAAGTAACGGTTCTTGTCACTCGCATGTTTAGCGTCAACCTTCCTGAAGGTGCCGAAGCATCGGCCGAGAGACATGACTACGCTACCTCTCTCTACCAGGAATCTTTGCCGGAAATGGGCTTCCCTTTCCCGGATGTGGCTAAACAGCGGAAGAAGATTAAAGAGAAGAAAACGCCGATGTACGCTGTTGCAATTACCATCCAGATTCCGTTGCTGGCACGCAATGCGCCACGACCCATGTCAAGATTCAGTACATTGGGTCCAGACGCTCCTCGAATAGGGCTATCTAGCTCGCTGGACTCGGACTACCGATGGCCCGGGGCACTGTTCGATGATAGCCTATCATCGGCTTCCCCTCCTGCGAGTTTAGACGAGCGGCTCGACTTATTGGTTGACCACTGGGATGTCATCACCCGCACTCTATCCCACTTAGAGAGACTGGCTCGGAACGAGATTCTATTCCTCCTCAGAAAGGTGGACTCTCTATCCGGACCCCACCCGAAGCCCGCCAAGCCCCCCAACATGCAGCGAACTAATCAGACCATTGTGCAGCTGCCCGCCAACATCTTGTCTGTAAACTCTAAACTGAAAGAAGAAGCGCTTCGCAGCACCCGCCGAATTAGCATGGCTCTTCAGACCCCATATGTCGTGACTGGACAGAGTCGATGGGGTGTTTGGCGGGAGGAAGGCCGATCGATTGTTCGCGGCCTCGGAGATAAGGAGCAGAATTTCTTTTTCCTCGTGTTGCTGACGGCATTTCTGGGTAACCATACCGAGTGGTTGAATGCTCTGGGTCCCGAGTGGTACCGTCGCCGACATAATCAACAGCAAAAGGCTCAGCAAGACTCAGATCCTATTCTGACCCACCGGACTGTTATTGTCTGTCCGGATAAGATGACCGCTCGTCGTTTGGTATTCTTGCTTTCTGCGTTCCTTCCTTCCAAACAGCGCCTAGAGCCTCTTCCCTCCCCACTCAGGCCTGGCACGTCGGCTTCCATGCGGGCTATCTCACAGAGCCCACCAGCTGTGCCTGTTCTCCGGCAGGAATCCCTTCGAAGAGCAATTGAACGACGGTCGCGGGCCCAGAGAATGAATACCGGAGAGTATGAATATCACCGTCGCTCGATGAGTCTATCGTCCCAGGATACGGCTCAACGGTCATCCGAGGGCACCGATACCCCTGTTACGTCCCAGCCAATCTCAGCTCGCCGGGGATCGGATGCTCGTTCAATTAGAACACTGGGGTCAGCAATCCCAACCAAAGACCTCCGAGCTCAGAACACGAGTGGTGCTACCACATCGATGACGACTCAGAGTAGCACAGTCCCCGTCCCGCATTTCTCATCGCAGCAGACTAGCTCCGACCAAAAAGGCCCCGAGCGCAGTGCGATCGACGTCAATGAAAGCCTGGCATCAGAGACCTTGCTGAAGAGTTTGCAAAGAAGCGATAGCTCAGTGCTGAGTTCAAATGGCAGTGTTCCATCTGCAGGAGGCCGGTGGGGTGGCCTTTTCTCCGGCCTTTGGAGCTCGAGACAGGAATCATCCACTGATAGCAGTGACATGTATTCTGCGTCTGTTGCAGCTCGCAAACGGTCCGTGTCTACAATCGCTGGCCCGCCCACACGTGGTGCACCTACCCTGACTCAGATGGTCAGAGAAGTTACTGAGGATGAAGCAGAGCATCGCATGGAGACCGCACCCAGTGGAAATATTTCAATCCCAACGGCATCCGCGGCGCCCCACAGTTCCGAGGGAGACTCACCTGAGCCATCATCGCTAACGAGTCAAGTCCGTGAATCTCCTCTGAAGCTGTCTGTTCGGGAAGAGGATGGTGTAGTGGATGTTGATATCCCGCTTCCTGGATTCCTCTCTCTTTCGTCCTCGGGAGACTCGACCATTGCTTCGCCCAAGAAGACGCGAACGTCAGTGACCAGTGTCGATGCAATTGCATCGACGCACAGTAGTGGCTCTGGCTTCCATGGTGCGATGAAAGATAATGATGGCCCCAGCACACACGTAGCTGGCTGGCTGAAACTTTTCCATGAAGATTTCTCCGTGCAAGCAGTTCGACCCTACGCTGCCCTTGAAGCGGATATCAAACGCGCGATGCAAGCCGAGCCTTCCCCCTACATTCCCGCCACGCCTGACGTGGAAGGGTCTGAGAGATGGGTGGATGTTGCGACGACGTTGATCGCAGATACTCGCAGTTCATCTGTCAAACGTCTTCGGTTGAGACGTAAGATTATTGTGGGCCACCATGGGTATGGAGCGAACCACACCCCTCCTTCGCCAGTTAGTGCCCTCAACTCCAGCCATACGCGCTCTGCCTCTCAATTCTCGGGCTTCTTTGGATCAGGAAAGGTTCCTGATGGTTCCACTAACGGACATGATTCCAATTTCGTGGAAGAGCGATTCATCGAGGAGCCGGTCATGGATCTTGATGGTATCCTAGTCGATGCAGTCGAGCGAGTCCTCGGTCAGAGTGGCTATTCATCTCTTGCGCATTCGCGAGCTCCGTCTCCCACCCGTGCCCGTCGAGGGGAGGACAAGGGCCAAACTACGCCCCGTGGCGAAGAAACCCCTACAGTTGAGGTTCCTCGCGGTGAGTGCCGCAAAATGGTACTCGGTGCGCTGGAAGAGGTTGTCCGTCTCGTCACTTCGGAACATTGCCGCGAGGACGTGGACAGCGAGCTTGGTGTCGCTGACCGAGAGCGGAGGAGGGTCATAGCCGGCGCTGACAACACTTTGCGTGAAGGCATCCGGAAATGGCTTCTCGATGTTGAAGAAGCTTGGTGATCCAATTGTTCGATGGATACAGCATGATCCAAGCTTCTTGTTCTATTCTATTGTTCATATGATCTTTTAATATGTGACCATTTAGCTGCTCGGGGCATATGGTATTGATCCCCTAACATGTTGGTTTTTTGTTTATCCGCATTAGTTCAGTGCCTTGTTTGATTATGATACCCAATCTTTGCCAAAGTCGCATCTCTGGTAGCGCTTACATCCATTTGATAGACGTCACAATGGCCTTAGATTGTTCTGAAACATAGATTACCCAACATAGACGATCTCGACTGAATGACCCTCACACTGCACTTTCCCGTCCGCAGGGGGAGACCCTGAGCATCTTGAGAACCTCGTCCGTCTGACCTGGATTCACAATCTCCACCGTGGTCTCTCTACGCAACGTGCCATTGACCAGCAACTGAATGCCGGAAAGTGCATCACCCTCCGGTACCTTCAGCTCAGGATTCACCACCGTCACTGAAGCAGGCCGAATCAACAGCGGCAAAGTCTCAAAACCGTGAGTCTCCGTGTACCACTGGCCAGGCTCATAAGTCTTATTATGATCAAACCAAGAAATCCACTTCCCAGCTCGATCATCGTCAGACCTAGGCACATAGAAAGTGACCTCCTCTTTATCAAACACAGGCGCAACCAACAGATTCGGCCCAAACATATACTGCGTATCGACAGCATAAGTATTCAAATCCTCTGGGAACTCCAAAAACATCGCTCTCATCAACGGTGTTCCATCTCTGTGGCCCCTCAACGCTTCTTGTAGGATATACGGCGTTAGTAGGATCTTGCGCTTAACACACTCCCGCAAAACAGCCGAACAATCCTCGCCATAGATCCACGGCACCCGGAACGACGACGATCCGTGCAGACGCGAATGTGTCGACAGCAGCCCAAACTGCACCCATCGCTTGTACAGCGCCGGTGGTGGCGTTCCCTCGAATCCGCCAATATCGGAGGCCCAGAAGATGTACCCGCTGAGACTGAGACTGAGACCACCGCGCAGAGACTCCGCCATGGCTTCAAAGGTGCTTTCGCAGTCGCCGCCCCAGTGAACTGGGTATTTCTGTCCTCCTGGTGCTGTACTGCGCGCAAAGAGAAGGCCTTGAGTTGGACCAGCTTTCTCGCTAAGCGTGTTGTACACGATGCGGTTGTATAGAAGGGCGTAGTAGTTGTGCATTCGCTCCGGGGAGGAGTTGTCGTGGTATTTGACTCCCTTGACTGGGATCCGCTCTGCAAAGTCGGTTTTGAAGCTATCGACGCCCATATCCATCAGTCGTTTCAGATGGCTGCTGTACCAGTCACAAGCTGCTGGGTTGGTGAAATCGACGACGGCCATTCCAGCCTGCCAGAGATCCCACTGCCAGACCGAGCCATCGACACGCTACGGATCATCAGTAACATCCCGAATCCCAGGCCCGGAACAAACATACCTTGATGAAGAACCCCTTCGCCTTCCCCTCTTCGAAAAGAGGCGACGCCTGTCCAACATACGGATTAATCCAAACGCTAATCTTCAAACCTCTCTCCTTCAATCTAGCCAAGTAACCCCCGGCATCCGGAAACATCTCCTCGTCAAACTTGAAATCGCACCACTGATAACTCTTCATCCAGAAACAATCGAAATGGAAAACCCCTAGCGGAATCCCCCTCTCCTCAAACCCGTCCAAAAACCCACTCACAGTCTCCTCATCATAATTCGTCGTGAAACTCGTCGTCAACCACAAGTTATAACTCCACGTCGGCACTAGCCCCGGCTGTCCCGTAAGCGCCGTGTACCGTCGAAGAACATCCTTAGGAGTAGGCCCATAAACTACAAAATACTCAATCTCCTCACCCGGAACGGAAATATTCACTCGCGTCGTCCGCTCGGATTGAACTTCCAAGCTCACTTTCCCCGGATGGTTGACGAAGACGCCATAGCCCCTGGAGGACATATAGAAGGGTATGTTTTTATATGCGAGCTCGGAACTCGTACCGCCATCTTCGTTCCAGATGTCGACTGTTTGACCGTTTTTAACCAGAGGGCCGAAACGCTCGCCGAGACCGTAGATCTTTTCACTCACGGAGAGGTCGAGCTCGCTGAGCATATACCCTTGTTTGGTGGCGTACATGCCGTCGTCATGGGTGTAGATTGGACTGCGTTGGTCGGCGACGTAGCCAATTGAGCGCCATGAGTGGCCGGTTAGTTTTTTGCTGGATGAGTCTTGGAACGTGAAGGCTAGCTCGTTGGGGCTGGTAGTTATGGCTAGATTGAGGGGACCGCTGGTATAGGTGAGTTTGTTGGTTTCTTTGTCGTGGACGACAGAGGCGTGTCCGGTGCTAGAGCTTATGTCGTAGTGGGGACCGTTGTCGATTTCCCCGGCCCTGGGAGGAGTTAGTATTGTTTGCATACAACTGTAAATCAGCATGGGAAGGCTACCAATGCACGAGCTTCACACCAATAATTCCCTCCGAAGGGGATGTCACTTTCGCAGAAATGGTCGCTATATTCTATCAGCCAGTTGCTATGTCTGGAAGTACTTGGTAAAACATACGCGAGTTCAATGTATCACCCCGATGCCGTTGCACCTTGTTCAACAGCAGATCCACCGTCTCCTGCTCAATGCGCAGACGTTCGACATTGCTCATCCACTCAATGCGAACACCCTCCTGTTAAACTGTTAGAGTGCGGGGTATATTTTCTAATCGTTGGGACGAACCTTCAGATGCCACATTCCATCTGTGAACCTCATCTTGTCTTGATTCGATAGTTGAACGTTGGTAGACAAGAATTCCTAAAGCTGTAACACAATCAAAGCCGTAAATATGAATTGGAAGCTAGAAAGAAATGAAGCTTGGAAAAGGAAACTAGCTAGCTCAAGTATGAATTTCCCTCAGATTATCCGGATTCCCAATTCAGATACGGAGCGTCCTCCGCATCTCCGCATGCTGTACGCTTCACATAAAAAAACCCATCCACGTTGACCGCCGACTGCCTATTGGTGCATCTATTTATCCGTAAATTATCTCCACATTCATAAATTCCTACATGAAGCTACATGCAAACCCTGGAACATAGAGAAGAGGGGGGCGGAAAGGGCGGGGAATACCAAAATACTGAACTGGAAATCAGTGAAGAGTATATCATCTAGGCTCAAGCCCTTTCTTCTGAATGAATATCAGACAGCCTAGTAGAAAGACTGAGGTCAAGCCCGCTGCAGAATACCTTCTCCGGGGGTTAGAGTGCGCCTGAGGCTTGAAGGTTCTTTTTTGTTCACAGGCTCGATTCTAAAATCTGGGTTTAGACAGTAATTCATATGTCTTTTTCCCATTCTCTTTTCTTTAGCTGGTCTGGCTGGGAACTCATAGCTCTAATTACAGTAACCAAGATGTTGCCCTACGGTCCCCGCTAACGCCGCTAACCCAGATTGAGCGACGGCTCCGAAGAAATGTCATCGGATCCGATAGCAGTTGTATGAACACTCCCTTGATTCACCATCAAACATTTCAACATGATTCATACGCATAATGTCCAATCTACCAACACTCGTATTTGTACCTGGCTCATGGCATAGACCGACATGCTTCGACCCAGTCATCAAACTCCTCCCACCAAAGTTGAAATGCATCGCAGTCTCCCTCCCTTCAACAACAGGGAACCCAGCCGCAACTTTCAAAGACGACCTCGACGCTGTGCAATCAGTTGTATCCCGCGAGACGGTCGCCGGACGTGATGTGGTTGTCATCGCGCATTCATACGGCGGCATGGTCGGCAATAGCGCTGTCAAGGGATTCACCCAAAACGCCAAGGACGAAGCTCAGTCCTCAGGGGGTTATGTGATTGGCATTATTCTTATAGCTTCTGGCTTCACCCTCACTGGTATGGCCTTTATGGATCCATTCTTCGGGCATCCACCTCCTACGTGGCGCGTTAATAACGAGACCGGCTATGCGGAGTTGGTCACTCCGCCTCGCCAGCTCTTCTATCACGATTTACCTGAGGGTGAGGCGGAGTATTGGGCTTCTCAGCTTACTACTCAAAGTCTCAAAGCTTTGTTCGAAGGTGGCGAGTATACGTATGCTGGCTGGCAGGACGTGCCTTCTTGGTATATCGGGACCATTGAAGATCAGGGCTTGCCGGTATTGGCGCAGCGGATGACAGTAGGCATGGCGAGGGAACTGGGCGGGAAAGTGGAGCATCGAGAGCTGCAGACTAGTCATTCGCCGTTTTTGAGTCAACCGGAGGCGACTGTGAAGATCATGGTGGAGGCTGTGGAGGCGTTTATTGGTAAAGTGATTGACGAGTCTCCAAGTGGAAGTGGAAGTGGAAGTGGAAGTGGTGACTTGGTAGCATTGCCAGAAGCTAGGCTCTTGCAGCCTTTGACGTGGTTTAGCTTTGGATTACCCTTAGCATTTGGTCATGTGCTAGGAAGGAGCTATCTCTTCTTCTGCTGGGGCAGGAGATTGTGGAGGTCTGGATTGTCTGGATCCTGTTGATCTACATCGAATGTACAATTCCATAGAGGCTTGCGGGGAATATGCATAAAACCCGCTTGGAACGATCGACAAATCACACCGTCCTTGTGGACCGTGCGCGGATCAATCACAGAGTTTATTTCACGCCTGTCTGGTCCCCATTGTGCTACAAAACCTCCAATGTCCCTCGGACCGTCAGAACAGAGATGGGTACCGGACCTCTTGAATTGATCAACTCCCATTCCTAGTAGAATCGGATCAAAACATGAAAGTGGATACAATGCAGATTAGGCGAAGGGTTTGGGCCCTATGATTATTAGCCGCGCCTGACTGACTAACTACTGCGGGGCCAATATTCTCCAAATCACTTACCCCACTCCTGAAAATCTAAAGAAACACTCCTACACCTTTTCAAACACCTACCAATCCAAATAGTAAGGATCTTTCAATCTCACGATGAAGCTCATCTACTGACACCACGGCCGACTTTAGCTCCTTCACAATGTCTGACGCCGAGCGTATCCACGGTATCTGCAAGTGGTTCAACGAGGAGAAGGGCTATGGCTTCATCAGCGCCGAGGGCACCAGCCAGGATTACTTCGTCCACTTCCGCGCCATCGAGGGCTCCGGTTACCGCACTCTGAAGGAGGGCCAGGAGGTCACCTTCGAGGTTGGCCAGGGCCAGAAGGGACCCCAGGCCGAGGCCGTCCGGACCGAGTCGGAGTAAATGACTTCACGACGAGAGATCAAAGTACAACCTTGGGATGTTTGACGAGCGGAAATGTTGAACGATAAGTTTTTTTATTTGTAAATATACCCGTGCTCAGAGCAGTAGGAGTACAGACAAGACGAATCCATCTTTCTTTTTTGAAGACCCTCAAGGGCACATCAAGAAGCTTTCAATAATATCCTCTCTGTAATCACCCCTACGACGGCACTCAACTGGAGTCTCTTTCTTACAACAGTCGATCTCACTCGCTTTGTTACGCATCATGGGATTGTCAAAGACGCCCTTGGATTGAACATATTCAGCATCAAATACCCGCTTGGCCACCCACTGTGTCGTAATGACCCTTGTGGCCACTTGTTCCATAGGCTTAACAAGGGAGCTGTCCTCCGTAACCCACGAGCTAATCTGCCTGCTGGATACGATGGGGTTATTACATTCGACTTGGAATAGTAAGCGTCTCGCAATTTTATATCTCTGGCTGACTCTCTAGCAAGGCAGGTATGTGGTTTATGTTTTGATTGATGTTGGTATGTGCAAGTCCGAACCGGATCATCAAGGATTATAGGTACATAATGAAGGGTGAATATGGAAATGAACCTTATAGAAGGAAGGCAACGACACAAATGGTTGCCAGCACGAAGTGGTGGGCGGACTTTAGACCCCATGTAGAGGCCGATCCCGTGTACACGGGTACAGTTGCGGATCCAGTAGAAGTGCTGGAGTGTGACATGTAGTAGGAGAAAGACGAGGCGGGAATAGACGAGGCAGAGACAGACGTGGGCGCGCCAGAGGAGCCAGTGCCAGTGCTGGGAGAGCCAAGAGCAGAGGATCCAGAGCCAGACAAAGCGGGACCCGAGGATGCAGAAAAGCCCGAAGTAGAAACGTCGGTATCAGAGGAGCTAGAAGTAGAGGCATCGGTCTCAGATGATCCAGATGACCCGGTTAACTCAGAGGCAGAAGAACCGGACGAGGAAGGTTCCGAGCTAGAGGATCCAGAGCCAGAGTCAAAGCTAGATGAACTGGAAGACGAGAATCCCGAGCTAGGTGAGCCAGACGAGCCAGTAGCGGTAACAGTAGTCTCGGCAGTCTCGGTAAAAATAGTGGTAGAAAGCGTGGTAGTCTCCGGTCGAATCACAGTGTTTGTCGAGACAGCCTCCTCAGACCCCTCACCAGAACCCTCATGAGCAGTACCGGTAGTGGGAGCTTCAGCAGCAGTAACAGGACAGACAGTAGTTGAGACCAATATTGTTTCCGTGGTGACGTACGTGCTCTTCTCCGAAGCAGGGCAGTCTGTCACCGTAGAAGGACAAGCTGTGATGGTGTCGGTGCGGGTGGTGAAGATGGTAGATGTCGTAGATTCATCTTCCGGAGAGGAGCCAATAGTAGTAGGCTGGGGGTTCTCGGTGATAGGGCACACGGTCGTTGAGACGACGATGGTTTCGGTAGTCACGAAGGTGGTCTTGGCTGAGGCCGGGCAATTGGTGACGGTTGAAGGGCAAGCGGTCACTGTGGCAGTGCGCGTGGTCAGGATAGTTGAGGTTGTAGAGCCAACAGGGGGAAGGGTCGGATGTCCTGCATGAGATCCGGATCCTGATCCTGATCCTGCGCCTGCGGGTGAAGTAATCGTGGCACCTGGTAGAGTTGAGGAGGCCTGTGCAGAGGTTGAAGGAGAGGTTGAAGGAGAGGTTGAAGGAGAGGTTGAAGGAGAGGTTGAAGGAGAGGTTGAAGGAGAGGCTGAAGGAGAGGCTGAAGGAGAGGCTGAAGGAGAGCGGGAGGGAACGGAGATGGGAATTCTCGAGAATGACTTCGACGGAGCAACCGAGGAGCGATGTGGGCGTGCACGAGAAGAACACACAGCAGCGGAGGACGAGACTGCCGAAGAAGACGAAGAAACAGGAGTCACCGAAAGAGTGACTTTCGAGCCAGGCGGAGGCGTAGGTGTAGGCGTGGGTGTTTGCGTAATAGTCGAAGTGATAGTAGAAGTAGTGCAGACATCCTCCTCCGCCATGAGATACCACATAACGTTAGAGAAGACAACCGTGTTACCAGAGTTGGTACAGGTAACATAGGGAATCATGGTATGTTCCTCAGCAGTGGCAGTAAACGTTGTGAATGAGGTTTGCCAGCCTTTTGGCTCACTTTCATAAGTCGTGGAATCAAGAATGGAGACATAATCATCGTACTGAATCGAGAAGTCACAATTGTCACTGGATGTCGCGTCCGAGGCCCATTCCGTGACGGAATGAGTAAACTGTAGCCAGTATTCAACGCCAATGGTGAGCCCGGACACATGTTGGGATATTCCGAACTCGGTGCTATCACCGGTGAATTGGAGAGCATATGTTGTTCCAGAGCCACTGCCAGTGATCGGGGTGGCATCGCCCCTCAGCACAGCCCAGTATGTCGCTCCGTCCATGAACTGGCCATTTTTGACATATTCGGTGGTCACCGACTCCTCGTTACAGGAGACTTGGGTGCTGGTGGTCGTGGTGATTGTGTTCGCTGTGGCTAGCGATGACAGCCCTAAAAGCACTAGAGGCAACATGGTGTATAGATATCGACCATCAAGGAATGGCGAGAAAACGGGGCCAAAAAGAATCACGGGCGTTGAAACATCAGAGATGTGGTCTATTTACCAATTGAGAGCGAGGTACCATGGAATTATTTATCTACGTCTATCATTGTTGTGTGCTTGTTGACCTAGGGAAATTTCTGGCGAGGAAAATGAGCTTTTAGAATCAAGTTTGTTATTGACTTAGCTCCAAAGCCTCGCTTTCCCGACTTGGCACTGTGCTCCACCGGTTCTAGCTACACACCTTGTCATGAGCTTTGATCATTGCTAGCCCAAATCCGCCACCAGCGGTAAGCGATGGAGTAATTGCCCATGTGGACGATGTTCACACCTAATTTGAAGGGTATTGGCCTTCCTGCAGTGTAAGCACAGATACCCAACGCATAGGCACTCGCGCCGACTAGCCATCAAGAAAGGTAATAGATCCCGACACTCAATAGTAGACTTCGGCAAGGCCGAGGGGGCTAATTATCAAAGCTGCCATATGTTGGAGAAAAGCGCGCTATCGATGTGGCTTGTCGTCGCTCGCTTCGATTTGCCCCCGCGAGAAAGCTGCCGCAGGAACCCGTCTCCACAGGCCAGCCGGGGAGTGGAGACATGTAAAGAGCGCTAAGTATCTTTGGAATGTTTCCGTGAGCTGCAGTAAGTAGGGTTGTCTAAGATTCTACGTACATGGCACCCCGGTGGCTACGCAGGGCCAAGGTGTGATCTACCAAGTTGACCCAAGGTCTATGCACTTTGAATCATGTCAATAGTCGCACATTATAAATCTACATTGACATCATTATAGAAAGCTACATCAATCTGTGGACACAGACGAGGGTATTCCAAACGCAATCCTGACTGACCCACTAAATCAGAGGCCGCAATCCCCCACTCCTAGGACTCCTTGGACTCCCGATAAGACTATCACCCCTGGCCCTAGCTCTCGCTATCTCCGGCGACTTCAACCCCTCCCTCGTCTCCCGGGTTTCACGCGTAATTCGAGACGGCAAGCCCGGCGGAGGCGAGATATGGTGACTGACCACGCTGGCGGGGAGTTCCAGCGATGGGATGGAAATGTCGAGGTGCGTGGCTGGCTCGGTCTTTGTAGAGGCTGGACGGGCGTGGTTTTCGCTATAGAATTGTTCAAGTTGAGCTGCGTCGTTACAGAAGTCTACTAGGCCGGAGAGGATATGTTCAGGGGCTCGGTAGAGGTTCGCGGAGTCGATGTTTGTGGGCCCGTTGGTTGGGCCCGGGGGTAAGGGACTGCCTATGTCGTGGAGGGGGCGGGTGAGAGGGGATAGACGGGGAGATATTCTATCCAGGGCGTCATGAGTTGCTGCACGACCGCGATACTCGCGGCTGTGATCGTAGCGGCCTGCGTCGCGGCTTGCGGCGCTGCGCGTGCTGACGAGGCGGTTTGCCAGCAAGAGGAAGTCGCCCTCGTCGGTAATCTGGGCGAGAATGCTGCCCGTGCGGTGGATGAATTGGTGGTATTTGTAATCTGGTTTGCCCCAGGAGAAGGAGACTTCGACGTCCGCTGGGAAGGAGGTTGCTGCTTCGAAGTCCAGAACGAAGTCGAATTTGCGGAGGATGCTCTTTTGGTAGTAGAGCGTGTCTGGGGGGCCCGGTTGGGCGAAGGAGGCGTTGTTGAAGACCGTGTGGACTGGTCCTTTGGGTGGTGGGACTTTGAGTTTGATTCTGTAGGGTTTGCGGAAGGGTTGGGTTCTGTCGATAGCGGAGGCTTCTGCGATTGGGACCTGGACTAGTTTGAGGCCGAATTTCTCGGCCGTGGACGCCCATGAGAGGACGGCGTCTTCGATCAGTTTGGGTGTTGTATTCATCCAGCTTAGCTCGATGTGGAAACAATTCGCCGGGTTGTGCAGCCGGTCATAATGGAGATCAATCATTTCGGGCCGGTTCGAGCGCTTTCTGTTATCCACGTCGTACTTGAGAGATTTTGATAGCATGATGGCAACCTTGTTCTTGGTCTTGGACGGAGTGGTCGGCGTTGGCGGCACACGATCGTCGTTACTATCGGAGCGGGTATGGAAACTAGAAGGAGAATCCTTCACATTTCCACTTCCAGGTGCAGGAGTTGAAGGCATAGACTTGTCCGCTCGAAGCTGTGGGAACCAGCTACCTCGAGATTCCGGGCGAGTGGTACGGTAATCAGTACAGATCTGATAAAAGTAATTACCATCACGGAAATTGTGTCTCTTCTCGACATGCTGGAACAGGTCATGCTTCATCAGCTCGTTGCCAAATTCAACCGCCTCATCCCGAGTATCGATATCCCGGAAATTTTGCAGAAGCCACGTTGTAAACTCAAAGCCAATGAAACAGTTGTAATGCAGTCTCCAATGCCAGCGACGATCCATCATCCGCACGCCCTTGTCTCCCTGGATCAACTGCGCAAGAGATGTCAAGTTGACACTGGACCTCTCAAGAAGCTCGGACTCGGGTAACAGCTGAGCAGGCGGATTGTCAAGTCTCGGGTCGGTGAGCAACACCCGGTCGAGTTCAGCCGCGACAACCTCGGATGGATTGCGCGTCTGATACATGATATTGAGCGGGTTCAAGTCTCGCTTCTTCGCAGGAGTGTTTGTAGATGTATTTGTAGTCGTGTTCGTTGGGGCATCAAAACGCTTCTCGGGAGAATTGTACTTGTTACGCTGCCAGATATGGGTCAATTGGCTGATACCCAGCAAATGGATTTCCTCTTCGTTGTCCTCGTTGTAGAGCTGCAGATGCCGCCGAGTATTGGGATGAAGTTGCATCGGAATCAGCACATAACGAACCCGCCAGAAATGTAGCTGCTGGGCTGGGTTGTGCAGGTAGTCTCTGTGACCAGCCACGTAATTGTCGGCATAGTTCCAGTTGTATTCCTCAGCGGTGGGATCCAATTTGATGTCTTTCATTTCGTACTCTGGACTGAGAATTGTCCTCATAGCTGGCTGATAAAGAGTAAAGTTGACTCTCTTAGAAGATGCAAGCGCGGCGGTTGTCTGATGCGTGAAACGAGTCACCTCGATCTCTCCTCCATGTATACAGATGAGACGGTGAATGGCGTTTCCTTTAGAGAGGAAAACAGTAACACCATCACGCTCGAGCCCTCGGGTATCGAAGACATTCAATGACTCAAGTGCCGATTGGGATGAAACTTCGGCAACAGTCTTCCCGATGACAATTTGGAAGCCATGGGACAATCGAAGGGAAATCATCTCGCGCAAAAGGACTCCACGCGTCTTTGGTGCCTCATAGCCATCCGCATCGTCGTTTGGAAAGACACGATATGGTGTTTGCAGGTATTCAGAGGAAAGCTCTCCGGCTGTCGGGAACTCCTCTGTCGTCAATGGTAAAACTGCAGGTGACTTCAGACTCTTCCATTTGACCACAGCAACATGTGGAGGACGCGGGTATGCGTGCTGCCAACGACCAAACCAGCTGGTATTGCGCAACACATCCTTCGGGGTGTTACAAGGATTGACAGATCGAACCCACGGAGAAAGCGCTTTGCTTGGTGAGTTTCTGATAGATGCATCGCGGGAACCATGATTGAATGTGATTTCGATTTTACGGTCATTGGGTCGGCCTGCTCCCTCTTCACGCCCTTCCTCGTTGAAGGGAGCTTCTGCCGTAGATGTAGGAAGCGAATTTTGGGCTCCACCACTACGCTCGGGCTGTTCTGTAGTGTCCGGCTTTTTGAATGGAGCTTTGATGGAGATAGGTTTTGACGGTGTCACCTTGGAAACAGGGGCCATTTTAGGAGGAGTGGACGGTCTTGAGGGTAGATCCGCGAGAGTTGGTGTGGATGTTGATTCCGAGAGACTCAGAGAGGTAATGCTCTTCGTGTCAGAGAATGTACCTCCCGAGGACCGCTGGTTTGACATCGGCATTGCGCTAGCATTCTCAACATGGACACCTGTGCTTGCCTGCGCTCGAGGTGGAGTAGCGCTCAAGCCACGCAGTGCAAAGCTGATGGTCTTTGAGAAAATCCTAGAGCTCTTGGGAGTCGCTGCGGACTTCAATGCGGGCTTGTTGAGCGAGGGGCTTTTGGGGGAGGATATAGACCCATCAAGCCTGCGTGGACGGAAAGACTGATTGTGCTCATTCCCGCCTGTTTCTTGCTCTCGCAGGCGCAAGATGGATCGAGCGGATATCCTTTCATGTGCACCGGCAGCCTGAACCTCAGGCTCACTAAGTCGTTTGGATTTAGGCTTTTGTATTGGACGGCGCTTTGGTCTTATAGCGAAGATGTTATCGTCGTACTGATCCATCCATGTCAACACGGATTTGCGTGATTTTGGCTGACCGGTTGTCTGAATATCGTTGTTATCGGCGAAATTTTCGGGGAACGGCTCTGGTCGTAGACTATCGCTGTAATGCGCTTTAAAAGACGAAGGGGCAAATCGAGTTCTGGGCGGAGCGCGGACTGCCGGACTAGGCCCGGGCCAGGATCCACGAAGTCGTGACAAGTCGCGTCCTTCGAGCAAGTATGGAATAGAGATGTTCGATTGCTCACTCTCCATAACACCCATCATCTGAATCTCATACATACGAACACGTGGGGTAAAAGCTTTGGACGGCCGAGTCACGGTAAGCGGTATCGGCGCGTTGGGATCATTCTTTAGAATTCGTCGCGCCTCTCGGTACGTCTCGGGATTCCAGTACGAAATGTCAAGCCAGTGAGGAATACCGTAGCTCCACTCTCTAGATCGAGGATTTCCTCGTTCTCGCATGCGGGTAGCAGAGAGGTAAGAGCTTGGAGACAGATAGGACGATCTGCTGACAAGACTTGATATTGAGTGGTGCATCTCTGGCGACAGGTTCCCCATGGGTGTATTCGAGGTGCTTGCCATGCCACCCGAGTTCCGTTCCACAGGTTCCCGGTATTTGAACAGAGGGACTGAATGAAGGGGCATCGGACTCAGACAGACCAGATCAATGGCTATCCCGCGGTTTGCCAGTGCCTCTGTAGTAGAGGCAAGGGACTCGTAGGAGACTTCAAAAACGCCACTGCCGGGGGTAATGACAATGATGGATGTGCCCGTGTGAACCATATCTCTGTCAATGTGATCATACGCTAAATGCGCAGAAGCGAGGTGAATAGCCTCAAGAATATTGCCGCGCAGAGCTGTGCTAGGTCGTCCGGCAATAGTTGCAGTATGTGGCTTCGAAGGAAGCTTGACTCCGCTGCCAGCTGCAGCATCCAGATCCTCTGTTTTTAAAATCGAAACATCGCGAAGGAAAGTTCGGAAATTCTTCTTCAACTCATCCAGAATCGTGGTCCAGTGACCACTTGCCATGTCGTTTACTACGACGCGGTAGAAATCCCGAGTTGGAACATGATTCGGGTCTCCGGCATTTTGAGTGCCAGCATTGAGCTTCGCCAAGCTTGAATGAATTGAAGCGTCGTACTCGACTCGGGTAAAAAGCACAATGGTGACCAAATGCTTCGCATCAGAATTGACCCATCGTTTGAAAAGCTCTGGTAAGAAGCCGTTGATGACCCGACTGAACAGAATGTCCCCTGACCCCTCGGAATCGAAATTCCACATCTCTCTTGACATTTGAATGAAGAGGACATATTTTGCCGACTCACTCCGGAATACAGGGATTGTGTTCGATGAGAAGTACCCCGACAAAACCTTTTTCTCTCGAATAAAGATGTTTTTGATAGTCGCCTTGACACTCCCCATGAATGTGATTTTCTGTCCCTTGTAGATGATCTTGTCGGCAAGTTCCGACGTGACAAGCCTCCACATATCGGACCGAACCATGTATTGATCACGAAATGCAATATCCACATGTGATGCAGAACATTGCTCCCGGTCAACAATTGACAAGTAAACCTGGGTTCTATTTTTGAACCCGAAAATATTGGCTACACTGTTGGTCACGGAAATCTCCAATCTGGGATGGCGCGTCTTGATATCCAGCGGCAACGGCTTGACCACGAACAAACAACGGTTCTGCAACGGCGTCTTGAACTTTGAAGTGCTATCGGATTGTGACGAACCGTTGATATCAACATGCGAGTCGCGATTCGTCTTCACACCTGCATCTGGTTTCAGCGCGGAGTGGGCCGCATCTCCAGCCGCCCGTACAGCCAGAATCTCCACCACATCGCCAATCTGGACTCTGGTTTCACCAAAGGCTGTGGGATTCAGGAGAATCTCCTCGCGCGCAAACATCTCGTCATGAACCCAGAGTGTACATTGATGTCGGGCCAAGCTGGAGGACAGCCGTACATTGCGTTCATTGGGCGTGGGGCCATGTTCGCGGTGCGATGCGTCCAGGGAGCGAATAGTCGAAAGGGTCTCCAAGCTGGCAGCACTCACCTGCCTAAGGTGGGACTGCCGCATGGGCCCGCGCAGAGACATGCTTTCAGCCTCCGTACATAGGCATATGGAAATTGAGAGCTTCCCCGGAGCTTTCGCAGTTGGGATCCAGGGCGGCCGATAAGATAAGGATCACGTGTGATATGCAGAAGTCACTTCTGCCTCAGGCGACAATATAACTTGCATGAACCGCTTACCCTGCTGGGGATTGCCGGTTGTGTTACTTTCAACGTAGTTACGGGGCATGCATCGTAGTGCAAAACCTAGAATGTAATTTTTTAGGAATATAGGGGTATTTGCTTTGTCCAAAATCTTCCGAGTTGATTACTCAAAAAAGGGAAAAAGTCGAGTAAGGGATTCAAAAGACGCCTATATGCCGCATTTTAACGATGATTAGTTTTTGAGGCAGGGAAACGGTGACAGCCTGTGAATCAACATCGACTCTGCATTTGACTAGATACAGCTGCAATTGTAGTCCCGTCTGCGTAGAAGCATGTGAAGAGACACAGCTGACTGTCAACCTTGGGAATCAATCCAACTAGACGGTATTAATGCAATCGACAAGGTATGTGTTAATCGTAGGTATTCCAGGCTAGTCGGTGGTGATATTTCGGGGTGATGTGTAGTCTAAATCGGCCGGGAACTGAGGCTTAGGGGCTAGAAGACTCAAAGGGAGAGCCAAAGGTGTAAGGTGAAGAGACGCCGAGAAGGCATTGTCGGAACATGCAAGTAGTCTCTTGACTTAATCAAAACCACACTGTGGATTTCTCAGCGGCGAGCTGTTGGCTATGCCCGTGCTAGCGGCACGCATTGCCACCGGCGGACGATGCAAGCGAGGTCACGCATTCCAGCCTAGTGGTTCCTGTCCCCGAGACTTGCAAGGTGGCCCAGAGTTAGCAGGATTTAGAGGACCTGATCCTCTAGAGAATCCTTGGTGTCTACCTCGGTATGTCCTGGGTTCTACGAACGGTTATTTCACAGACGGCTTCCGTGTGCGCGCCCCTCAAAAAAAGGTGGCCAAGTAAACCGCGTTTGGCCTTCAGCTCTCCCCCTCAGAAACACGTTAAAATGACGTAAGGGCCACGGACATGTCTGAATGTCAAGGTAAAGATGGAGGGAATTCTTTCGTCCTAGCATCTTGGTATGCGAACAGCCCATGAGCCTCTGAAGATAAATCGGACTTCTTTTCCGGGCGGCGATCCAACTACATCCCGGAACCGTTCCACTGGGATCCCAATCATTTCCTTCCCGTTCTCAAAATCTTTCCCCTTGCCTTCTGTCCGTTTGCTTTCTCCTGCGGGGCATTGAGGGCACTTCCTTCTTGAGAAGAAAATCACGAATTATGCGCTTCTGTCGCAGGAGTTACGCTCTTTGTGTCAACTGAAGCCATGGACCCACCGGTCGCACTCAAATGAGCCCTTTTTCTGGCAGGAGTGACCCTTGAGCCTCGATGGACCGGGGCAAATACTTTGAAAAGCTTGGGTTCTTGAGGTCGATGTGACTAGACTCGTGTTCTCGGCCTGGCCTAGTTGCAAACAAAGAGAGCGCCATCTGATCGAAGCCCAAGTCGCTGCGACGCGGACGAAAGCCAGCACCAGCATGCGACTTATTTGCGAATAATAGAAGTTCGCCAGCCAGCTCAGTATGGTTGTGCAGCATTGCCTACCGAACCCCCACTCCCATCAATGTTGGCCAACCAAGGGCTCCTTCTGAAGGGAGAGACTCTCCCTCCAGGCAAGATGGTGGCTCAACCAGGCATGATGAAACTCGCTTTCGACTTCCATGGCACCGAAAATACAGGAACCCCAATCTTCCCTTTTCTGCATGGTTATTTCCAGGGGTTTCACCCCAGAATTTGGGGTCCGGTTGTGACTTCTCATGCCTGGACAGATGCCACCAACATTCAACAGGCCACTACAATTGATGGCAATGTGCTTTGCTACCTTTTCTGCCAAACAAGGCTCAAGTGGCGAATAATTGCGTCTCAAAACTCTGATGCAGCACTTGTGGAAGTGATCACAACCATGACTGAACATTGCAATTGCAGTCCCACGGAGCATTAATACTCCAACCATAGCGGCTTTGCATGTCTTACCATTTAGTTCTGCATCTCATCAGCTCGCCCAGCTTTCCCATCATTCCATGAGAATGATGTCACATCTTAATTGGGGAAAGCATTCGCAGGACTCCCATGCAGTCTGTAGGAGTCTGCAGCATTGCGTGAGCACTGCACGCCTTAACACCACGGGCAAACATCCTGTTTAAGACTTTCATAACATCGCATCTCATTGTGGGAAGCTTGCAATTGAACAGGAAAGCTTCGATCGGCCAAAGCCTCTGTTCCTACCTTGTGGTAGCCTCCAGTGATGACTGAGTGTTGTCACCCGGGCGAGCACCACCTCTCCTATCATCAAGTCCTATTCATGTTCTTTCGCTCTCATGGTCTCCCGATCGCTTTCGAAATTATCTGTATTGATCGACCGAATCCTCGGATGGGACGCTGGCTCGGTGCTCGTGGGAGTTGTGGAGGGTGGTTCATGTTGCAGCTCGCTGACCTGGGGACCAAACCAGCTCCAAGAAGCATCCCATCTTGCTTTTCCTCGTGTGCAATATGCGAATGGGTCATTCATGGTGTCGACTGTATATTTCTAGAGATGGCCATGCTCGTGTTTTGGACTGCCCGGGTCGTGCGATGGTCTTTGTGGCCGTCGTCGTGCAGGCTATGATGACTACTCGGGCGCAACGCGAGGTCGATGACTGTTTGGAAGATCTTGAAGACACTTTGATCAGTTTCAAAGGGGTTACTAGCACCTCGAGGCTTCAGCTGACTTACTGAGGGATTCAAGCGCACGCGTCGCCGGACGAACTTCCTCTTAAGTGTTGTCTCCTGGTTCCTAGATCTCGTCTCTTTTCGCTTTTCGCCGTCGAAAGCTATACGTGTTGGTAAGCGCCATCGCCAGAATGAATTGGTGGGCACTGTCAACTGTCACAGTATCGAAGTGCTTAGGGATGACTGTGCCCCTGTTCTCTCCCCACCAGATTGCCAGCTTGTACCCTCAGGGAATCTGTAACCCATCCAGTCTGCCTGTTGAGTAGACTCGTCACTCGAAATATCGATGGCACCCAGTATTCGGTATCTTTGCCGGTTTCGTCCCTCGAGGACGTTGGTTGCTCATTGTGATTCGGATGGGGCCTTCACGAAATGCATCGTTGTGGAGGACAGGAGGGCTCGGGTTGCGGAACGAAAAAGGTCATGAGACAACATCGGGCCAGAAAGGACCAACCTTGTCAATGTCCCTAGGTTACCGAGAATCACAATCCAGGGACTAAGTTACAAGTTGTCACATCAAATCTCGGCGACCCTAACCTTAAGGGGGAAGGGAACCGCATAGACTACCTCTGTGCATGCCATCCTGGAGCAAGACAAAACACCGGTCCACCCGGAAATCTGCCGTGCTCACCACTATGGGGGTTTCTATAGATCCTCTCTTGGGTTGGAATGGGGATCGCCATCAGCGCTATCGTGTTTGAATAAGCCACATCTAGCCCAGAGCCGGCTCATATCGAACCTCTGGAATCTACGATAGGGTTGACACATGCCTGATAATGGCCTGCACAGATAGATGAAAAACGTTACAAAACTGGGAAAACCAGCTTTTCCGAGCGAGTGGGCAGGAAAGTCTATTAAAGAGCCACTTGTTCCTCGCCCAAATCCTGGAACTACGATACCCTGTCCAGGTTTACACATTGACATCAATAGCTCTGTAATACAGACATGATGGGTGAGCCGGTTCGTCACGGATTTACCCCAACTGGACAAATGCACCATCTCGTATAGACATATTGCGTGGTTCTGCGGTATTTCTCAAACAGGAGGAATAAAAAACCGCCGATACTCGACCGGACTTACCCCAAAAATACGCGATTTGTGGATGCGACTTTTTTGGTGTTGGGGGAACGGCAGATCTTTGGGGTGGCAAAACAGCGCGGCTCTCACATCCAGCATACCACAGCTCACCGGCCCGCGAGCCCCATCCCCATTTTGGATAGCAAACTCGTTCGGCTCGCAGCATCTTCGATTCTTCGGCTATATCCGTGCCCAGAATACCGACATCCAGGATCGATCGGGATCGAGGGAAAAAAACACCCCCCCGATATGCACGGTTTCAGTTGTTCGTTAGGGCTTGTCATATCCGCTAGGCTCGAAAAGCGTTTCCCTAAGTGTCTTCCCCCACGGAGTGTACCTTCGAGCCATTCCTTCGCACGATGAGTGAGAACTTCCCTGTTCGCCCGTTACTTCCCGAGGGCGCTTCTGATATCCTGGGGAACGAATCGGCACCCTTCCACTGCGACTGGGCTGTTTCAGGATACACACAACCATCTCCAGGCTTTCCCGCCAATACCGACCGATTCCCCAGTCGTGATGACCCTCCAAGCACCGACAACCGACATGGGAATGCGAAAGTCCCTATCCCCCGATCCGCCTACCCTAGTTCCTGGACCCCTACCAGCGGCCGAGTTAGTCGGGCATGCGAGAACTGTCGAGAACAAAAGGCTAAATGCAGCGGGCACCGCCCCGCATGTCAGCGATGCCAGGATGCAGACACACCGTGCTCATACGGCGACAGGAAACGCGAGAAATTGCTCAAGTGCGTGGCCACGTAGATTAATTTGGCTGCCTCTCTAATCCGCGTTTAGGCAGTTGGATGATCTTACCACACAAGTCAACACTTATGAGACGTTACTGAGAGAGCTGTACCCAAAGTTGGATTCTTCATCGGCTCAACGTGTTGATCAGACACTACGGGGCCCATTAGTCAGAGTGAGTCCACACCCAGGATGCTCCCTAACTCCCCGAAGAGCATCCCCTCCCGGTTAATCGAACTCGCCCCTAATTTTACCCCCAAGAATGATCAGACCTTCTCTTCTGGCTCCGACCTGGGAACCACGGGCTATCCCTTGATAACGATTGATCACACCGAGGAGGATTTCAACCGCGATGAAAAGATTCAGGCCATGGGCTTCGTGGGCGAACATTCGGAGATGGTTTGGCTATACAGACTGAAACGAGACCTCGATCAAGAGAGTGCAACTCCCGCAAGCGATAATTCCGACCGGCCATCCATTTCATCCCTGAACTACTTCCAAGACGACCGCGAAATCTCTACCCTTGTTAACGTGGATCCCACGTACCGACCTCCACAAGAACTTGCTAACGCGCTCGTTAATACCTACTTTGAAGCAGTGCATCCTGCTTTTCCCGTCATTGGCAAGACGATTTTTCAAAGCCAATACCAGTCTTTCTATTCCAGTACGAATGTGCGTCCTGGAAAGAGGTGGCTGGCAGTTCTGAACTTGATCTTCGCCATCGCGTCGAAATACTCATTGCTTGTAGAAAGTCAGCCCCTGGTGAATACTGGTGAGGACCTAGTGTTCTTCGCGCGAGCTTGGCGGTTGAGCATTGGCAACGTGGCACTGGATCATCCCAATCTGCAGCAGGTGCAGGTCGAAGGACTGGCTGCTTTTTACCTTCTTTCCACTGGCCAGGTCAATCGGTACGTCTTGACAACGCCAACTCGGAGTCACGGCACTCGTCTAACAATTTGTCTTTTCTCCCTAGGTCATGGCGAATTATTGGAATTGCGATTCGATCAGCGGTCGCGATGGGCCTCAATTTGAGAAACGACGGCGATAGTGTTGCTCACTTATCAAAGGAGACACGGTATCGTGTGTGGTGGGCGTTGTTCATGTTGGATACGGTGCTGTGCGTGATGACCGGGCGTCCGCCCAGCTCCGACGAAGTGTTCTGCACCACTCCCCTTCCTATTCCATACAAAGAAGAGGAGTTTCTGAACGACCAGGTTGTACAACTCATCGCCCACCAGGGCGTCCGAAACTATCTCATGAGCTCCCTTCTACCCTCGCGTGACATTCCGTCTGGGTTCGCCGACGCCTCAACCGACCGTAGCTCCGCCACCCATAGATCAGAGCAAGTTACACCTAACGTCTCGTTATACTTCCTTTACGCAGTGGACCTGGCGTTCCTCATGCGGCAGGCTATTGAAGCTTTATACGCCCCCGGTGCTGCGCGACGCTCCTGGCTGGAGATGGAGACGACGATCACCTCCCTCAACAATCACGCCGACAACTGGCTCACCCACCTCCCCCCAGACTTCGCCTTTACCGAATTAGACACCTCTCAACCTTTCATTCGCCAACGCGCCAGTCTTGCCTTCCGATTTTACACCACTAAGCTCATCATCTCCCAGCCCTGTCTCCGTCGCGTCACAAATAGATCATTAGGGTCAACCTGTGACAAAATGGCAGCCATGTGCGTGCAAGTCGCGTCCCAAATGCTCGATCTCCTTCCTGACGAGGCCGATGCATCCTGGCTCTATGCCATCTCACCTTGGTGGTGTGTCTTGCATTATATTATGCAGTCTACTACGGTTCTTCTGATCGAACTCTTCACACGAACACAGCCGGGGACTTCCGAGGCTGCCGTTCTTGCGACGAAGCTCCAGAAGGCTGTCCGGTGGCTACGCGAGATGGCTACCAAAGATGCATCCTCGGAGCGAGCCTGGACTGTTTGTAGGGAGATCATTTCCACCCATGGCGTAAAATTCGCCTTGGACATTGATTTCTGATTCGATCCGCTTCACTAACATCCCTCTGGTCCGTTGACACGATCAAACTGCCTGTTTGATGGTTTCGCTGACTCGGATGCTTCGTGCTGAATCGTACATGTCTTCCTACTTACCTTTCTCACTGATACTTCCATTTAAGGATCGTGTCTTGCAAAGTTGTATATTCGACTTGGAGTATTGAGTACATTTCGGTGTTCATCGGGGGCATCTTGGTAAATATCTTTCGTACTCTCACCACACATCTAAACCTGTTACCCCGGCTTCTTGGTTCCCAAGCTTCTCATCGATTCAGCCCACTCAATTTTTGACCATTCTCCCCTGAAAAAGATATTCAAAGTAGATGAGGCTTCCGCCTATCGACACCCTACCTTTCAATAACTCAATGACTTATGCTACGCCCATCCAACTAATGCCCGCCACGATCTACTCATGAACACGCAACAACATTACATCTATGAATTAGGAAATGAACCATAAAATCACATATACATACTATAAACCCTTGTCCACTGACCTCCCAAGCACCACCCTACAACTCATGACTCGTATAAAGGTTCTCGGCCTCGTTCAAAAATGTATCAACAGGATGCAATAACCCAAGATCAATATCCGACTGCGCCAGGAAATCCTGCATCGTAGGTTCCAAAAAGGCCATCTCAGTCGTATACCCAACCATTGTCTCCCTCTGCACCGCATATTCCATCCCCTGTCCACCCCCACCCATCAACTCATGACTCTCCGGCATTACCGGCAACGTCGACCCCAATCCAGACCCAGACACCGGCGCCGGCACTGAAGCCACAGGCTGAACAGAAACCTCAGACTCCCCGCTCCTCCCACCCCGATACCCATTCAAACAAACCTTCACCTGCTCAAGGTTATGATAGAACTCCGCTGCAGCGAGGTTCCCATTCTCCGTCATCGAGCGCAGGAGATCTAAAGCAGAATCGAAGCCAGACATATCGGATGCATTGCCAACCGGCACAAATGAAGACATTGCGAGGATGAGCGCCGACGAAAAGAGGTAGTGTGCGTGGAAGTAGCCGAATGTAGGCATTGTACCGTTTATCCAGCGTGTTAGAATCATACTGTGCGAATGTCTCGCTGCGTGGATACAAGCTTCGCTTAGGGTGAGGACTGGTTTTGAAACGGAGTCGATTGATATGTTGATCTTCTTCGGATCTCTGCGGAGTGTTATGAGGAGGTGGAGGAGTGTTGGTCTTGTTGTTAGGATAACGCATTGATTAAACGCCATGTGTAGAGAGACGACTGGTTTTTTGGAAGATTCCAGATCTTCCATGTTCAGACGTAAACTTTCAGGTAATGTTTCGACCCAGTTTTTTAATGATTTGAGAAGCTTCTGCACGCGCTGGAGGAATGTTTCTTGATATTTGCGCCGGCTGTATAGTTTTGTGATTGTTTCGCCGACTATGCGGGCTAGTTTGATGTTGGCGGTCATGTAGGCTGTGTCGGAGAGTTCTTCTTCATGGCGCCAGGTTGGAGATATGGTTTTTGGCATGTCGACGTGGATGTCTTCGTCTAGGATTTGCATGGGTAGGCCCATTTTTGAGCCCCACATTCGGTCGAAGATGTAGATTGTCCACCAGATTTCTATGCGGTGTTGGCGTTCGATGGGGTCAATTAGTTGGCTTTCTGGGATATTGTGGTTCAGACCTATTGTTAGGCCCATGCGCATTGCGTTGCTGATTAGGACGTAGGCCGAGTGGCGGCGGTTGAGGTAGTAAGAGAAGAGGGACTATTGAGGTTAGGTTGGGCAGGGTTGTTGGGTTGGGGGTCTTACTAAGAGAAGGAGGGTTTCGAGGTGTGTTATGCTTGTTCGCTCGGGTAGGACTTGGACTAGGCTCATTGCTCGAGCGAAGTATGCGGTTCCTGGCACGCGAGATCCGGAAGTTGGTTCAGAGCGGATAGAGTATGCTTGTCCGAAGGCGAAGAGGGCGAAGAATTTGCACTTGTTGGCTTTGCAGTCGAAGGATCCATCTTGGTAGATTTCTTCGAGTTTGTCGAGTGTAGATTTTCGCATCATCAGATGGTACAAGTATCCGATTTGGTGGATGGCAATGCGCACCAGTAGGCGTGCATGGTGCAGGCTAGGCCACTGAGCGTCGGCTTCGTTAGCTGCCGCAGCTATAGTTTCTTCGCGCTCCCATTGCGTTCGAGAGATGTGAGCAGTGGAATTGTTCCCTGTGAGAAAGCGACGGAATCGCGTTGCAAAGGCCGAGCAAGCTGCTTCGCCAATGTAGATTGGCGGCGAAGATGGATCGTAGCGGTGAAACCAGGCTCGGTCACCGATGATCGGATTTTGGATGCTTGTTGCATCTGCTGCATCTACTCGAGAAGGACCTCTGTACGTCTTGTTAGTTCTGGATCTTCTCATTGTGTGGAGGTGGCATACCGTCCTGTATTTGGGGGATCATTGGCTTCGGCCGCGTCAGCCGAGGTGACCGACTGCTCCTTCAAGCGCCGATTCTCTGCAAGTAGCTGATCGAGATACCTAGGGGGGTTCCATTAGCGCCAGTTTCGGATTGATGTGCCGAAACATGCTTCCAAGGTTCCTCCTAGTTCTGGGGTGGATCATACTTTTCGCTAACCTTGACCTGGCGGTCCCTTGAAGCATACGCGCACTCATCAGCGCATCCTACAGAGCGACACTTGCTACATGGCAGATCGCCGGAGCATTTGATTTTATGCGCATGGCAGCGTTGGCAGCTGTAGTTCGTCGGTCAGTCTGGTGTAGAGATGTGGGGACAGGTTGCAACGCACGCGACGAACTTCCTCCTTTGCTGGCGATCGCCTTCGTCATCGGAGAAAATGGAATCACGTTTCAGCCCTATGCCTCGTGTCATTGTGTCACGGTCATTGCATGTGTCTGGATTGGTCAGTGCGAAGGTGAGGGGAGACTTTCGAGAAGCGGTCGGCGATGGCAACACCTTGCCGAGTACTCGGCGGAGTCAGCCGAATGTTGCATTTCCGTCGGCGTTTGGACCAACCAGAGTGTCTTGCAGGGCTGCGGTCATATTTGAATACTGCGATACTACTTCTAAGACTTCAGATCTTTGATGATCAAAGTACATAGTCAATTTGGATGAATTGCACTCCAAATTTGTTTACTACATACAACTTGAGGGAGCCCCTGTCATTGACCAAGATTCAAATCTAATCTTCAATTATACCTATGTTCTCTAAATCTAATGTGTTTATGTGCCGCAATCAAAAAGACAAATCTAAATCTAGATGCAGGGTATAGTCATTATCATCAGGCCTTGGCATCAATGCCAAACTTTTGTTCCACCCATCGCTGCATGTCAAGTCCCCATCTCACAATCATGAAGACAAAAACACCTCCCATCAGGGCAAAAAAAACACCTAAACATGTTAGAAGCTGTTCCTAGAACAAGATCGGTGGCAAGGAAACTGGGAACTGACAAATCGTAAACGTCCAGCCAACACCAATAGAGTTGATTAAAGGCTCAACGGCAGCAGTCGCCGCAGCAGCAAAGATATACTGCACGACATATTTGCCACTGACCACCTCGGAACGGATATGCGGCATCACCTCTGTGTATCATCAGCAAATGTATAGGCACGCGAACCATGATGGGTGACTTACCAGCTGAATATGTGTTCAACCCATTGAACGTGCCCAACAACCCTACACCAGCGAAGAAAGCAGCTATAACCGGAACAGGCATGCCACCCACTTCTTCCTCAAGAGTCCATGCATAGATCAAAGTCGCTCCAGGGAGTACAAGAAACAGAGTGATGAGACCACTGTTCAAGCGATCCTGAGGAAGACGCACACCATTCCTTTTGACAATCCACTTCTTCACCGCACGGTCGGAAAGTTTACCGCCCAACACACTTCCGATGAGGAAGCCCATCCCTGGGGAAAGGTAGAATAGACCGCTGACCAGGGGAGTGGTAAGGTTGAAGCGCGGATTGAAGATTGAACTGGCGGATGTGAGGATAGCGTATTGGAAGGTGGCAAGAAGACCGCATGTCAAGTGCTGTTTGAGTTAGCTTGGTAAGAATTAGTCTCATGGATAGAACTTACGCAGAGAAACACATTCGGATAGACAAAGGGCCGGAAAATGCGAAGCGGGTTGAACATGCTCAATACAGACCGTGCCGTACGAGGTCTAGTTGCTGTTTCCATTTCTCTCTTGTTGTTGATTGTCGGCAGGAAGAAGAAGGAAAGTGCTAGGCCGAGGGCAGTCATGCCAAACTGCAGCCAGTAGATGATGCGCCATTGGGAGAAGGTAACGATGATTCCACCAATGCAAGGGCCTAATACTGTCAGTTTCATCCTGCACATGAGAGGAGATCAGACCATACCAATAGCCGGCCCACTGACTGAACCCACCATCATAAATCCAACTGCGGTACCCCGCACAGTCTATACGACATTAGCCTCTTGAATCCCAATAACAACCCGAGCAAAGACTCACCGGCTCATAAATATCCGCGATAATAGTCTGCCCCGCAACCATAAAGAATGTCCCCGTAAACCCGCTCAGCAGACGCATTGCAATAAACATATTCAAATCGATCGAAGCGGCCGTCCCAGCCGAACAACCACACAGAACAACAATCGCCGCGTTATACGCAACTCTGCGTCCAAAGACATTTGTGACAGGACCCCAGATGAACGATGAAAAGCCCATTGCAATCAAAACGCCAGCATTGATAACATTGAGAATCTCCTTAGAGGTCGAGAACTCCGTTGCGATCTCGGAGGTCGCGGGCAGAAGTGAAGTACTTGAGAAGGTAACAGCCAGAGTCATCCAGCTGACGATGAACAAGATGAGCCACTTGCGCCATGTCGGAATGGCGTAGCCGTTCTGCGGCTGCGGCTGCGGCTTTGTGGGTGAATTTGAGTCTGTGTCCGAGTCGTGAGGAGAGTCCAGCTGCGGCTCTGCTTTCTGGCATTCGAGGTCTGGTTGAGCCATTTTTGGGTTTGGTCATGAATTTTAAATGAAAGATTGAAATCAAGGTATTGTCGTATATATCATGGCTTCTTTTCTATGATGAAAATGCAGATTGGAAACGTTCACAAATTTCATGTTGATCGGGCAATTTTGTATGTCGGGCCCCTCGGCGTCTTGTGTCTGTTGCCGATTGTTATCGGCGACCCACTCCCGCTTTGAGACCGCCGTTGACGACTGATTGGACGCTTGGTGACGCTTTCAATCATTGGCATACTTGAATGGCAGTCTACTCCAGCTATTACCTAGGTGGTCTTCAGTTTTTACGTCGATAATGTCGGGTTTAGAGTCGACCCAGCAGAAACCCGGCTGTGGCGCTCTCATGGTTTTCTTCAGCTGCTAGGTGAGCCTTCGCAATTTTCCGCTGATTCAGGTTGCATACCTGAAAGATAAGGGTGCTCACCAGGGATAACATAGCCCGATTGAACCGTCTCTTCATGCAAAGAGTCATGCAGCTCGGTCTTTTGAACCTGTTACCGGGTGCGGGTCTCTGTTTTTTTTTTCCCCGTTGTGGAGTTCTGGCGACAGCGAGATCGGCCTCCTTGCCGAACCTAGGAAGTCTTGGCAACACCCTAGAGAAGGGTTGTTTAACAAACGCGCCTACAGGGCGTTACGCACAAAGTTCAGGCTTCAATAGAATAAGACCCTATTTAAGACCCTATTTGAACGGTCTAGACTACGAGGCCCTTAGACCCTGGAACTTGAAATCCCAGACAAGAGGTGAGCAAGGACAAGAGCCGTAAATCTTGAATGTGTGCACATCGTCCCTTTATAGGCGAATTACAAACATCCCAAACACTATAAGCCAAGCTTTAAGCCTTATCCGTAGCCAAGAGTCCGAGCCAAGATCCATATCTAGACAAAGCTGGTGAACGAGAAAAATGAGCAGAAATAGGCGATCTGGTGGAAGCTGAAGCTGACGCGGCCAATGCGGCCGCTTGCCAGCAAAACAAAGCGACCCCGCCAAGGCCTGAGTTATTCGCATTTCAGCCTCAGCAAATAAAGGGATAGCCCTTATAACAACGTCCACAGTTCCCCCTAGGCCCATGTTACTCTGTGCATAGCGACACGGGTGATTATGGACGTGAAAAAGGCCTTAGACGTCGAGACGTCTGCTCAACACAATAGCCACAATCACCTCGTCTTGATCCCTCATCCCAGTCCCCACCCTCGAGACCCCTTGGTATCGCCCCAGTTTTGAAAATGGGCCCTGCCGAGTAAACTCTGACCAGTATCTAGAATTGGACTTTGAGGCGGAAGTATGTCATTCTCTCCGTTCTATGTCTTGCCTCCTTCTCTGGCGCAATTGCGCCGCTGTCGGGACAGCTCAATCTCGCGGACCAGGAGAAACTGTACGGCAAATCCAAAATACAGGAGTCGTACGCGGTATGTAGACTTCAATTTCCCTCTTCAGACTTAGGTTCTGAGCTTCATGCTTGAACACATCTAACACTGCCTAGAACTCTGCCGCGTTGGCTGGCATGGCCGCTGGCCCATTCTTCTTCGCCCCAATCTCTCACCTTCTGGGCCGAAGCTCCGTCATCTTCTGGTGTATTCTGTGCACACTAGCCTGCCAGGTCTGGGGTGCTGTCATGACCCACTCAGATGACTACATTCCCTATATCATGTCGCGACTCTTCGCGGGCTTCTTTGGCGCTGTTCCTACGGTGCTAGGCCCACGCATCGTCACCGATCTTTTCTTCCTGCACGAACGTGGTCGGGCATTCACTGCTCTACATATGGCCTTTTTGTTCGGTACTATAGCTGGACCCACTTTCTCCGGGTTTATCTCGGCAGATGTATTCTTCCCCGTGGAGTTCTGGTGGACTGTTGGTCTTCTGGGTTTCACGCTCATTTGCTGTTTCCTGCTCCTTGAGGAAACTGGCTTCGACCGCAGATGCTTGGAAAATAATCCAGAGACTCCAGGGGGACTTATCGCGAATCGGTTTGCGACCTTCTTCTTTGGGCAGAGCGTTGTGTTGCCGACTACTTGGAAAGAAACTGTATGTCTCTACCTCCTCAAGATGGGGATACCTCTAACATCACTTCCAGGCCAAGATTGGTGTTACCCCCTTCCTCATTGGAATTTGTCCAGTGACTATAATCATGGGCATTTTCACGCTGATCTCATTTGGATTCTACGTCGGCGTCAACGCCTTGACACCCGTGTGGCTTCAGAAACCCGTCGCAGAAGGCGGCTACGGCTTCACGCTTAAGCAAAATGCCGCATTTACTTTCTGCCACTGGATCGGTATCATAGTCGCATTCTTCTTCGGACACGAACTAAATGACCGCGTTCCGCTCGCTCTGGCACGACGCTTTAACAATGGAGCATGGAAGCCCGAGTATCGCCTGCACGTCCTCTGGCTCCCAAGTCTCATCATCAACCCGATCGGTCTAGGAATCTTCGGTGCGGCGTTGCAGTACCACCTTCACTACATGGTCCTCGCTCTGGCTGTGTTCCTTGTCACCATTGGATCCCTGTCCAGCGTCCCCGTCACCGTAAATTACGTCGTTGAATCCTTCACCAAGTATCCCGCCGAAGCGGGTATCGTGATCGGTGCATACCGCATCGTCTACGGGCTGACTATTACCTTTTATATCAACCCCTGGGTCGCGGCCGTGGACGTGGGCTGGGTATACGGCATGATGGCCTTCTTTGCCGTCTTCTCGTTCTTCTTCGTCATGCTTCTTATGTGGAAGGGACATGCTATCCGGGGAATACAGTTTACTAGACTGGCTTCCAGTGAGGAGGGAGAGAAGTTGATCGAGTGAGGTATGGTAGGTTCATTTGCTTAATACATCCCTGCATATTTATGTATGTTTAATTAATATCACCACTCCGAAAATTTCACATCATCATTGTTGGGTGAATGATAAGATTTGTGTCAATTGCATGGTAAAGAAGAGAGGGAAATGTGGCGTTGATACGGATGCGCATACGGAGAACCGCTTACAGGTGATCCGCCTCGCATCTGCGGCGAAGCAAGGCGTGCGTAAGCGTACCGTGGTGATTAGCTCTATAGTGTGCATAAGAAAGAAGCTTTTACGACCTACCAATTGAGAATAGAAGCCATCGATGAGGATTTGATGCTAAGACAATGGCCTGAACCATTAGTTTAAATAGGGCGGAGAAAGCAATGGCGCAAGTGCCGCGTGTACCAGCATTGAACTACAAATTACGACTTGCTACAATCACAATGGAAAAGGGTTAACAAAAGAACACCTGCTGATCACGAGCAAGATTATATATAAACAGTTTCAGTTCCAAAGAGGGCGAATACAAGAAAATGAGGCACGCTTTAGCACTCAAGGTAGCCGTAGCCTCCAACAAGCCAAAGGATAAGACACCAGACACGAAAAAAAAAAGAATTTCACCAGTACAGATCAACCTATACCAGCTTACAGCATAATCATGAACGCACCGGAAGCCACAGCGGCAACCAGGTACGCGCCAGCATGCCATCCACCAACGAGAACAGCCTTAGGTCCAGTAGGACCCGCAGCAGCACCCTTTGAAGTAGAAGTAGCAGCGGAAGAACCACTGCCGCTGCCGCCGCTGCTGGAAGCAGCAAGGCCCCCAGAAACGGTACCAGTGCCTGCAGTACCGGCCGCCTTCATCTGGGAAGAGCAAGAGCCAGAAGCAGACTGGCCAGAGACCTTATGTCCGGCACCGGAGAAGCCACAAGCATCGTCGGACGAGCCCTGGATCTGGTAGTAGCGGTTCATGGCCCAGGCAAGACGCTGGTTCTTGTTACACATGGAGTAAGCGCCGTAGACACCGGAGGTAGCGTTTCCAATGACACCATCGAGAACACCGTCCTTGCCTCCGAGGTAGGAGAAGGTGTTGGTGTACTGCTTGTCGGTGATGTCGTCAACGGGGACACAATCGAGAGTGTTGTACATGCACTCGCAAAGGTCAGCGTTAGGCGCAGGAGGGAGCTTGCTAGTGGCGAGCCAGTCGGATCCGACGGTGGGGCAGGCCTGGCCGACGGTGGTGCTGACGGAGTAGCTGGCGGAGTTGACTCCGGAGGGGGTAGCGGAGAGCATCTGCTTGGAAAGGTTGGAGTAGTCGGCAAGGGTGTGAACCGAGTTTCCGGAGGTGGAGACGAGGCCGTAGTCGTTGGAGGTGTCGAAGTACATGTAGACGATACCGCCGGACCAGACGTCGTCCATCTGGGGGCCAAAGAGGACAGGAACGTCGGTGAAGGTGCGCGGGCTGGGGTTGTTACAGCCGTATTCGGAGAAGAAGGCGGGAACAGGGTAGTTTCTGAATTCATCGGTACGGGCTTTGTAGCCGGACGATTGGTACGAGGAGTCACCGCACCACTCGTAGATGTTGTAGCCGAACATGTCGATGGAGTCGGAGGCGTCATCGCAGACGAGGTAGTCAGCGATGTTGGCGCGGACAGTGGCATCGTCGTCGGTAGCGTATCCAATTGCGAGGGAAGAGCGGTAGTTCTTCTGCTTGATATAGGCCTTCATGTCACGAACGGCGGCCTTGACGTAGGCCATGGAGTTGGTGTTGTTGACCATGTTGGCAACCTCGTTACCGGCGAAGAACCCGATGACATTGGGGTACTTGGCGAAAGCATCGACGACCTGAGAGTAGCGGGTGAACAGGTCGGCGTTCCAGGAAGGATCGCTCTGGACGATGGACTCGGAGGGCGAAGACAGATCGGACATGACGTAGATACCGGCGTCGGCGAGGGCGTTCATGCACTCGTCGTGGCTGGAGTTGGGGTTCACGGCATAGGTGCGGACGACGTTGGTTCGGAGACCGACCAGGTAGGGGATGTCGCGCTTGCAGCTCTCAACATCGGCCAGAGGGTCGACGTAGTCCTGGCCGCTGGAGTCACCGTTGCGGGCCGAGTAGTCGGCCTGGTAGGCGACACCGCGGATGTAAAATTCAGTGCCATTGTTGGAATAGAAGAACTTCTTGCCCTTGATTTCAATGGAGGGCACAGTAGCCATAGCCGATCCCAAGAGGGACAGGCCAGCAAGAACGGAGTATTTCATTGTGAGCTATGAGGCTCGAGCGAGCGTGAGAAAACGAAAGGAAGGAAAGAATGACTGGTATAAACGACCGAAAGCGATGAAGGAAGAAAGAAGAAGAAGAGAGCGAGTTGGGGAGGACAGGAGAATAATAGAAAGAGCGGATTAGATTACAAAGGGGGGCCCCGGGAACTTCGGGGAGTGCGCGATATGACGCTGGGCAGGCATGTACCCTTTCCCTTTCGTCCCTTTCTCTTCTCTTCTCCCTTTCCCCCTCTCTCCAACCACCTCAATGGCACGACCCAACGACGCATCATCAAGCGGGCTGTGCCGGTGGGTGCGTACATCACTGGAGTACCCTGTCAGAGGCCAATTCGAACCGATGTGAGACTCGACTTGCAATATCGATTGGTTTCTTCCCGGTCCAACAGCGTCCACTGTTTCGGTCCCTTGTGGAGCTGTGAGTCCCTGCGCCAATGACCCTTCCTTGTTAGTGGCACTTTAGCGGCACTTTAGCGGGGCCCCTGAGACAAGTGATTCCACTTTAGTATTCGCTAGTATTCCATCCATGGCCCAGTGTTCCCCACCTAGGGTCGCAGGGTCAGCAAAGCAGGAGATACCGAGTGGATGCTGGACCCTGACTGGTCCATCCTGCGAGCCCACACTCGATTCTCGTGAGAAAAACACCACTGTACGCCAACACAAAGTCTCTCAAGAATGTAGTCGCCTGGGTTCTAGCAATACGAGAATCACCAGATCGTCCCGTTTCCATCCCCGTTCGCTGCAACAAAAAGCTTGTCTCGCCAAGGGCGATCCATGTCGCCCATTATGTCGATTGGAATTCGGGCATGTTTTCATGGTTTCTATTTTCGTCCCACCCAGTCCTCGGTCCTCAATCCCAGCTGTCTCAAAAGCTGGCGATATCGCCTCAGTGAGATCTGTACTGCGTCCGTGCTTAGGCCGTCTTCCTTAGCCCACATAGCTCAGTATTCGTACCTTTCCACAAAGACTAGCCGGCTCCATCACTCCCCGACCCGGGCTCGGCTCATGTGGCGTGTCGCATTCCAATCTACGTCAATTCGGAGTTTATCCCCATAGGCAGACACTTTTTTTTTCCAACCGCCCTGAAACCCCGTAATTAGGTCCTGGGCGGCCTAAAAAAGAAAGTCCCTAGATTGTCACTGACCAGCCACTAACAACCATCGAAATGAGAGAGAAAAAACTGGTCCCGGGATTTATTGCGGGGCCCGTCTCACGTTTAGACCTAGACCCCGAGACGGCACACCAGATTAATTACAATTGGAATTCCGAAAGATTTACCCCATCACTCTGAGGAAAATGGAATAGAAAGGGATTGAGAAATGTAATTCAATGATGTTGACGCGATCTTGCGCAATTCGTAATTCTGTGAAGATCACCATCCCGGGTTACGACCCCTGACTATCAACGCGGGCCGGATGGGGCGGTCGCGCATATCGATGGAGACTCAAAGCACGTCCCCCTCTAGTTCGGACAGCCACAAATTGGAAGGTGGAAGATATGTGCTCCGTTTTCATAACCAAGCTTTTTAGTGCATGTGTTTGAGATCGGGTGACGAATGTGGGTTTGTTTAGGGGGGCTGTTTTCGATGTCTCCTGTTTTTGATGGAGTCTCATGCTAGGGTTACCATGTGACATATTGTCTGCATGGAAGGGTTGATATATATAGGGGTGACGCTAGGGGGGTCGGAGGATTTGTAGGTCAACGATAATGAATGGGAAGCGTTTCTACTGCGTTTTGCTTTGTGGTGACTGTTGTAGTGGTAAGATGCATCGGTTCGGACTCTCCATGCCCTCCTCCGTATCAGACTGATGGTCTGGAACGGGACTTGCTGTGCGATTTTCGCCATTGATAAAACCAAGACTTCTAATCAATGTAATGCTTGTCGTTAATTCAAGCTGAGTGGAAGCTTGGCTAAAAGCTTGGCCTAATTGTCCAAGCTTTGGCCCAGCATGCTTGGTTATTTTTATTTTCCTTGGCTCGTATTTTAAAGCTTGGTGGTATCTATTATAGTCAATTGCCTAGATTATGGTACTTGAGACAGAAAGGATTCAAATTTTCGAAAAGGGGTGCTTGGCTAAGCCTACGGGATGACCAAGTTGTCAAGGTGTGAATCCACTGGTGGACCACCCAAATAGCATCCGAGTCGGCCTTTCCTGAAAGATTCATTACTAGTGAAGAAAGAGCTAGACCAGAAGGCTCCTGTAAGGCGAGAACGAAGTACCCCATGGTATTGTGCAGCTGACTAGATGGATACACGAGTAAGATGCTCGTGTTGGCCTCTTGGGGTTGAGCTGATGGAAGCAATTGTGGTAATTCCATGCTAAATGAAGGTCTAGATCGAGACATGCTTCATCTCTATCCAAGGCACACATTCTGTTTCACATCGCATGCGCGTGCGGCGGCATGGACGTACTTTTACCAATTTCCTGGTAGACGCGGATGGGCAGTGGACCATCAGGACCTGGCCAGTCTTGGGCATAGCAGATGAACAGTTCGGACAGCCTTTCTGTAGGGATTAACTTAACATCACGAACCAGTGGTCAAAGAGATGCCGTTTCTTAGTCTGGAAAAGCATTGAATGTGGTCATTCATTTTTATAAGGTTCCCGGCAAACCCGCGGAATATATACCTTGCTGTCCTTATGTATATGACCTCTGTTTGAGTTTGCAAAGCTCACCTGGGCACAATTGAAGATCATTACTGTCGATATATATAGCACTCACTGTGCTCATGCAATT